GTCGTACCGTCTATTTATTCCCATGCTTCCGTTCCTACTCAACGCATGCCACTGGCTGACTGGCACTCACTCACTTAATTAAGTCACTATACCAGTCATTTCATGTTGAAAATTGTCAACAAATCAATAATATAATTAATTAGTTGATTGATTAGTTTTGTATTATATATTGCACCACATTAGGCACATTTCCTAGGAATGCGAAAGCTTGACAAGCTTCTTATTAACACGAGGGATGGAAGTAATTAAGGTCAATTGCCATGAAATCATGTAATTTCAAGGACATAATTATTCATACTCGTATTATTTTTTATGTGAAGTGCTAGGGTTAGTGTGCAAGGACAAATTTATTGACCGTTGATTCTTGATTTTTATTAGAGTGGAGCTAATGACTAATAATTGGTTGGATTTTGGTATATTTCTATTCGTTGTTCCCTTGATCTTTTCTTTTGTTGTATTTTTTCCAAATAAATTTGATATTCTTTTGTTGTTAAGTTGTTCACACTACGTATTTATGAACTTTGTATTAAAAGTTAAGTTTTCTTTATAAATCACTAGATGGGTAGCCGGTCTTCTCATTATACATACTACGTCAATGTGGCATATTATTTCTCATTTAATGTATTTATTTTTAGTAATTATTATTTCAACTAATTAATTGTACTCTGTATCAATCATTGGTATAATTAAATCAAAAAAATGAAATAAAATCATCCGTAACATATTGAGAGGAAAATGGGAAAATTTATAAATAAACACATAAATGAGAGAAATAAAGTTTTTAGCATGTGGATAGCACTATTCTAAAATTTTCTATTCACAAATATCTCCAATCGATCTATTTCATGTCCTTTGATTTCCCTTTTTCCTAATAAAATGTTATTTATTTGTATCTTGCAATTGAATGTCTCAACAAATAGTTAGTTGATCATTTAGTACGATGCAATTATTTTTGAATTTTTGTCTTTTTTATTTTAAGTCTTTTTGCATGTGAGCAAACTTAAAACCTGAAATTAATACACAACATTTACCATACTTTTTGTAATAAAAAATAAAAATCATACATTAAAGAGGAAAGTGAAAGTTAATTAAGGCCAAAGGGGTAATTAATTAATTACACAGATAATGACTTCTTTATTTTGGTCTTTTCTAAATGATTTTAATTTTCTTTGAGTAAAAATGATAAAGAAAAATTAAAGAAGAGTAATAATTGTTTGAAGTGTGGGATTTTGGAGCCATCCCAATCTTATTCGGTTGATCACATGGTCACTGTTTATTTTTAATTGATAAAGCATTCAAAAAGGCATATATATCTTTTGGGTTGACACTTGACACAATTGCAATTTTATAGCAGTATTTCACCTACCAATTAATATTATTATGGCCTTCTATTCATTTTGTTTCAAATTTCAACTGCTGGTGGACTAACATAAAGTGCGAGTGATAATATTACTCGTATAATATAATGAAATTGTACGTATTCAAGAAATCTAGTTTTAAGGTTTAATTGTACTTTGCCATACTTTAGTTTATAATTAGTGCATAGTGGATTATGAGCTTGTAACGGTATTGTGATTATTGTAACTAAGGGTCTGTTCTCTTACGTTGAAATTCAGTTCAGTTCAGTTCAGCTTAGTTCAGTTCAGTTCAGCTCGATTCAGCTCCTAATTTCCTTCTCTTATAAAATATTCATTTCATTTCAGTTCACTTCAGTTCAGCTCCTAATTTCATTCTCTTATAAAATATTCATTTCAGTTCAGTTCAGTTCAGCTCAATTCAGTTTAGTTCAGCTCAATTCAGTTCAGTTCAGTTCAACTGAGTTCAGTCGGTGAGAACATGCCCTAAGATGGGGTAATTACTCTCCCTTAATCATAATATGAGGGCGATTAATCTTCTTCTTTTAATTCTTGTCGAGAGAAATAGCTTTACATTGTGTATTGTACGGAGTATGTGTTTTGAGTATAGCCGCAAGAAAGATTTTTGGAAATAAAAGTAAAATAAACTAATTATATGTGTTTATAGAAGCGATATGAACTTTGATCAACCTCTTGAGAAAGAATAAGTTAAATACTAGATGATTTGAAACAAATTTTAAGAAGAGTATGCACTTACGATACAAAACTTATACTTTTGCTTTCTCATTATTAACAAATTAAAGAGTGATTTCTTATACTACCTCCTGATTGTATTATATGCAACTTTAGTGTATTAAACTCCGTTCTCATGGTTGGCTAGATTACATGTAATTGCCTTGTTAGGATAACCCTCCTCTCCCCAAAGTAATTTAGTTTCACTCATTTTTCTTGGCTTCTTGCTCAGATATTTTCTTAATGTCTCTCCTAATAAAGTTGGCATAAAATTCAATTATTAAATAATGATGTATGCCAAGCATTTGCGCAAATGTTTTGGGAAGAGAGCTAATTAATTAAGTAATTATATAATGGCACTAATTAATGGGCCAATTAAAATGCACTTGTAAATTGCTATCAACTTCCAGGAGAAAGCTCAGCCACTGTTGCTAGTCCACCTAGCTAGTTAGCAATGTACCACAATTATAAGAGATGTATGTTTATTATTTTATTAATTTAAAGTTAATTTAATTGAATGAAAATGAATGATACTATATGGCTCGGTCCTATTATTAATGACTTCGTATTTAGCTTATAAGATGCTAAAGTGATGTTTTAACAACTTATTTTCATGGCGTATAATTAACGTGTTAAGAAGCATGCATACTAGGTTATCATGCTCCGTGATTCAAACATTCATGTTTCTATGAATGATACCATAGTTGACTGTATGTCTGTATTATCCATTTGATACTACTATAAAGTATAATAATTCAAATAATTATTCTATTTAAGGTGACAATGCTACATATATTGATCAATTGTCAAGAATTCAAGATACAATCGTATTACTTTCTTTACGGCACATATGGATAAAGTATATCAAGTTGGATTTTATTCTTAATATTAACAAAGATTATTATTCTTATAAACATGCGAAAGGGGTAAACACAATAAATATTAAATATGAGCTCGTCCAAGCATTTTAAATAAGTTCATCGCATTAACAAAAGAACAATTTAGATTCTATTTGTTCACTCTATTTTCACTTTTTATTTTTAATAAAAAATAAGTTTAAGACATATAAGCTCATATTAAAATTCAATATAAGAATTACCTAACTTCAATTTACAACTAAAATATGTTTAAATAAGATCTAATCAGTTAATTGAGTTCAAACAAGATCGATAAGACTATATAAATTTAATAAGTAAGTATCATGCGGTTAGAAATAACTTTTTACATGAAGTCATTTATAAACCATTTTCTATAACTTTGCTTTAATCATCAATTACTACCTCCGTTAAGTGTTATTTGCATGTTTGGGGTATTATTTGTGATATTCCGTATAAAATATTTTTAAGTTACAAGTAATATTTAAGGGAGGTAGTGTAATATTCAAGAAAAAATTGATAAGGAATTGCCGAATTGGAGTGCATACTCAATATCCAATCTTTGTTTTGTAATGTAACCCATTCCTTGTAGCTTTGTAGTATCCCTAAGAATTGGGCCCTTATCCAGGTTACTTAATCAAAAGTTTAAAGTGAAAGTCTTCGAACTAGGCCCATATTCAAGTGAAGGCCCAGATAATTGTGAATTTGTGATGATTGGGCAAAAGTGCAAAACTTTAATAATTATTCAACTAATCCAAGTACATTATCCTAATAAAATTGCTAAATTGCAACACTAATAAATGACCTTTAATTCTTGTCCCAAAAAAAAAAAAATCCTTATTTTAGGCAAGAGAAAAAAAAGGCTATGGGTGGATTGCTAACTCATGTGATCATAAAAAAAGTAAGACTAAGACTATCATGCATTATCTTAAGAAAGTTCAGAGTTTATAGAGAATACGAGAGAAGGTGATTAAGTATAAATAAGGTAATTTTCACCAAAAAAACAAAGAAATATAAATAAGGAAATTGGTTTAAGTTGTTAAAAGTTACCAAAATAAAGTTTTGCACAAAGTAATTTTTAAAAAACGTCAAAGTATCAAGTCTTTATTTATTTTTTTAAACATCCCAAAATAGCACTTCTATATTTACTTTATGACTAATATTATTACTTATTAGTAACATAATTATGTAGGCACTTGTGAAATTGGTTTGCTGGCGTCTTCCGTGTGTATATGCATCATACCAACTGTCAAGATGTGTTTGGCTTAATTCAAATTTCTTTTGAATGCATCGGGCTACATAACAGTGGAATTGATCACATTATCAACAAGTGTAAATTTTACACATTTTCTATGTAAAGAGAGTCATAAAGGGCGAATGGTAATAACGTGGTTTGATCCCGTGTCTTAGATACGAAGTATAAAGTCTAAGATGTAATTCCCAAAATATGTTAACCAAACAATGCAAATGGTATCCACATTAGCAAGTATAATAGCTCACTTGTTAGTAGTCAACACAAGTACTAGCATAATAACACCTCAATCGATATTAAATATATCTCAAATATAAGTGAAAATGCGAAAATAAAAGATATTAAGGAGAAATCAACTTCATAGACAAAAAAATGGATGAATTAAGGAGAAAAAAAACAAAGACATTATCTTTTACAGTATTTCTCTCTACCCGTTTCTTCTTTCATAGCTTTTCTCTCATGCATTCACTCATGAGAATTATACTAATAACACACTATCGTCCCGATGGTACATAAGATCAATCAAAATTACTAATCATATATAAAAAAAAAAAAAAAAATCTATACCAACTACACTAATCCCCACATCTTGAAGTTAGCAATTAGTTGTGTACTTTACTACTTTGGATAAATGAAGGAAGGTGCACAAAACAATTGGACCACGTTTCAAAAGTTCCCAAAATTGTTAAGTTAATCTTTTTTTTTTTTTTTTTTTTTTTTTTTGTAGGGTATTGTTAAGTTAATCTCATATCACTCCGTTTTAAAAAAATAAGAATAGAAATAAAAAAAAAATAAAAAAAACAAAAAAAAAAATTGAATGAAAAGAAAAGAAAAACACCAAAAAGAAAGGCACTTACAGTCTGCTAAAATCAAAATCCTTCCCTGTCTTAAATCGGTGACAGGCAGTCGTCGCCGACGCCTATTTTTGGCTCGCCAGAATAATCAAACACTTCCTTTTTTTTTTTCTTTTCTCTCTCCTCTCCCAAAAGAAAAAAAAAAAAAAATCCCCAATTTCAAAACCCTAATTTCACCTGCAAATCTCCTCACTCCTTTGTCATAATCTCTCTCTACTTTGATTACAATCTAATCGCAATTGAAATTGTCTACCTACTCCTTTAATACATTCGTCTCTTCGATCCAGATTTCGTAGTATTATACTTGATTTTAGTGATTGTTGAATTTATGATTGGTTTTTGGTGGTTGTGATTCTCTCGAATCGATGATTTGATCGGCGAATTTTCGAGAATTTGGGGTTTTGGTTTTGTGTAGGGTGGTCGAAATGGCGGCACAAAACCCAGGGGATCTGTTTGATTCGTATTTTAGGAGAGCTGATTTGGATCGAGATGGTAGAATTAGTGGCGCTGAAGCCGTCGCTTTCTTCCAGGGTTCGAATTTGCCGAAGCAAGTTCTCGCGCAGGTTTTTTTTCCCTCTTTCTATTGAATTTTCTCTCTGTTGATTATTTGGTGGTTTTTTTAGCGACTTTGAATTTGATGTTTTGGTGAATTAAGATGCATTTGATCCAAATTTATGATTGTCGAAATGTTGTTTGGCATTTTGTTGGTTAATTATGGCCATTTCTAGGTTGATTTTGTTATTTGATTTGTAAGGGTTGTCGTTGGATCATTAGCACTGTTAGAGTAGTGAGTTGGGATTATTTGCTAGAATGGTTTGATGGTGTTTTAGAAAACTCGCTCAATTGACATGGTTGTGATTGATTGTAATAGTGGGAATTTAGTAATTATCTTGATATTGGGGAGGGGGGGGGGAATGTAGCTTTATTTACAAGAATTACAACTAGTACGATTGGATTAGTCAACAGGACGCCTAAGCTGCAGCATCTCTGCACTTTCCATGGATACCTATTATAGCGTATTAGCGTTTAATGGTCCTTCTCATCAATTTGTTGATTCGTCCCAATTGGGACGGAGAACCAATTGCTGCCTCAGTTGTGGCATTGAAGTTTAGTTGGCTCTTCTCATCGTTTTGTTGACTCTTGACATTCATTCTAACAGAGGCAGATAACTCATCACTACCTTGGTTCTGCTACTGACGTTTATAAGAATAGGCCAACTAATTTGCTCTTTTTCCCCATTTTCTTAGTGCTTGTTTGTTATAACTATGGGGTAACTATGAAGTGGAAGGATGTGTAGTTATCTGGTTGGCAAAAATGTGGGAAGTAGCTCACCATGGCCACCCTAGGTAATCGGAATTTCTCATGGGAAGCTTTGCTTTTTATGACTATTACCAGCTTATAAAACTACACGAATAAATCAATACCTGATTATACATTAATAACATTATTAATCATGTTCAACAAAACAATTACTTAAAAGGCTTACATTCCTTGGCAGCAAATTGCATGGTTGGGATTTTTTATTCTTTACTGGGTATTTCAGACTTTCATTCATTGAGCTTGCAAAGTTGCAACTGCCGCCCATATGATGCTTATCGTAGTTATCGAGACTTGATAGTGATGAAAGAATCAGCAGATGAAAGTAATCCTGTATATGCAGGAATGTTTCATTCAAATAGTGATACAGTTAGGAAAAAAAAATAGCCGTGTAGTTTATTAGAATTAGAATGGATCTTTGGGTCATATGGCATGGTTGATTGTAACGGGGGATGGATGCAAACGAACTTAGTTTTTATATGTTCAAGGTAATTAGTAGCTCGATTCAAAATTACCTTTTTTTTTTTAAATTTTTTTTTTTTTTTATTTATTTTTATTTCTTTTAATTTTGTTTTTATTTTTTATAGTTACAACATTTCTTTTTGGCACTATAATTTCGGAGTAATAGTAGGGGGATGTGAAGGGTATTGTGAGAAAAGAAGATTACATGAATCAAGGCTATTGGTGGTACCTATATGAAGTACGTTTAGGGAAATGGTGCAATAGAAATAGAGTAAGTATCAGTTAAAATATTGGCCTATTTGGTCAAAGAAAAGTTTGACCATAAATTATCACTATTATATTTATCAAAACATTGGTTACACTCCTCTCAAAGTGTATTTATCAAAACATTGGTTACTCTCCTCTCAAAGTTGTTCACAGTATATTTTTAAAAAACAACGGAGAGAATATGTCGTTCAAAGATGGGAGATGTTACTCTGGTCTTTGGATAAGTGCTGACTTAGAACATGCACATTTTGGAAAGTCTTCTTCTTTAACTGTATTACGCTGACTGTATTTCCTTTTTTTTTTTTTTTTTTTTTTTTTTTAAAAAAAAAATTATTATAGATATGGACGTTTGCTGACCATAACCGAACTGGGTTCCTTGGTAGAGCCGAATTCTATAATGCTCTTAAGCTTGTGACTGTTGCACAAAGTAAGCGTGAATTAACTCCTGAGCTTGTCAAGGCAGCTTTATATGGTCCAGCTTCAGCTAAAATACCAGCACCACAGATAAGTTTGCCTCCTACACCTGGTCCCCAGTCAAGTACTGCTGGATCAACCCCTTCTGCACCTCAGACAAGCAATGTTGCTCCTATCTCTTACCATAATCCTGGACCTAGAGGAGTACCTGTATCGCCTAATGTTAACATGAATCAGCAATATAACCAACCAGCAGTAAGTGGGACTGTGAGACCTCAAAATACAGTTTCTGGTGTGGCTACACAACCTGTACAAGGGGTTGGGTTTCAAGGATTTCCTGGAGGAGCTCCTCAACCTGGATCAAATCTGCCTAATTCTAGACCTTCAAATGACGTAGGGGTTGTTAACACAGGAAGGTCACCAACAACAGTATACTCAGAGAGAAGTAGCAGTCTTTTGACGAACCAGTCTGGGGTGACATCAACAGCAGGACCAGCAGCTTCTTTACCACCTAAGCCGTCTGTAGCAGCAGGAAACTCTGTCACGCAACCTAAGCCATCGCAAAATGGGTTCACTCAAGGCTCTTTCTTCGGAGGTGAAGCATTGTCTTCCGCTCCGTCTCTGCCGAAAAGAGAGGGTTCTGTTCTTACCTCATCTGCTGGAAGTGTACAAGTTTCTTCACCTTCGGTTCCAGTTGCAGCTGGCAACCAGTCTTTCTCCAAGCAGGGTTCTGTTGCTTCTGTACCGAATTCACTCGCTGCACACTCTTTTGGTGGACAACATCAAAAGCTGCAATCACACGTGAAACAGAATCAACAAATTCCAGTCCAAAATTTTGCTCCACGTGGCCTTCCTGCATCCCCACCTAATAATTCTGCAGGACATCAGCCCCAGCTGAACTGGCCAAGACCAACTCAGACTGATCTACAGAAATACACCAACGTGTTTATGGAGGTTGATACTGATAAAGATGGGAAAATTACTGGCGAACAAGCACGCAATCTATTTTTGAGTTGGAAGTTACCACGAGGTAGGTGGTTATATTTTGTCATCTACTTTAATACTTTATAATTTTTAGTATCTTATGTAGAAGTATGCTTGATTTCTTATTGCTGTATTGGTTTCATCTATCAATTCTATTTTTTATTTTTTATTTATCACTTTTATTGTTTTTCTCCTCTGTTTTTGTTTCATATCTTTAAATTTGAAGCAAGTCATGTGGCTCTTGTGCATATTTTTTTTGGCTGTGCTCTAGTTCCTTTCCCCCCTCAAACTGTAGTTTTTGTTTGAGTTTTCATTTTTTCCCCTGTTTTTCTTTTTAATTTTAAATTGTAGTTTTTGTTTGAGTGTTTAACCCCCCCCCCTCCTCTTAAAATCCTGGTACTTTGGAGTATTGATTACGTGAAAGAAAAGTGGTGTGGGTGGATATCTGAAGACTCTGCAAAATTAGGGTGGGTAGATTGCTGAAGTCTCTCTGCAGATTCTGTTCCATTATAAATTTTAGTCTGATTAGAGTGCAATGTGATTGAAATTTAGAAGTAACCAACTTATAATAATTGTATTGTGTGAACTATGTTTTTGTTTGACGAGCACAAATTTCAGTTATTTCCCCTATTATTCTGTACAGTGTAATATTTATTTGTAGTACCTTTAAAATATTTGGTGCTTGTGTGGTTGACATTGAAATTCATGGAATGTAAATTTTTTTATGAAGTGGGAAAGGTGGAGTTGTTTGGTTGAAAAAATAACGGGAAGCCAGTTTTCCTAGGAATTTTTGCTTCCCACAAAATGGAGGGAGCTACTTACCTAGGGCGCCTATGTTACTGAAACCTCTCATGGGAAGTAAACTTCATATGCTCAGCCAAACAACAATTAGTCATTCCTAGGAATAAAATTGCATGGGAAAATCATCTTTCTTGGCCTTACTATTTTCCATGTTCAACCAAACAAGCACTTTTCCATGGAGCTGAGAGTTATTTTAGTTCGGTCATGGGTTCTCAATTTTTTATGCCACTTTGCTATTCTGGCTGGATCAACTATCTCTTTCTGGGATGTTTGGTTCTGTAAACTTTATACATTTTGGTATTGTAAGAGGATTGAATTCATAAGCATGCTCTTCTATTATGCATTAAAACAATTCTTTAGTGATCTTCAATGAGATTTTTATTTTATACTGTAGAGAATGTAACAATGGAGGAATCGGTCTCTTGTATGGTGTATACCACTGGATAGTGTATTTCTGTAGGGTGTTGGGGGCACTACATTTTTTGGGTTCTTTGGCCTCCTCTTTGTATAGGGTTTATAGGCCCCTGACTTTTTAAATGTATTCTTTTTTAATGAAGTCGAAAAAATTTGCAAGGGATTTGGTCTCTTAAAATATTTGGATTGTTTTATGTATGACATGTCAGATTTCTATTTTTGTTTTGATAGGAGCAGGTTTCCTTTTTTGATGTGCCACTTATTCAGTATTGTTACATGTTCCAGAGGTCTTAAAGCAGGTGTGGGACTTGTCTGATCAGGATAATGATAGCAATCTTTCTCTCAGGGAATTCTGCATTGCACTTTATCTGATGGAAAGATACAGGGAAGGACGTCCTCTTCCAGCAGTTCTTCCAAGTAGTGTTGTGCTTGATTTCCCTGCAACTACTCAACCACCTGCTGGGTATGGTAATGCAGGATGGGTATATTCTGCTGGTAAGCTCAGATGTTGCATTTTTCTGCTCCTTAACTTCGTTTTGAATTCTATCTTGATGAACTGTGGACTGACTGAATACTTAACAGCAAATATTGTTTAATGGGATACTTCCTTACGGAGCTTTTTTTATTTTTTATTTTTTATTTTAACTTTGCAACTTTCTTTGTCTTTTAGGTTTCCAGCAACCACAAGCACCTGGAACTGCTCCAAGACCAAATGCACGTCCGACAGGAAAGCCACCTTTGCCTGTTACAGCTCATATGTCATCTGATGATAGAATGCCACCTAAGCCACCAAAAGCCAAAGTGCCAACGTTAGAGAAACACCTAGTAGAACAGCTAAGCGAAGAGGAGCAGAAATCACTCAATTTGAAATTCTTGGAGGCATCAGAGGCAAATAAAAAGGTATGTGCTGTGTACTTGCTCTTATATACATCCAGTTCAGGTACTTCTATGTTGCAATAGTGCTGTGAAGTTTTGAGTGTCAGCGCACACACCGATTCCATATTTTAAACATTAGTTGTGGTCATGTTGACTGGATTTGACTTCTAGGTAAAGTTGAGAACATTGAAAGGTGATGAAAGGAGCAACTTTTAATGGGCTATTGTGGCAAGTGCTGTACTAGAAACTCATAATTATGAGGAATGTCTCTTCTTTGAACTATCTTTATATGCTTCTTTTTTCTATATCCAGGGTACTGTGGGTTGTGTGAGAATTGCTAGGGTGGGAAAGTTTCCTTAATATTAGACTTCTAAATGTCTGTTAATACCAAATTAGCTTTCATCTGTTCTTCTTTCATCGAGGAACAATATTTTTTTTTTATTTTTTTACCAAAGGCTTATTCAATTTGTTATTTATTTTCTGTTTCTGCATTTTTATTCTTAGGTTGTGCTTGTTTAAGGGGAAATTGTATTATGTTTGGTTTATTAGTGGATGGGAATTGATTTTCTTAATGATCTTAACCTCTCTCTCTCTCTCTTAGGTTGTGCTTGTTTAAGGGGAAATTGTATTATGTTTGGTTTATTAGTGGATGGGAATTGATTTTCTTAATGATCGTAACCTCTCTCTCTCTCTCTCTCTCTCTCTCAGTAGCTCTGGTATCAAGGAACCCTTAAAAGGAATTGATTATTAGAATTTTGATGATGGAGATGAAATCTTGTTGAAAGTTTTTTCTTTTGGTTTGAACTGTCTTTCGATTTTTGCCACCTGAGCTAACAGTATTTGTGATTATTTCCACTCGAGCTAATTTGTATTATGATTGTTCTCCCTTGATATATCATATCAGTCTCCTCCTCGATTGCTAGCATCTCCTTGATGAGAGAATTATTTCTTCTATTTTTTCTTCATTATATAGTGCAGGCTTTGTGGTGTTTGAGAAATAGAAATTGTCTTTGCTTTTGTGTTGTCTTTTGTTTTACTAAGAATGTTGTATGGTTGATGCCAGGTTGAAGAATTGGAGAAGGAAATAAAAGAAGCAAGAGAGAAAACGGAGTTCTACCGAGTTAAAATGCAGGAGCTTGTGAGTATTTTTAAGCTTTCTTAATTTAGTAACGTTGTGTAACAATTGTTTCATTATAGCACAATTATGAGAATTTCTATAGAGTAACATAGTTTTCCATCTATGTGTTATTTTGTATATATGCATTTTGCAAGGTTGTATAGTTGCGATAATGAGGCTCTCGAATGATTTATAATGGCAACGAATTTGCATGTATAGTAGATAACAAGTACTACCCAATCATATGTTAAGAACCATTGTCTTTTATCTATTACATCCGTTCTTGACAGCTGTTAGCATTTACGGAGTACTATTTGCACACAAATTTATGCATTTGAAGAGAGAGTGTTGTGTGGTGTGAGTGGGTGGTTAGAGTAAGAGAGAGTAAGTGGAAAGGTAATAATATTGTAGGGTATGAGGGATTTGGAAAAAGAATCTGCCAAAATTGGAATAAAGTGAGTGTTGGAAACTTTCTGGAATGGATGAAAACTGATAATGTTCAGAACTTTCTGAGGTAGTATATAAATAACAGTGAATAGCTCAACGAAAATATTTAGTTGAGGAAGTTCACTTGTCATACTTCCATTTTATTGCAGTGTGTTGTGTTTGTGTGCTTATGACGAGAGGAAAAAAACGATGATACATTGATGAATTACAAATTTAGTTTTGTTAATTTCTTATCATGTCATTTCCTACTGGTCCTCCCCTGGTTTCAAGAACGATCATTCCTTTCTTTAACGGATTTTTTTGGCGGTGTTTAGCTTGCTTTGTTTTTGGATGTGATTATTTAAAGTTCCTTACTACTTCAATGTTACCTTGGAACATTGATCTCATTTTTTTTTTTTAAAAGGTTCTGTACAAGAGTAGATGTGACAGTCGCTTTAATGAAGTTTCTGAGAGGGCTGCTGCAGATAAGCGTGAGGTGTGGGCTTATTATTATTATTTTTTTTCCTGAGATTTACCTTATCAGATAACAGCGGTCACATTTTCACAAGTGTGACTTTTCAGGTTGAGTCTCTGGCTAAGAAGTATGAGGAGAAGTACAGACAAAATGGCGATGTGGCATCTAGATTGACAATTGAAGAAGCAACATTCCGTGACATACAGGTTTTTGTTGTGATTTATATTAGCTCATCAGGTTGTAGCTTGTAAGAAGCATTTCCTTTAGCTGCTATAGCGTAATTTTATTATGCTTATTTGCAGGAGAAGAAAATGGAGATGTATCAGGCAATTGTGAAGATGGAGCAAGATGGCACTGATGAGAACCTTCAGGTATTAATTACTAGCTATGAAAGAAAACAGAGGATGATCATGAACATCTACCTTAGTTTTTCTTTTCTGATCTCTGGAGTATCTTGTTAGGTTCGTGCTGATCACATCCAGTCTAGTTTGGAGGAATTAATAAGATCTCTCTGTGAACGTTGCAAGAAATATGGATTGCGTGCAAAACCTACCACGCTAGTTGAGCTTCCCTTTGGTAATCTCTTACACTTTTTTTTTATCGCATTTCTTTTGAGTTCAAATCACTGATGAGGCAGGGGAAGGCTTCCCCACCTACATTGTATAATAGTACTTTGACATCTTTGGCCATCTCTTCTTGTTTATTTATTTTGGGTCTAGGAATTGCACCATAGTGCACTTGTTTTTATTCCAAAAAATTTATCCTGTTTCTAAGGGCTAGACATTTTATTTTTTATAAAACAAGGCCTAGCTTTAGACTGTAAACTGTTATATATATAGTTAAAGCTGAGCCTCATTAGGTACTGATATGTAAACCCGGACAACCTTTCAAATTGCAATGAGTACCAAGGCTTACTAGATTGTTAACTTGGCTAAGTCTTCATATTGTCTGAAATGTCAGCTCAATTTTCAATTGATTTTGTTCTGAAGCAGTTTTTTGTTTTAATTTCTTTCTCAGGGTGGCAACCTGGCATTCAGGAGAGTGCTGCTGATTGGGATGAAGACTGGGATAAATTTGAAGATGAAGGTAAGTTGAATCTATATTGATGGAGGATCAAACTGTTTTATTATGTTATGTCAGTGACCCTTTTTTTTTTTTATTTATTTATTTATTTTTTTTTTTTTTTATTGTTTTTAAGTCTTATTCTTCATGGCTTGCAGTTCTGTGGATTTTATCCACCTTTGTTTTCCTTTGTCTGAATCAATTAGAATTCTAGCCCATATCAGCTGCCTTCTGACCATATTAACATTTCTCCTGAATTTGTAATTATTGTGAAATAAACTTGGAAGGCCTGTCTGAACTTATTACCTAAAACTTGTTTTTGGGTAATCATATGCTCAGTAGTCAGTAGTTGTGTGGATTTTTATTTAATTTTTTATTTACTTGTTATAATTTTTTTTTTTTTTTTTTTTTTTTTTTTTTTTTTGGCAATGGGCAGTTCTGACCTTAATGATTTAATGTCAACCATGTGATTTGCTGTTAGGATTTAGGAACCTTATTCAGCCATTTAATCATTTTAATGTTTTTTCCCCCTTCACATTCTTTTTAAGTATTATTATTATTATTATTATTTTTTTTTTAGTTTTTTAATTTTCTAACAGTTTCAACAGCTGAAAGTGCATAGGCTTGTGCAAGCCTTGATATTTTGTTCATTAAATTTTTACTCAAGTGTTGTACTGTTATCTTTGTGTGTTGTTTGCATTAGAGAATGCGGATATGTTTGGTTTTCTCATGTTTTTTTGTGCATTTGGTTTTCTGCTTCAGGTTACACTTTTGTGAAGGATCTGACTCTTGACGTAAATAACATTATTGCACCTCCGAAATCAAAAATTAAAGTTGCAAAGAAAGAAAAGAATATGATTTTTGAAGGTGATGCTGCTGTTCATACGTCAGACTCTGAAACCAAGCCTGTCAAGTCCGCTGCAGAGGATGAACAGGTGGCAGAAAATGGTGTCGTAGGTACTCCGAAGGCAGTTGAAACGGTAAAGAATACAGTTTCTAGTCCTGCTAGAAGTTCGCATGGAAGTCCACGTGATGGATCTAAGGACAATCATTTCCAAAGGCTTGGAAGTTCTGTTGCCTCACCTCGTGCCAAGGAATCTCTGAGGTATGTATTGATGTTATGGAGGGCGTCACATTTGTTGGATAGCATCTTTTTTTTTTTTGCTAACTTTTCTTGTAGCTGAAAATACCATAAACAGGCACTGCAATGCTAATAACCCCACCAGCTTTGGCCCAATAAAATGTGACCCTCTTTGACCTTTCCCGTTATTGACCCACACCAATCCTGACGACTTTCCCCATAACCAGGTCTACTTTCCAATTTTTCATAGTAGCAGAAAACAGGACATGAAATTCTCTTTCAGATTCTACATTGTTTCTATCGATAAGTTTTCTTAATTATATCTCCCAACATTACACTTTTCACTGTTCCTATAGCTCTAGTCAGCCATTTTTTTTTATTTTTTATGCTGGTAATATGTTTGAAATGGTTGCTGATTATAAGGATAGATCAATCCAATATGACTCATCAATCGCACTTCATTGTGGGATTACAAATATCATTGTCTTGTTAACTACGTACAGTATTGTTGTTATTCCTGGGCCTATACTGATGATTGTTGTTGTTTATCTGATGCAGTGACGTTGGGGTTGCTGATTCTTCATTTTCCGGGGAGAAGAGTTTTGATGAGCCGTCTCAGGGCACCTTTGATACTAATGATGATGCCGACTCAATCTGGGGTTTCTCAAAGGTAAACTAAACTATTCTCTTGTAGCACCTGTAACAACTTAAATATTATACTTGGAAAACCATGTACAACTAGGTTTTCTAGGCAAAGTTTTGTCAAACTGACATCAATGAGGTCTAATACTCCGTCCGTATTTTTTACTTGCTCCACTTTCCTTTTGCGGCCGTATTTTATTACTTGTTCCATTTCATTTTTTAGAAACTTTTAACAATATTTTACTATTTTTCTTCCCACTGTTGGTCCCCTCATATCATATTTTATTATTTTTCATACTCTCCTCCCCACTTTTACTCACTTTTGCTCTTTTAGATTTTTTTTTTAATTTTCAACTAACCCCACTTCATATTATATTACTTTCTACTATTCCTTCCAAAAACTCCGCGCATGGAGAAATGGAGCAAGTAATAAAATACGGAGGGAGTAGTTTATTGAATTATAAGGTCTGGAAAATAGAGAACTCGTCTTTAGTTCACTTTGTTCTTGGACTGTTGCATCATCAGGTTTGTGCTACTGTATTTTAGTTAAAGGTAATTGAGTAGCAGTTTATCGGTCTTTGTTTGCGGTAGTAAAAAATTCGGGAGAGACACCTCCCCCTCTCCTGGGCTGATGCTAAAAGAAACACTGTGTTCCATGAGCCTATCTATTCCTGTTATATTTGAACCAACTTAACCTTAATTTGTTGCTGACTTGTTTTTTAGGAGATGAAACTCGACAAGCATAATGACGACTTGTTTGGGCACGGGCAATGGACTCTGCCTCCTATCAGGACTAGTTCATCACAGGCTGATGACTTTTTGCCCAAAAAAGGCATATTTGCAGACTCTGTACCAGGCACACCAGCAGATGTCTTTGTGCCGAAAAAGAGCATTTTTGCAGATTCTGTTCCTGGTACACCAGCAGATGGCTTTTTGCCCAAACAGAGCATATTTGCCGATTCTGTTCCAAGCACACCACTTTATGAATCAAGCTATTCTCCACAGAAATTTGGTGAAGGACTAGAGCGCGGTTTAAACTTTTCAAGATTTGATTCCTTCAGGTCATCAGATAGTGGCTTTCAGCCTCAAGAAAAGCTGTCTCGATTTGATTCCATGCGCAGTACTGGAGATTTTGACTCACACGATGATAGGTCATTCCAGCAAAGGGATACTTTTTCACGGTTTGATTCTATGCGAAGTAATAATGATTTTGATTACGGGGATCGATCGTCATCATTTGATGATTCAGACGCTTTTGGCTCTGGGCCTTTTAAGTCTTCATTTGGAAGTGAGACTCCAAGGGGTGACTCTGATGCTTTCGGATCTAGTGCATTTAGGTCTTCTCTGGGAAATGAAACTCCAAGGTCAGAGATAGATGCATTTGGTTCTGTTGGGCCTTTCAGGTCGTCTATGGCCAATGAAACTCCTAGGGCTGATTCAGACCCTTTTGGGGCACCTTTCCGGTCATCACTGGGTGTTGAAACACCGAGAGCAGATGGTGATCCATTTGGTTCTGTTGGGCCTTTCAAGTCATCTTGGGGCAGTGAAACTCCAAGAGCAGATGCTGACCCTTTTGGTGGTCCTTTTAAGTCATCATTTGGCAGTGAAACACCCAGGGGAGAATCGGACTTTTTTGGATACTCTGGTTCTTTTAAATCTCCCTTTGGCAGTGAGACGCCTAGGGGCGAGTTTGATTCTTATGGGTTTGGTGGGCCTTTTGGTTCATCACTTGGCAGTGAAACACCTAGGGGCGACATGGACGCATTTGGTTCTTCTGGGCCATTTAAAACAACTGTGGGTAGTGAAACCCCAAAAGATCGAACAGATAGTTGGAGTGCGTTTTAGAGTATTGTGAGATTTTATTCTAGATCCCTTGTCCAATGCTTTGATGCTAGAGCAATTTTGCCTACAAATGTTAGAGCCTGGGAATGCTTCATCCTGGTGTTTTTACAGGCTCCCTAGCGTGCTGCAGGTTTGCCACCTGCAACCAACCAGCCGAAAATCCCTGTTACGATCTTTGAAGCGGCTAACTCCTGGCTTATCAGCTTCATTTTTTTTAACCTTTGTAAACATTCCTCTATTATATATTTTCTTGGGGCTTTGTTGGGTTTGCGAAATTTTTGCTATTGCCATTTTCTGCTGATGAGAACCTTCGGGATTCTTGTTTTTTTTTTCCCTCTTTAGCCAATATTGTGGCTTGTAATGAAAAGTATAGTTGGCTGGCTTTGTAGTATCAGCACGAGTGTATGTTATTCTTTACAATTATCTGGTTACACGACTGTTGTGTTACTGTAGTGTAGCTGTGATTTTTTGCATTTTATCTTAAATGTCATTGAATATTGTATCTCAACAAAATTGAATGTTTTTGCAAGTAGCGTGTAGAGGTGAATCCTAATTTTGTATTGGAGTTCAATTTTCTACGGGAGAGGGGCTGTTTAGATTGATCCGAATAAATTTATTTGTGTAATTTTTGCTGTTGTTTGCTTAATATTCAGGCTGTAATAAAAGGCTGATATATCAATTAACCTATACTAAAAGCGAACCTAGAGTGACACTTTTTACGATGCTATAAAAAATTTTCCCACCTTTTTTTTTTTTTTTAATAACTTCCATTTTATAACCTACCATGATACTTTTTTTTTTTTTTGACAGGAAGCACAAGCAAACTTTAATAAGCTTCAAACAAGGCTCAAATCAGCCAGAATAACACCAGCTACATCTTGAGGATAATCCTCCAACCAAACTCTAAAATCATAATAAACATTACATAATTTAGCTAAACTATGAGCTACTTTGTTGCCTGACCGCTTCACAAACGAGAAGGAGCACATTTGACATGATCTAGCAAGCATAAGAATATCGTTAACAATCATCCCAAATGCGGTGGATGTGACCACAGCCTTCGACAGGTGGGAGAAAAGCTTCAAACAATCCGTCTCCAAGCAAACACAAAGGAATCCCGACTCCATAGTAACCTGCAAAGCCTGCCTCATAGGCAATGCCTCCATGACATCCACCTCGAAACACCCTTCCATTCTCATACACATAGCAGCCACAACATCTCCAACATGGTCTCACATTACCCCTCCAAAACCAACTGCTGACTGAGACAATTTTGCCGCATCCGAATTCACCTTTATGACCCCAACTGACGGAGGCTTCCAGGTAGTATCCAAGGACATAGCAGGGGGGCTCAAAGTGCTTATGTCCTTTGCAAATTCAAATTCCCCAATCAAACTTACAGCTCTGCGAATTACCTCAGTCCCTTCGATCTTTTTCTTCTGAAATGCCCACCCATTTCTACGCAGCCAAATACCCCAAGCAAGACACCAAAACAAACTCCACCAATTCACATCATTGCAAGACTTAAAAACCGAGGTACACCACTCAATAAACGTCTCTCCATTATGCATATCAACACTCAATCGAAGAGGAGAAATATACCAGATCAATCTTGCCTCCTCACATTGTACAAGCATATGAAGGATGTTCTCTTTGTCGTTGCCACACATAGGACACCTCCTTTCAATCTCCATTCCTCTTCTCGCAAGATTATCCCGAGTTGCTAGAGCATCTTTAACTGTACGCCAAGCAAACATTTTGATTTTCTGAGGAACTTCTAAATTCCACAATTTCTTCCAATCAAAAGAAGAGCTGTTGTTCGAGGATGATGCTTTGTCACGCATTTGCCCAACTGTCAGCATATTATACGCACTTTTCACCGTAAAGCATCCATCCTTTGAGTAATGCCACATCCATCTATCATTACTGTCAAACATAGGAATGGGGATGTTGCGAATAGCACTAACCTCAATCTCAGAAAAATTGGCCTTGAGAAGTTCAACGTCCCATCGTCTATTGCTATCCCAAAGTTGCCTCACATACACTGGGCAGGAGCTATCATCAGGTTGACTCGATGCTACACAAAAACCATTAAGGCTAGGTATCCATGGATCACGCCATATTTGAGTTGCAACACCATCACCTATATTTCTTCTAACTCCTCTCATCAACACATCTCTAGCTCCAAGAATAGACCTCCAAGTATAACTCGAATTCGGATGAATTTTTGCCTCCTTGAAAGTCGAATATGGAAAGTATTTGCCCTTTAAAACCTTAGCCATAAGGGAGTCTTCATTAGAGAGAATGCGCCAAGCTTGTTTTGCTAGAAGATCCTTATTAAAGTTTTTCATATTTCTAAAACCAAGGCCTCCTTGACTCTTCGGAACATACATCTTTTCCCAAGCAACCCAACAAATTTTGCTTTCCTCCCGTTGTTGCCCCCAAAAAAAAATTGCCGACACAGTTTTTCAACCACATTCAAAATACTAGCCGGAATCAAGAAACATTGCATAGCATATGTGGGGATTGCTTGTGCAATGGATTTGATTAAAACTTCTTTCCCGGCTTGAGACAAATATTTTTCCTTCCAACCTTTTAGCTTTTTCCAAATCCGATCCTGAATATTCTGGAAAACCTGCTTTTTAGACCCTCCAATGTAAGTTGGAAGACCCAAATATTTATCATGTCCTTCGACGGCCTTAAAAGATAACTTCATCTGAAGCGTGTTTTTCCGTTCTTGATCCATATTTCGGCTAAAGGACACCTCTAATTTATCCATATTCAGTTTCTGACCCGAAGCAATCTCATAGGTAGAAAGAATACTAAGCACATTCTCAACCTCCTCTTCTGTCGCTCTCACAAATAAAAGGCTATCATCGGCAAAAAATAGATGAGAAATTGGCTTCACATGCCGGCCAATTTTCACCCCATGAATAAGGCTCTTACTTTCCGCATCTCTAATCAAAGACGACAACCCTTCCGCACACAGAATAAACAGGAAAGGGGAGATGGGAGCTCCTTGTCTAAGCCCCCGAGTGGACTTGAATTTCCTCGACGGTTGACCATTAACAAGAACATCAAAAGAAGCAGTACTGACACATTTCATTACCAAGCTCACAAAATTATCCGGCATACCAAGCTTCAGCATAATTTCCTGCAGAAATTTCCATTCAACCCTATCGTACGCCTTACTCATATCCAGCTTGAGCCCAAGGTAACCTTTCCTGCCCTTCTTCTTCTTTCTCAGATAATGGAAGCACTCATAAGCAACAAGCACATTATCAGTTATCAATCTTCCCGGGACAAAACCACTCTGCGACTCATGAACAATGTAAGGAAGAACTAATTTTAAGCTGTTAGCTAGCACCTTTGTGACAATTTTATACAATACATTGCACAAACTAATAGGTCTATAATCAACAGGATACTCACATTCTTTTTTTTTTCGGAATTAAAACAATATGAGTCTGATTAATAGAACCTATATCCCCATTATTATTCAAAATATCCAACACTTTCCCCACTACATCATTCCCCACAATATCCCAAAATTTCTGGAAAAAAATTGCAGACATACCATCGGGCCCAGGGGCCTTTGTAGGGTGCATTTGAAAAAGTGCCGTATGAACCTCTTCTGCTGTAAAAGGGGCTGCCAAGCTCGCCTGGTGTCTATCATCAACCAACCTATCTACCTTGTCAATCACAGGCTCCACTTCAACATTGCTATTTGTTGCGAACAGGTCTTCAAAGAAATTAACAAAAATTTCAGCAATTTGTTCTTCCTCCTTGTAGGTGTTTCCGGCCACATCTTTTACACACTTGATATTGTTCCGAACTTCTCTTTGCTTGGCTTTTTGATGGAAAAAGGAAGTGTTCTTATCCCCATGTTTGAGCCAATCTTGTCTACTCCTTTGCTTCCAATACATCTCCTCCCTTCTTTCAAGTTCATCCATACGACCATCTAAAGCTCTCATTTGTGCTATAACTTCCGTCGATTGTACTTCGCCCATGAGAAACTTCATTTGAGCCTTGCACGCATTCAACTCTTCTATAAAATCTCCAAACTTATCCCTACTCCACGCACTCAATTTTGTGGAGGTAAAAGCAATTTTTGAGCACAAGTCTCCACCATAATCCCATGCCTCGGCAATAATGTCGGCACACTTTTCATCTCGAAGCCACATCTCCTCGAATCGATACAACTTTCTCTTCTTTTTTTTCTTTTGCTTTGGGACGGCTTCTTGAATACAAAGAAGGAGAGGGAGGTGATCGGACTTCCTCTTCGTGAGATGGGTGACAAAAGACCCTTGAAAAGCATCTCTCCAAGCTCGGTTTGCAAGGAACCTATCAAGCCTCTCCTGTATATTTTTTTCCCCACCCCTATTGTTCGACCAAGTAAAATCATGACCAAGAAAGCCAAGATCCTCCAACTGGCAAAACCCAACAGCATCACGCAAGATATTTGCCTCCTCCATATCAAACGCCTCCCACCCTGCTTTTCACTCGAATGAAACATTAAATTCAAGTCACCCCCGCAAGCCAAGGATTGTCATTCCCCTCTTTTAACGTCCTTAGAAGCTTCCCAGTTTTCCATTTATTTTCTTCATCCGGATACCCATATACACCAGAAAAACGCCACTCCCCATGAGTGATCGAACGAACCATAGTATCAATGTGGTTTGCCGAGAAAGAATTAATATTGACCTTAATGCTACTGTTCCAAAGAAGGGCCAACCCTCCTTTTCTCCTTCTCCCTTCCCCTTCACATTCACATTCAACAATAAAACAAGAGCTGAATTTTATTTTATTTTTGATTTTTTCCATCTCGACCTTCTTCAACTTCGTCTCCATGAGAAACACCAATTGGGGGCATTCAAGAAAAATTATGCGCTTCAAAGCATTGATTGCAGTGGTGCTCCCCAACCCCCTACAATTCCAAGACAATATGTAACTCATTTATCACAAAGAGCCCTTTTGGTGGGGCTCGCCACACTCACAGCAGCAATAGGAGTAACACGTTTCTTTTTTCCTCTATCTGTCGAACCAGCCATCAAACCTTCACTCTCCTTCACCACATTTTCAAGGTTTCGTTTTTCTCCTGACAACACAATGCCTTCACCCATACTATGATCATTGTCTCGAGGTATTCTCTTCCACCCTTTCTCCACCTTCCCACCTCCTCTCGCCACTTCCTCAGCACCACACCTCCCCTTTTTACTCTCTTCCCGCTCAGCATGGCTTTCAAAAACAAAGATTTCAGAGCCCTCCTCTGTCGAAGTATTACTCACCAGCAAAACAACATTCTTTCCCGTATCATCACAGAGACTAACATCACTGAGTTTATCAGACATATCAAGAACACGAGCAACATCATCAGCATTAGGGGATTTCTTCTTCGGTTTAGTCACAAAGAGCGTTTTAGCACTTTTCATACGGTCTAAGCCCAGCCCCTCCTCAGTCACACCCATCGAGTACTTCCAAGGCGAGGCTTTCATCCAAGCCCCATACAAAGTCACTGGATTTTCAGCATCCCTAAACTCCTCACAATCCTTCATACCATGCCCCATTAAACCACAGCAATAACAGAATAAGGGAGGCTTTTCATACTTGACTTCAAAAAATTCTTCAATCCCTCTTAATTTTAATTTAACATGCTTAGTCAAAGGCTGTCTCACATCCACAAGAACTCTGAGTCGAATGGATTTATCAATCCCTACTCTAGCATCATTATCCAACTTCACAAAGACTCCTAACTTGTTACCAATTTTTTCCACATTACTCACATTTAATCTCCCCTTAAGAGGAAGATTATATACTCTAATCCACATGGGTAAATGAAAGAGTTGAATGTCAGAGGGTTTTACCGAATCAATCGTCTCACCAAGGATGATAGCATGTCTATCGAAGTGACACGGTTGATCTTCAAGAACTCTACTTTTGTCACGCCAATGATAAAACTGGAACAAGAACAAGTTCTTATCAATGCTGGTAATGTCCACTCCATGCTTTGGCTGCCACACTCCTTTCATCGTGTTAATGAAGGCATTGACATTAACCGTCCTATTAGTCCATATCTTCCCCACCAAGGCAAGTTCGACCCTCGCATCCTCATCCTCTTCACCTTCGACAACCCAATCAATTGCTTCATTATCCTCCTCATGATGATTATTATTATTTGTCTTATGAGTTTCGCCTGCAACCCTTGCAAGGGTTGAAATTGGATTTGTAACCTCTCCAGAAATTGTGATCGAATTATTTTTGTCTCCCATGATTGAGAGAAAAACAAGACAAGATTATGAAAAAATAAACACAAATCAATAATTCTCGACCTGAAATCGAGAAGAACCTTGAAAAAACAGGAAACCCTAGTCAAGGGGACTAGAACAAAACCCTCCCAAGGAAAAACCTAGAGGGAACTCAACTTGTCATATAATACCTACCATGATACTTATTTCCATTTTGACAACACATTTAATCTAATCATACTTAATTTTTTTTTCAACATATATTTTATATACTATAAATATTTTAGTTACAAATATACTAACATAGTTTAAAATTAAGGTATTGACATATATCATCATCTAAAATTATCATAATAATATTATAATTTTTTTTCCTCCGACTTCAAATTTATTTTAATTAAAATAGGAACAACAATTTTGGTAGGATAATTTGTATAAATCTTACAAATATACATAACGTTTATAAGACCAGCTTAACAAAATCATTTTATTATATTATACTCCTCCATTTTTTTATAAGTTATGGTTGGATTTACACATTTGTTGAGACACAACTTTGACCATCAACATCTTTAATTAGAGACTATTATTTTGTTACAAATATTTTTTTTTGGATAAATTTGTTGAATTAACACTATTCTTTATAAATTTTGTTGTAAAGTTTAATTATGACCGTGCATGGCACGGGATTTAACCTAGTTGTGACTCTAGATACTTGTACTGAAAATTTGAAAGGTCACAGGCCACAACAAATAGAAGTATACTCTATGACTAACATGAACATGAAGCAAACTTGTATTTTCTCTAAAAAGAACAATTTAACTGCGAGCCTAATGTAAATTATTATTCCGAGAGTTGCCAGCAAAGGCTACAAGTAAGGAGAAGGTTTTTTGGGTTGGTATTTGCGGGTCAGACATTTTGAGAATGAGGGGGAAAAGGACAAAAGGTAAGGGACCCTCACCCTCAAAGTGTCTCTTATGGGATTGAACCCCCAACCTCAAGATTGAAAAATACAATCCTTACCACTAGACCAAACTTAGCTCGATAGCTTTAACATTGGTAATATAATTTTGTTTGTGTGCCTAATGACTAATCCATATTGTATTCCGTAGTTTTGTCCAAATATGTGTATACGACTATACGAGTATGTCCTGAAAATAAATTATTTAAAGAAAAAAAATAAATTAAAAACTAGTTTAGCGAACCCAACCACAAAAGTGTTGAAGTCTTCCTACTTGAAAATTCAAGTCTACCAAGCTCCCCAGCGGTAGATCACAGTATTCATCATCCTCCAAAGCTTGATGAAGAAGCTTTGATCAATTCATCATAACTCCCATCTTCAATCTTCCTTAACAATTCTTTAAAATGCCCAGATTTTCTTGTGATTTCAGATGGCTTCTTCTTGTTGCTGCCGTCGCATTTATCTACATCCAGGTAATAATAAGCAATTTCAGTGTTCTTTGATTATTATTTTCCTTTAATCTTCACTTCTTGAAAACCCTAATTTCACCTTTTAAGTAATTAATTGATTACATTTTCATCGATTTTAGTGTTCGGTAGTCGTTTAATTAGTGATATTCTGTTTCTTATGAAATTTTATTTTGTGGGATCCCTTTAATTTGCCTATTGTGTTGAGTAGTTAGGATGAATTTAGTTTGATTGTATGTACTGATATGGAATGGAAATGATTAAGGAGAATTAGTTTAGTGTGGTGGAATTTGTTGCTTCAAGCTAAGAAGGGGATTTAATGGTCAGAATTATTAGTTTATGTTTCGATTTTCAGAGAAATTGCATATTAAATTTTGAAAATGTTGATAATTATGGCCCTATGATTGAAGTGTAGTTGGATAAATGCCAGTGTAAGGTGAGGTATACCAGTATACCCGGCAATGATTAGGGTTTAAGGTTTAAATTTATAGACGCGACTATTGTAAAATTAGTAACACTTTAAATGTGTATGGGGTTTAGTTCTTTTGTGATGATGATCCCATATTAGAGATACTTAGTCAATGTCGTCAAGGGCTTCAAGTTCTGGTGTGAAAGTAGGTTTATGTTTGAGTTTGCTTGGTGATTTATGTTTTTTCTGCATTCTATATATTAAACTTTGTAAGAGCATATTGTCACATACTAAATGTTATTGCTGTTGATAAACTACTTCTTATAATAATTGTGGAGTGTTAATGTATTGCTTCTTTGGTGTTATTTCTTTTATTTTAGATGCGGCTGTTTGCTACGCAATCGAAGTATGCTGATCGCCTGGCTGCTGCGGTATGTGGACATTGTTTAAATTTCATGCTGCTCTTGTGTTAGTGATGGAATGCTTATGATTTATATATATTTTTTTTTAATAATTTTGAATTATCTTGACATGTTGACTTCGTGATACTTGTTATACCAATTTTTTTTTTTTTTTTGGGTGTGTTTATTCAGTTAGTTCTCTCTCTACTTCCTCTTTTATCTTGTGGTGGCATTATCTGGCAGAAATTTGGAACTTTAGCTTCTGTTTGACCAATCAATTTCCTCAAGTTTTTAAAGGCAATGCTTAGAAATTGAGTATAATTTTGTGTCGGTAATAGTGATGAAAGCCTTTGTTTTAATTCTAGAGGCATAAGGAAAATTTAGTGGTATTACCATTGCTAAATTGTTGCCATCGAGGCTAGATATATAAAGGCTTCCATTAAGAATAGGGCTTGGGAATTCTGCTTTATGTGTTGATCACACTGTCCATCTCTGAAATAGCATAGCTGATATCTTAGGGTATTAGATTACTAATTAAAAATAGGTTACGAGTCATACAACTTAATATTAATTATGGCAGTTAGAGCAATTGACATAGAGATCTTTAAGAAGCTAGAATATTTATAGGAATCCACTTTTAGAAGTTCTCAATTTTAATTAATGTCAATATTTGTACATTTTAGCATGTATGGAAATGCATCATGTCACTGCATGGTGACTCTTTAGTTTTTATGGTATGCCGGTGTTGAAACCTTCTTTATTCTCTGTACAGTTCTTGATATATAGTTTAAATGTAGAATGAACCTACTAGGAAAGATACATTTGGATCACATCAGTGTTACTTGCACGTTTTTACCCTATTTTTTCCTTCGTTTTCAGGTGGAGGCCGAAAATTATTGTACAAGACAGACACGGTTATATATTGATCAAATAAGCATGCAACAAGGACAGATTGTGGCATTAAAAGGTGTGTTATTTTTATAATGTAGTCTTCTTTAAGTTTCAGTCACCTCCTTTTGACTGCATATTGTCTATGGTATCCCGTATCCTCACTATTCTTAAGTGCTACTAGCCAGGAGTCAATTGATTTTTTGTTCAACGCCATCGTTTTGTCATAAATTTAGATTCTTGTAGGGGAATAAAAAAGTAAGACTAAATCTGTTTCAACTTTTAATAGCCTTAAAGCAGTGATATCAAACTGGATATCAATTTAATTGGTGCTAAGCATATAGAACAGTATGTTTGGAAATCCAAGGACTCTGCATTGGCAAAGTTAAAACTGTGAGGAAAGGGTTCGATACCGAATTGTTTTTGTAAATTCCACACCCCTTGTAACACTGTCATCATAAACGAATTTTGATCTGTCATCCTTGCTCATTTTCTTCAATGTATGTTAAAGCTGCATGATAGTGCTTAGTTTCCTCCGAGTCCATAGGTTGTTTAACTATAGGGATAGGGGAAGGTAAACATGTTGAGAGTAGGCTATTGGCCCCCATTACATAGGTTCTCCATAATCTTACCGGTTTAAGTTTTATGTTGTAGAAGGGACTGATTGCCATATTATGCCCATGAGCTGTCCATTTGAACTTGATATTTAGTGTATATATGTTTTTTGATCTGTGCTCGTGTGTGTGTGTGTGTGTGTGTGTGTGTGTGTGTGTGTGTGTGTGTGTGTGTGTTTGTGGCTATTAAGGATGAGGGAGAGTCAGCTATGATGGTTAGGGCATGTGAAATGTTACCTGGAGGATGCTTTGATTAGGAATTTAAAGGGTTGGTAGTCTTGGGGCAATGTGGATTATAAAGAAGTCAAGGGTGTCGTAAGTGTACTTGGATAATGGGATTTAAAAAGGATGTGAAGAAATTGGGATTGCAAGAGGATGTGGGCAAAATAGAAGCAATTGGAGGATGGGTAAATGGATATATATTCTTGTTTCATCCTTCGAAAAAGGTTTTTATTTTGTTTGGTGTTGTTTATGCTTTTTTATTTTATTAAAGCTATTTGTTCTGCAAGGTTACTTGTAATGAAAAACTTATCTGATGTACATATTTCATTTTTTAATTTTGCTACACGGAAGAGTCAATATTGCAGGGATATACTTAGAGAAGCATATACTCTATCATAGCCTTCATTGGGGCTCTTGAGAAGCATAAGATGTGAAAAATTTATGAACCAATTACTTGTGCTAAGATATGAACAATTACTTTCTTTGTTGGTTGCTTCAATTGCCAAAGCTAATTTTTCTGGTTTTATTTTTATTTTTATTTATTTTTTATATAATATCAGATGAGAAAAGGCGCAGAGATGAAGAAACAGCCCAGCTGAGAGCTCTTGTCCGAGATCTTGAGAGTATGTACTTATTACTGATATTGCCATTTCCTGCTATCATGTACTCTGTAGTTATTTCCTTTTCTGCATTGGGAATTTTTTGCCTTCTTAATCTGAATTTTTTAGTGCATATGTAATGAATAGTGTCTAGGTTCTAGCAATTGGTTTTAGCTCTTGTGTTATGTTGCGAATAAGCTTGATGGTGTTTGAGTCCTTAAGATAAAAGTTCATATTGCTCCCTCCTCCTATTTTGTTCTTGTAACTTTTGAAGCATGGAACATAAAAACTAAAGGATAGAATTTGATACCCTTAATTTTATCAATATGTTTTCTGGATGATTTATAATTTCTGATGCCTCATGTCCGAGAAAATGTCTAATGACTTTGCAGGAAAAGGTCTTCAACGATTGAATGGGAAACTAGAGGTTGAAATCAAGTGGAGCAATCACTTATATTCCATTTTCAGATGTATTCATTGAGTACTTGATCAAGTTTCTCTTCTTGTCTGCTGAATCCATTAGGTGCCAGTGGCAGCAGTTGTGGTGATGGCCTGCAATCGCGCTGATTACTTGGAAAGAACTGTCAATTCTATTTTGAAGTATGTCTATTGTAAAATTTAGGTCTTATGTTCAAGTTTGCCTTTTGAAATAAGCTGTCTTGATTCTGATTTTGTGTTTTTCAATAGGCTTAAGTGTTTATATATGCTGACTAGAGCACTATCTTTTCAGATATCATGGTTCTGTTGCATCAAAGTACCCACTTTTTATATCCCAGGTAAACATCCGGGTTAGGGAAATTCCCTGTTTCTCATGGTGAGAAACGAAATTTGTTTCTCATGGGGGCATTTTTGTGAATAAATCAACAACTTTTTCATTATTGTGGGTTCCACAGTTGAATAAAGTTGTTGGTTTATTTACGAAAATGCCATGTGAGAAACAAAATTTGTTTCTCACCATGAGAAACTGGGGCATCCTCTCCGGGTTATCTGTTGGGGCGCTGATTTTTGTAGTATATTATATTCCAATTTTAAGAAAACTTAAAATGTAATATTGGTATTGCTATCAGGATGGACCAGACTCAAAAGTCAAAAGTAAGGCATTGACTTTCAATCAAATAACGTATATGCAGGTATTGTATTTATGGATGCATCTCCTTAATTGTGAATTTATTGATCATTAGTACATATTGGTTTTGATTGTCAGTTAGATGTTTTATATGGAGTTTCTCACCTGCTCCTTGTGAGTTAGATTTATTTTTATCATCTTCCATTCTTCCCTATACATATTTGAGACATGTACACAACCACGTATTTGGAAGGACTAGTTTTATCCTCACTCTCAACTTCCTCCCTTTCGAAGTAGTTGCAAATTGCAATATATTGATTTTCAAGTTAGCCATGCGTAACTTTGATCATTAAATTTTATAATTAACTACTATAAAAAAAAATATAAAATGATAATTTATTGAAAATGTACATTGTGATAAACCAATAACCTTGTACATGATTTATGTTTCCATATATTAGTAGAAAAATATGGTCTACGTACGACAAATGAATTGTGTCAAAAGTCAAAATGGTGCAACTATTTTGAAAGAGGTGATAATATTTTGTGCTTTCCCATGATTCCAGTACCCCCATGATCAGGGAATTGTCCAAACTCCAAAGGTTTTCTGTTAAAGGTTTTTGATTTGAACCTTTCTGTATTAGTGACCAATTGACTGTGTGAAAGTGGATTCATCTTTTTCTGGAATGGCTGCATTCATTTGGTTTAAAATTGCAAAGATTGTTAGATTTGATTATATAAATGACAAACCGAGAAAGTAGCTTTTAATCCTAAAGTTATACTCCCTCACTCCTGGGGTACTGTATAGCTTACTCTTTTAATAAGTGCATGTGTTTTTCCATGAATAAAGAAAGTGGCTTTTAATCCTAAAGTTATACTTCATCAATGCTTTTATTTATTTATTTTTATTCATTGCAGCATCTGGATTATGAAGCCATTCGTACAGAGAGACCTGGAGAATTGATTGCATACTATAAAATTGCACGTAAGGACAGGTTGATATATTATTATTTTTTTAATCTTTAATAAACCTATTTCATCATCTTGAATGAGTTGCTTCTTCTAGGTCATTACAAGTGGGCACTGGACAAGTTGTTCTACAAGCACAATTTCAGCAAAGTGATCATTCTTGAAGGTACTTAATACTTTATCTTGCTGTCACATGATTGCATCCATATTCCTGTGTCTTCCCATTAGTATATGTTATTAAAAATTGGCCTTTTGTGCTTAAGTTCACCTTTATGGTCAAATGCAGATGACATGGAGATTGCCCCTGATTTTTTTGAGTATTTTGAGGCTGCAGCAGGTTTACTTGACAGAGATAGGTGTGTCTCTCATGTTCATCGTATTTAATGTTTATAATTTGCAAAAAGCTAACTTCTGTATTGAAGGATTAGTCTGATAATTGAAGTTTAGTTACTTGGGATCCTTTTTCTGCAGACCTTCTTAAACTGCTGATGTTATGTATTGTGCTGCTTGTTTGTGAAACTGTTCAATCATAGGTCAATCATGGCTGTTTCCTCCTGGAATGATAATGGACAAAAGCAGTTTGTGCATGACCCTTGTAAGTTTTTTATTCCTTATTCCTGAAATGACGTACTCATGAAACTTATTTTGCTCTGTCAAACCTGCTGGAGTCTGGATGTGCTTATAGCCTTATACCTAAAGCAGACCGATTCTACAATACCTATGGATCCATACCTTTTCATTAATCTGTAAAACTTATGTGGCTTTTCTCTAAGCCTATAAATTGACCTATTTAATTGAAGAAAAAGGTCTAGGTAAGTCAGAATTTATGCAGCTTTACTCATATCAAGGCTTATCAGGTCAAAGGTCTTTCCTTTATTTTGTTATAAGATGAATGAAAGCACTTTTCACATCATACCTAATCCACATTATTATTTCATGCAATGTTTATTCCTGTTTGAATGTGAGTTAAGTAACTCATCTCAAGGTTTTTGTTCGTTGTATACATGGTAATCTAACATCTGTATCTAACCATCCATTATGATACGTTGTTTGTTAATTTTTTTGTCACTTAATTCTTGTTGTAATTATTGTTGTTGCATGTTTGATTTATTTTATTTATTTTCCCTCATCTATGCACAGACCTGTATCATCAATCTTATCTGTGATGTTATGCAGATGTACTTTATCGATCTGATTTCTTTCCTGGGCTTGGATGGATGTTATCGAAAGATACATGGGATGAATTATCCCCAAAGTGGCCCAAGGCATATCCTTCACATTTTTTTTCTTTTCATCTTGTATATGTTCTGGTGCTGATTGATCCATGTACAAGTTTTTCCTTGACAAAAACTCTACTTACTGGGATGATTGGTTGAGACTGAAAGAGAATCACAAGGGTCGACAATTTATAAGACCAGAAGTTTGCAGAACGTATAATTTTGGCGAGCATGTATGATCTAGCCCTACCATTTTTATGCTTTAAACTTGATATGCATTTGAAAATTTAACTTTCAGCGAAGCTAAACTTTCATGATACACATTATTGTAGCATCTATAAGTACATTCAGAAACTGGGTATTTTGAAGTTACATATGTGGTCATGTTATTCATCCGTTGGCTCTCCTGCATAGATTATATTTGTCATTTAGAAAGTTTGCTGTTTTATGCTTTGATTCTCTGAATGGATTCCACACTGCTTATCAAAAAGCTTTAAATGATTTCTGTGCAGGGTTCCAGTCTAGGGCAGTTTTTCAGCCAATACCTTGAGCCAATTAAGCTCAATGATGTGGATGTGAGTGCCAGTTATCTTCAGTGTTAAAATGATTGTCAGCCCCCCCTCCCCCCCTAAATTTATGAACTTTCTTTATCTTTCAATTGTCCTTATCCCTGTGGTCTTTACTTCTGCTAGGTTAAGTGGAAGTCAATGGATTTAAGCTACCTGATGGAGGTTAGTAACATTGGAACCTTTCTACAAGCATACATGTCAAATTGTGAAGGCATAATTGTTATTTAAATTTACAGCATATTTAGTTGTTCAGATTATATGTCTGATAACTTATTGGTGCTGTACTGCTGTATATAGACATATAGTTCATTAATCTCATAGTTTAAACGTAACAATCTAAACAAATTAACCACACACAATATCTGTTGACTTAATATCTCTAGAGTCAAATTGAATACTGAATATTGTGCATTTGAGTTCTTGGCTCAGAGTAGATTTTGCAACTTTTGATTATGCCTGCTGTTGGTTCAGTTATCGTAATAATGTCATTTATTGATGTTCAGGACAACTATATAGAATACTTTGCCAGCCTTGTGAAAAAGGCTAAACCAATATATGGTGCTGATGCTGTAGTGAAGGCCAATGGTGTAGATGGTGATGTACGCATTAAGTACGAGGATCAGCCAGAGTTTGAAAGCATTGCCAGACAGTTTGGTATTTTTGAAGAATGGAAGGTATATTTTACATCCATAGATTATTATGACCCCTTGTCTAATCTCTTCAAGCCTTTAATTGGCTTAATATTGAAATTCAATTCAGGGTCATGCCTTGGTCTCGTATTCACATTAAAGATGACTCTTTATTACATGAACTATTATATGTTAAAATTCTTGTTCTTTATCTCTCTATTTTTTTAAAAAAAATTTGTTTTCTTTCAAGAATTCATTTGATTTTTGGTTTAAATAATGGACTAAGGGCTCATTAAATTGCATGTCCTTTAATATTCTTGGATAGAGTCAATAGAAAAAAATATAAAATAAAAATAAATAAATAAAAAAAAAAAAAAAAAACCACAGCAAGAGCAAGGCTTTAGACATAATTCAGGCCCCAGTGGAAGTTTGTGATATGGTTGATAGTCTTGTTTGCTTCAAGTTACTACTGTAGGCCCCGGGATATTTGGTGGAAAAATACAGTTTGCTCCCACTTCACTTTATTGAGTCTTATTTGCTTCAATGCCCTTGGTTTGCACCAAAACCCTGACATTGTACACTTACGGAGTAGTAGCTTTGCATTTTTGATCTATAATCAGTAGTAGCTTTGCATTTTGGACCTAGAATCAGTAGTAGCTTTACATTTTGGACCTAGAATCAGTAGCATCGTAAAATTAGGATGCTTGTACATGACCTAATCTTTTTGTTGGATCAGGATGGTGTTCCCAGGGCAGCATACAAGGGAGTAGTAGTTTTCAGATATCAGAGTTCAAAGCGTGTCTTCCTTGTTGGCCCAGATTCCCTAAAGCAACTTGGAATAGAGACATCCTGAATTTATACAGGTAAGAACTTTCGAAGCAATTTACGATTCTTCAGCTCCTCTTCCCCCTCTGCTTCCTCCTATTTTGTAGATCTCGAAGGAGATGAACTTGAATGGATTTTGCTGGCAGCAAAATTTGGAAATGCCTGAAAGATGGGGCCTTGTGGGTGAATCATGTTGTTGATTTGGTACATCTTTCAAACGTGTGTAATTATTTTTTCTGTGATGGCATAGGTGAATCTCCTGTCACACTAATCAGACGAAGGGTTTTGGCAAAATTCCACTTATAGAACATGATTGAAGGGTCTGTGAATGTCTACAGTGCTGTTTCAAGGTCTGCCAATGCTCAAGCTTCATTGTTCAGATTCTGTGCTACTGTTCAACAGACGCAACCTAAGTTGGACCCAAGCAACTCCTAAGATTTGTAGGTGTCTTGGATAGTTGTATATTGGGCTGTAATCATGATAGTTGGAGCCCTGGAGATAGTGATATTGTAGGTTTTAATTTGTAGAGCCTTCTTGTAATGCTGCTACCCTAAATTTTGGACTGGCTTAATATCATAGTATCATACCATGAGAGACAATTATTGATGTGACAAGAATATTAGTGTAGTTTCATTCTCAACTGAAAATTTGGTTTACCTTTGTTCCTAGTATTCTAAAAATATGTACACAATTGAGATACATAGTAAATTAACTAGGAACTACTTATTCATTATTACATTGATAATCTGATATTCATATTTAACATAGTAATAGTTATAGTTCAATTTTACATTTTTCTATGAGTAACCAGTTTGTATAGTTGCTTTTTTGGTTGTACAAAAAAAAATGTATAGATTTGATAAAATCATAAAACACTTTATATTGATGATCCTTTTTATTATTGTTATTATTATTATTATTATTTTTTTTTTACATCTGCTTCATAATTAGTTCAATAATAATGCTTACAAGTATAATCCCAGTTTTGAACAATATTTATCAACTAATCCCAACTTTGAGTTAAATCATAATTATGTCAACTTTAGCAACACTACAATTATCTCTATTTCTTAATTTTTTTTACTAATCAGAGAGGTTGAAATCGTGTTTTGGACTAGTCTTCTACTATGATATTAAAGGATCAAAGAAAGATGGAAGAGAGAAAAAACAATTGACAAATAATGACAAAATCCGTATGCAAATTGTGATGCTCACTTACTCGTCGGATTCGGTGAATGCATTCACGGATGGGAAAGATTGGGAACAAAGCAAATATGTAGTGAACAAGAAAAAATACAAGTTGATTTTCATAATAAACAACCATTTTTTTTTTATCTAGTGACGATATTGTAAATGAGTTACTTGTAACATGTTTTTTATTATTCATGAGTAAAACCGTTACTTCATTTTAGCGAATAATGTTCACTAATAATACGATTTTATCCCTTATGTGGGGTTGGCAATAACACGACCCGACCCGACCAACCTAAATTTGACCCGATTTGACCCAAATTTCATATTTCATAATAATACGAAATATTAAGTTTTGCACTATAATTTGACAGTTTTTAAGCATAACTCGAAATTGATCGGAAATCTCACCCAAACCCGACTCGCTGACCCGAATTGCCACCCCTACCCTTATGTTACCGTCAGGGATGTATTACTTGTTTGCTTCCTTATTGCTAAAAAAAAATAAAAAATAAAAAATAAACCTAAGCTAAACGCCTAAACCCCAACCCTCTTTCTCTCTCCTCAAAACCTTAAACCCTCCCTCTTCTCCTCCAACATCCCACTAAACAATGGCGTCCAAAAAAACCAAAACCGCCGCCACCACCACCACCGCCATCACTGGAATCCAGAAGAAGCGTGACAAACGCAGCCTATCAAACCCTAAAACCAAAAAAGCCAAAACCACCGCCGCCGGAAGCCAGAACAATCTCGACGAAAGCAGTCAATTAGAGCACGTTCAACAACTAGCTCAACAACTCCTCTCCTCAGCAGCTTACAGCAACAATCTCCATCATCTTCTCACTTACATCACCCCTTCTTCTCCTCCTTCTGTCGTCGTCGATTCTGTTCTCTCTCTTCAATCCTTCTTCCACGTTAACATCCACGATCTTCCTGCTTCCTCCAATGCCGCCGCCGCCACCGCCGCAAACTCCGACACTTCCGACCCCGATTTCATTTACAAAACTTGGCTTCGCTCTAAATTCGACGACCTCGTCAAATCGTTGCTTGATATCGCGGTTTCTCCTCTATCTGATCAACTTGCTCGTATTGAATCTGGGTTCATTCCAGTTGGTGTGAGTAATTTCTATTAAATTGCTGCCTTTTCATTTTAAACTTTGATTTTTCTTATTTTGGATTGTTTATGAAATTGCGTGTTTTTTATTTTGGTTGTTTCCCTAATTCAGCTACTCAAATTTGCAAATTCTATGACTATAAATGTCTTTAATTCTAATTTTTGTGTTTCATTATAATTGATATTAAGTTGCTGCGTTTTCAATTTAAAGCTTAATTTTTCTTATAAGTTTTGGATTGTACATAAAATTGCGTAAGATTTTTTATCCAATTTGATGAGTATCCCGAAATTTTTGATATTGATAAGAAATTACTTTAATTTTTACTTTTGTCAGCAATTTCTATGTTTTTAAGCTTGAGTTCTACTTATTATGTAATGTCCACCAAGATAATTGATTTTACTGTTTCTAATTTTCAGGAAATCGTATTGGCTACATTAATGGAGTTTGTGAAGCTTGGAAATGGCAAAAAGTTTTATTCTGCTTTATACCATAAGCTTATTCAGACAATTGTGAGTTACTTACCTGTGTGGCTGTGTCACGGAATTTTGCTTTTTCATCTTGCTGCTTGTTGATTTTTAGGAATTGCTTTTAATGATGTAATCTGCATTCTCTCTAATTGGCAGATTTATTCGTCGTTGGATGCTGAATTCGTACTCGAAACCTTAGCTTCAAAATATTTCAAGTACGTCGATGTACGGTATGGGCTCTTTTCTGAATCACTTGCCTCTCCATTTGCGTAATATATTGTAAATTTAAGCAGACATTGTCGATTGTGTTTTCGGAAGACATGTAATTCTATGTATTAGACTCTGGATACATTCTATTTCAAAGTGTGCAGAGAATACTAAGAAAATTATAGATTATGCATTCCATTTAGGTGGTGTTTCTTCCTTATTAGCTGGCATCATGGCCTTATAGGATGCAATTTAAATTCATATGATGGTTTACGTTCTGTTATTTATGATTTGAACAATTTGGTGCAGTTATTTTACCTATATTACAGTTGAAAAACTCTGTAAAACATTGGAGTCCAACAGTAGTTCAGGTACCTGATTTTCTTTCTTTGAGTATGCTCTTTTTAAATGCTGCTCTTATCTTCTATCTCTGTAAAATTTTAATATAGTTTTCAAGCACTTAACCTAATTTATTCCAGGTGGTAAAGCTGGGATTAAAGACAAAGATGATTCCAAGGCAAGGTTAGTTGATTGTTTACTTCAGCACAAGTTTTTCCTTCTATCTTGTACTTTGTGTAGCAAGAGGATATATATGCAGCATTATTGCCCCGTGACTTTTGGGTAGGTGATTGTAACTTTGAGCACCTAGTGCAATTACAACTCGAATCTCCCGATTAAGAAATCAGCACCTTTGTGATTTGTTAATTCTCAGTATCTACTTAATACTTACTGGTTTAGCTTTTGCCATTAGGCGTGTTATGTTTGAAAGATGTTCTATCATTAATAGAAGAGCTGCATCAAGTAGGTTAAAAAAAAAAATTAATTTTTTTTTTTTTTTTTTATAATTTTTTTTTTCCTGATGCCTTTTAATAGATTTTAGGTCACTCCTCTGATTGGACAAAGATTTTGGTTCTATTAGTTTTATTAATCGGTCATTCGTTCATCACCTATGGTTTTTATGCACATCTTGAAGATGGTTAATTTTATCAAATATGTGTTCTGTTTATTTTTATTGGCTTGTTTTAATACAAAATAATTCAGGTGGAATGTAGTAACCTTCTTAAAGTGAAGCATTCTTTTATTTAATGGGTCTCCCCTTCCCCCTAAATAATGAGACTTGAGTGGTATTTTTTACCTTGCCTAGCGCCTTGAGGGGGAATGGGGGAATTTTTTTGTTGAGGGTCTTTGCCCCTTGCTCCCTTAAAAAGTTGCTGAGATGCTGTGGCAAATCCAAGGATTATAATAGGCAGGATAACTAAATAGGAGTTGGTATTGACTTTGACGGTTTGAAGCTTGTAATGCAAACCTAATTCAGTTGGTTCAAGCTTGCTCTGTGAGCCTGTGGCTGAGAGTCTGAAACTACTGACTTATACCTAATTTTATTGTGAATTATAATTGATCTCATAATATATTTATTTATTTCTTTCTCTTTTATTCTGCAACAGCCTAGAGTGCTCAATAAAGAAGATTCATTTTATCTTATCTCACATTCCTCCTTTGGGCAACGTGGATGAAAGTAATGCTATTGAGATGTTGAGTGCAGGTGAATCCCCTATTTTGTTTGATTTGATGTGTTGGCATCTGTTCCTCATCATGTTCCTTGTGTTTTTTTACTCCTTCCCTTATGGACTTCCTTCTTGTTTGCCCACAACCGGGAGACCATATGGGGAGTTGTGCCATTGTGGAGGGGGATATATCTGTGCTCTTGTTTTCTAACAATACCTAGCCTAGTTTACTAGTTGTTTTTGTTTTGTTGACTTTCTCTCTTTGTCAGGGGCTACTTGGGCAAGTGTCCCGGCTGTTTTAGCTTGCTCTCTGTTCTACTTGTCGTCTTGTCTAAAGTCTTTAAGTGCAATGTTTCTAGTAAACGTAATTTTGTTTTATATCATTGCCAAAACAAGAGAGTTAAATTTCCCAAACTATATGGATTCTATGTAAACCTCCTGTGACAGCCATGCCTCTTGCTGGAACGTGTGATTTAATTTCTGAAAATTTTCTTCGAAAAATTCTCTCTTCTTTTCTTCTTTTACTCATTTGCATTTTCTATCTACCATAAGTAGCCTGTGATAGTCTTGCAATTTTTGTTGATGAATTAAGATATGATTTTATTTGGTTTTAATGGATTAGGTTTCTTATCTAAAGAAGGTCAGCAGGAGGAGGCTAAGCATAAAGAAGGGAAAGATAAACAGAAAAATAGAGCAAAAATTACCAAAAATGTTAGTGCTAGTGTTTTGTTTTGTTTTATTCCTTTATTTTTTTTTACGGTTTGAAATTATTTTTACCGGTTCATTATTCTGCAAAGTAACTTTCTTTTGATGCGCCGCTTCTTGTTATTGTTCTGATTGTTTAGTTTTCATGGTAGCCAAAAAATGTGTACGTCTCTTTCTGATGTACAATTTGCTGGGTAATTGAAATCTATCACAGGGTATTGCAGGGAAGATAAATAGTGTAAAAGCCCTTATGTGGAAATGGAGGATAAACACATGAATTTACACTATGTAGGGTGGACAGCTTTTCAAGGGCTGTTTTATGGACCTACCTAAGAAAATCATGTCTCACCTAATGTTTTCCTCTTCATAGATTTTAAATATGTGGGGAAGGGCTAGTATTGAATAATTTACTAGGGATTTCCTCTTGGAATTGAATTAAGTAGTTTAGAACTTGGAGTAGTTTCTACCATGTAACAAAATGTCATGGTAACTAATATTCCTAAGAATTTGTTCACCATCTGATATGTAACACCACCTCTTTTTATTTATTTATTTATTATTTTTTTTTTCTCCCATTCATTTTCTTCGTTTTGGCAGCATGAGCCATGGGGTGTTGATATGATGATTCTTCTATAGTATTATCGTTACTATCTTGGTTAGCCTTCCCACCACCCTTTCTAAGTTCCACTTTCAGTCTTTCACTATGTTATGTTTTGGACACTTTTGGTTCATCTTTCATGCTAGTCTTTTTCACAGCATTGTCAAATTGTTTATTTGCACCCGTTTGCTTAATATCTTGCATTTTAAAATCCTCCTTAACATTTGCTTTATCATGACTAGGGATGAATGCCTAGGACCCAAAGTCTGTGCACACTATGCATATTGCATACTATTTGTGTACACAATTGATCATGTGCTAGTTGTATGTTAAATTCATTTACAATTTGTGCTTTTCATACTTTTTCTATTCACAAATGATCTTTTGTCACTATTATGTTATTGAATTTTGGATTCCTTAATTATATGTTTTGACAGTTACTATCATACACTTTGTCTTCCAGGATGTTCCTTTGAGCAGTGTCTCAAAAAAGATGAAACTTAAGTTCACAAAGGCATGGATGTCATTTCTTAGGTTACCACTTCCTCTTGATGTCTACAAGGAGGTAAAGACAACTGCATCTTAGCCTTTCATTTTGTAGTGCTGATATATATTTCTTGGCTATGTGTATGCTGAAGAATGTTGCTCAAAGTTCACTTTCTCTGAAGTCATTTAGGTAAAATATAACTTATTCTAGCCTGATATTCCTAGATATATGTCAAGTTTTTACTGTGGGAGTGTAGGGTTAATAAAAACACATTCGGTGGGGTTCTTTTTCTTTTCCACATTTTCTAAGGCTGACGGATGGAGATGGCTACAGGCTGAACCACTCTTGACACTTCAGGCTATTTTGACCGTAACGAGGCTGGGTTGGGTCAGGACTGGTTTTAATCCCTGTGTTCATTTAGTTCAGTCTATCAGCAGGAATGATTTGATCTGTTCATTGGTCCCTGTTGAACTGAAGTGTTGTTCGCCTAGTTTGAACTTGGCATTTTGACCTGATATAATTTTTTAGGTGACCCAAAGTATTGATATTAGAAATAATTCTTAAATTTCCATGATATTCAGGTGCTTGTTAATCTGCATCAGGAAGTCATTCCCTATTTGTCCAATCCTGTCATGTTATGGTGAGTACATTTTCATCTTCTACTTTTGCTCTGCCCTTGTATTTTCAAAATTTATGTGCTTAAAATACACTCGTTTTTTCAGTGACTTTTTGACAAGGTCCTATGACATTGGTGGAGTAGTTAGTGTTATGGCTCTAAGTGGTCTTTTCATTCTTATGACAAAGTATGGCTTGGAGTATCCCAACTTTTATGAGAAACTTTATGCTCTTCTGATACCCTCTATATTTATGGCAAAACATCGTGCGAAATTCTTTGAGGTGAGATAGGGTACTCTGTTGAACTTTATTATGTAATTGGGCCCTTGGTACAAATATTTCATTTGACTTATGTGTAATGACTTTTTATTTGTAGCTGCTCGATTCCTGTTTGAAATCACCACTTCTTCCTGCATATCTGGCAGCTGCTTTCACAAAGAAGTTGAGCAGACTCTCGCTTACAGTCCCTCCTTCTGGGGCACTGGTTATTATTGCTTTGGTCCACAATCTTTTGCGGAGACATCCATCAATCAACTGTTTGGTTCATGGGGTAAAATATCTTTGCCACAATTATGAAACTTGGATATATTTTTTTAGGTTATATACAGCTAGTTTGGTCTCCTTGATATAAATATCTCTGCTGCCCTCTTTTAAGCTTCACGAGAATGTTGTCCAAGTTTTTGGTGCCTGTTTTTGAGTTCATGTTGTCTGCCTAATATAGGCAAACTATTTAGAAAAGCACCTGTCATAAATATTGTAGATACAGAGCAGAACTTAACTTACTTAACTTTTCTTGGCTTACAACTTAAATGTGCTGTCTTGTGTTTCCATCCTGGTTGTTAGTGCGCAATATTTTTTGTTATTATCTGCTGCTGAAATCTTGTTTGATCCACCGGGATTTGGGAATACTTGTATGTGATTAAATTTATCTATATAAAAGCCTGGGTTAGTTATTTCTTTTGCATTATTATTTGTTTACTTGTTCAGTTGTTCTTGTACATGTTTTCTTAGTTTAAAATTTAAGTTAGAAATTGATCAACTGGTCCCTGATTGGAGCATAATGTACAATTCTATCAATTTTATCATTCAGTGGTTTTTCCATTAAATTAGCTCTTTTCTTCTTATATAGGAAACCGGTGAAGATATAAAAGATGGTGACAAAAAATCTGAGCAAGAGCGTGTTAATTCTGATGGAAATGCTAGTGTTGACTCTGATGTGGCCGGAGGAAAACAAGGTGTTGATCTGTTCAATAATGAAGAAAGTGATCCGTTAAGGTCTAAGGCCATGAGTAAGCATCTTCAATCCATGTAACGTGCTTGAGATACAGTTTGATTTTTATCCGTGTTCTGTAATTCTTAGTTTCTTACTACTTATAATACTTTGTGATGGTGATTATTTATGCGCATAATTATGCATGCAATAACAAAAGTACTTGTAACAGGGAGCTCTCTTTGGGAGATTGATACTCTGCGTCACCATTATTGTCCGCCTGTTTCACGGTACGTGCTTCTTTGACCTTGTTTATAATTTGATATTTGCATTTCCATCTTATCTTGAATTTCTGTTTTCTTCCATTTGACTTTTTTTGTAGATTTGTTCTATCACTCGAGAATGATTTGACAGTGAGAGCGAAAACTGCAGAAGTAATGATAGGTGACTTTAGTTCTGGTTCATATGCTACAATATTCAGGGAAGAGGTAATTTTCTGATACAATAAGATTAATTTGATATAGCTGAATTACAGCTCTGTACGCTTCTGTATCTTTTACAGGAGAAATAAAATTGTTTCTGCCTATTCAAGTCTATTGTTGTTAACTTGTTTGAAGGAGGGTTGCTTTAAAAATGTGTTCTTTTCATTATTGACTCCAAATCTGTGTAGTTTTACATCTTAAATGCAAAAGGTTGACTACTACTATTTTGGAATAACAAATGTTGTCCACTACCAAGAGCACCATCGTTCTACATGTGTTGAGTGAGAAAATTTAGGGAACTTTATGATACATTTTGATTTTCTGAGGTTAGGGGTGTATCTTGTTTAGCAATTGTAGTTTGAAGCACTCTGCATAGCTGCGTCAGGGCTAATCAGAAATTTATTCATTCTCACTTGTCTCACACCACATTCTAAAACCGTAAATTTTATAGAAGAATTATGCCTAACTAAAATTAGAAGAGATGTGTTTGTCCAGTCATCAGTTATTGTTTGATGATTGATTTTCCTCACAATTCCACGCTTTCCTGACACTTTTCAAATTGTGATATTCTGATTGCAGATGCGAAGAAGGGTAAAGCAAGTACCTCTTGCAAAGAAAGCACCGCAAACTTCTTTGTTTTCAGAAAGTCATTTTCCGGGCTGGTCATTCAATTACGATGGAAGCAAAATCAATGAAGAGGTGAAGAGTTAGTTTTGTTGTAGAAAATGTATTTTTGCTTTTAATATATATTGAGACCACAAATATTCAATTTTGCCGGAACCTATATGCTTCCATGTACTAAATTCCAATGTTGGGTTTTGCCTTCATTTAATTTGTTTTCTTTGACCAGAGAAAAGATAAAATGTTCAACTCTGATGGATTCTTTGAAATATGACCGTAGTTGGTGTCCATCAAACTATCACTGGATAATTGTGAACCTAATTGATAAACATTCCCAAGTAGGCAAGCACATATGTAGATGGTGGGGGTGGGGCTCAAACTTGTGACCTCGTTGTCAATATGCGTGTTTCTTACCATATTTATCAAGTATGCTTGATTTAATTCATTTTACTAACCTCTTTTGCATCATCCCTTATATATCAAGGCCAAATTAATGTTTGCACTCTAAAATTATAAAATTCATATTAAAAAAAAAAAAAAGAAATTAATGTTACTTTTTTTTTTCTTTTTTTTGAAATAAAAAAGAAATTAATATTGCTTTATTGCCTGATTGTTTCAACTTAACTTGTTTTACCTATACAAATCAAGATAACATAAGCTATATCGATTTTTTTTTTTTTTTTTCAGAAAATTTTGCACAATTTTAGATAAGTTTAGATATAGATAAAATAATTATGTTTAAGTAAAATAATTTAAGTACAAGTTTGGATAATACGAATCCAAATTAGATGAACTAAGTTAAGCTTTAGTATCACATTTAAAACATACTTTCTCTATTTTTTTTTTTTTTTAATTCCGCTATTTTGAGTTCATACTAATATTTCGTTTCAATATCTACTTTTCAAGTATAAGCTTTATATAATTTTTGCTAAATTGGCAAGTGTGAAATGACAAATGGTGAAATTAAAACAAAAAATAGAGGAAGTGCTACTTAAATGAGTAATATATCCGCCTATCCAGGTCTTTAGGAGAGATGCCTTGCATTATCAGTAACATACTAACATTAGACTATTATAGTCAATCCTGATATCAGTGTTAGCCGAGTATTTTAAAGGGTTGCGTGTTTTTTTATGGAGTTCAGCGTACGAAGCTTCTCACATATACATTAAGTAAACAAGGAGAAAATGTTTATATATATACCACCATTATACTAAGCATTATACCTTAATACAATAGCATTAACGGATTAGCCACTAGGCCTACTACATCATTTCTTTATTTGATTCCCAATTCCCATCACTTCATCTCTTTGAAGCTCCAATGGCCGAGTTAGGAATCTGCATTGCTGAAAAACTTATCGAAGTTATTGGGTCTCCGATCATTAGAGAGATTTGTGACATATGGGGCTACAAATCTCAACTTGAAGACCTTAACAAAACTGTCTGCACCATTAAGAATGTACTCCTTGATGCTGAGGCCAAGCGCGAACTCTCCATTGTAGCACAGGGCTACATCGAGGACCTCAAGGCAGCTGTTTATGATGCTGATGATTTGTTTGACGAGTTTCTCACCCTCGCCGAGTTGAAGGAGCTTGACAGCAACAAGGATGAGCGGGATGGCAAACTTTTAAAGAAGGTACGCCGCTTCTTTTATTCTAAGAAAAAGGAGGTGAGTCAAGCTTGCAGAATGTCACAACATGTCAAAGACATTAAAAAGTTATTGGATGCTATTGCTAGTAATCATAAAAAATTTGGGTTTGCTGTTGACAACAAACCTATAAGTAGGAGAAGAAAAGATACTTGTTCCTATGTAGAGTCAAAGGATATAATTGGGAGGGAGGATGATAAGAAGGTCATCATCGATGTGCTGCTAGATCCTGATGTTGATGAAGATTTTCTTTTTGTGACTATAGTGGGAGTGGGCGGGTTGGGAAAAACTGCTCTTGCTCAACTTGTGTGCAATGATGAAAAGATTAAAAATGAGTTTTCGTCATTGAGGTTGTGGGTGTGTGTGTCTGATCAAGATGGGGAGAAATTTGATGTCACAACAATCCTTTGTAAGATTCTAGAACTAGTTTCTGATAAGAAGCCTGATGATAGATCTTCGTTGGAATGGGTGCAAAATCAACTTGGAGAACAATTAAGAGGAAAGAAGTACTTGCTTGTTCTTGATGATGTATGGAATGAGGATCGTGAGGAGTGGCTTAATTTGAAAAATTTCTTAATGTTTGGTCAGAAGGGAAGTAGGATAATTGTAACTACGCGTTCTGAGATGACAGCAAAAATTATAGGGGATAAGCATATCTATAAGCTAGAAGGTTTATCCCCAAAGAATTCTTGGCGATTGTTTAAGATGACATCATTTGTCAAAGTTAACAAACACTTAAACCATCTAGAATTAGTTAAGATTGGAAAGAATATTGTCAAAAAATGTCATAACATTCCTCTTGCTATCAAAGTGGTAGGGAGTCTTCTATTTGGTCAGAGCATTAGTAAGTGGAGATCATTTGAAATGCATGGATTGGCTGAAATTGGTAAAGGTGATAACAAGATTATGTCTATATTAAAGCTTAGTTACCACAATCTTGATTCTTCATTAAAAAGTTGTTTTAGCTATTGTGCATTATTTCCCAAGGATACTGAAATTGAGAGAGAGATGTTGATTAGCCTTTGGATTGCACAAGGATACATTGTGCCATTCGATAGAGGTCAAAGCATAGAAGATGCTGCGGAGGAACATTTTTTTATTTTGTTACGTAGATGCTTCTTTCAAGATGTAGAGAGGGATGAATATGGTGATATTGAGTCAGTTAAAATCCATGATTTGATGCACGATGTTGCTCAGGATGTAGGGAGGAAGGAAATTTGTGTAGTGAGTTCTAGTACAAACAGCTTAGAAGACAAGACTCGCCATTTGTCTTTTATTGGCAAGGAATGTGCAGGGAGCTCTTTCAGTAGTTCTAAGATACGTTCGTTAATACATACTTGTCAGGGACATAATAATAATGTTGTGGTTTCACAAGTAGATAAGTGCACTTGTCTGAGGGTTTTGGAGTTGCCCCTTTTAGGGGTTGAAACCTCGCTTGATTCTTTAGGCAAGCTACTGCATTTAAGGTACCTAAATCTTTCTTACGCTGCTCTTACAGTACTTCCTGATTCGATAGTTGAACTACATAATTTGCAAACATTAGTTTTACGATGGTGTGTATTAAAGGAGTTGCCAAAAGATTTTTGCAAACTAGTAAAACTTAGACATTTAGATTTATCTCATTGTAATAGATTGACAAGTATGCCTTCTGGGTTTGATAGGTTGACTAAACTCAATGTTCTACCATACTTTGTAGTGGGAGGGGGTAAGAATAATGTCTCAAATGAAAAACAATGTAATGGTGAGCTCAGAGATCTGAAAGCTCTAAATAACATCAAAGGCGACATCCATATTAAAATCGGTAAAAATTATAAAAATGTGGAAGACAAAAATGATGAGGGTGGAGAGTATTTGAAGAATATGAAACGCGTCAGGGAAGTTACAATTTACTTCGGTGATGGATGTGCTGACACTGAAGCTGTGATGGAAAAGCTTGAGCCACATACAAATCTCAAGGGGTTTACGTTGTACGGATATCCAGGTACGATGATTCGAAGGTGGGGAAGAGTAGAGGATGATTGGGCTATCTCCTTCCCCCATCTTGTAAAGATTGACCTTAGAAATGGGAACTTGGATCAGATACCATCTCTCAGTAAATTGCCTTGTTTGAAATCACTGGTACTTGAACGATTAGATAAGTTGGAGTATATGGAGAATGCAAGCAGCAACATAAGCAATGATGGAGAAGAATTAACAACATTCTTCCCCTCCCTTGAATCTCTTGAGGTTATGAATCTGAATGCGTTGAAGGGATGGTGGAGAAGAGTGATTTCAGTTGAGGATGATCATATATTCAGAACAAGATTGAGCTTTCCTCGTCTCTCTGTACTGAAAATTGAGTGTTGCGTTAATCTGACATCATTTCCTCCCTGTCCAAGCCTGGAAGATTTGAAGTTGTATCGCAACAATGAGACGTTGGGGATAAATATGATGGTAAACATAAGGGATGAGAAGAGTGATACTACTGCTGCTGGAAATTCACAAGATGATGACATCAAATTGAGGAGTTTGAAAATAGATAATGTGTGTTATCTTCAATCAATATCCTGCAACAACCAACTGAGAATCTCTGAATATGATAACAATGATAACATAGTGCCTTGGAAACTTCTTAATCAGAGCTTACGATCCTTGGAACTGAAGTCTCTCAAGAATACAACGAATCTGCCCAAGGGGATGCAGTATTTGACCTTCCTGCAAAGGCTCGAACTTTTTGAATGTGAGGATCTGAAAGCCCTGCCAGAACGGATGTATAGTTTTTCATCTCTTCAATTTCTGTCCCTCAGACATTGCTATTCCCTCAAATCACTTCCTGAATCAATGCGGAATCTCACCTCCCTTCAAACACTACGTATATCATACTGTCAAGGCCTACAAGAAAGGTGCAAAGAACCCAACGGAGATGATTGGCCCAAAATTCAACACATCCCCAAAATTGACCTTGATATCAGGTGAGTAATTTTAGAAAGGTGTACTTCATTCTTTCCATTTCAAAACTTAAGTTATTTTAGTATTCTTTTAATTATGCTCCTATGAGTCCAGCTATTTCTGCTTGGCTTTGTTATAGCTATTTCTGGTACTGATGTATTTGGATTGCATTCTCACCTGTGTAGCTAAGCTAGCACGGCCAGATCCTTCCGTTTCTTGGAGTAGTCAGAAAACTGAAGACTGATCATTGCTGTAAATTATGAACACATTACACACCCAAAAGGCCAAAAGCGCTGCTGCAATTGGCAATTCACATTCCTGATCAGAGTAAAGTACTCAGGAACGCGTATGAATTTTTTTCTTTCTTTCTTTGTTATTATGGGCTATTGTACTATTAAGAAGCATCTGACTTAGAAAAGATTGTCTTATGACAATTTACTTTTCAAATGCTATTGCCCATTACTCATCTTAATGATTATATGTTGCACTTGTACAGTTATATATTTGTAATGAGGAGATTTAGGTCCTACCTCCTTGACCTTTGCTCAATGGAGTTCACCACCATCTTGCTTTTGATAAAAGAGGACATATTCTCTAAATACAAAAAGATTGGAAATTGGTCTAGTGGAGCGGTGGTGTTGTACCATTAGGCAGAGATAGGGCGCAATATTTTTGAGAACCAGTTTCCATTTCAAAAAGATGCATTATAGTGGGGATTGAGAACTGATAAATTTTGTAGAAAATGCATTATTATTTCTTGCCAAATAAATGAAGTAATGAATAGTTATGATTGGCATATGGGTCGGCTTGTTGTGATAGTATTCACAGTAATTATTTTCTTGCCGTTTTGTTTTTCCCTTTGACGTTATATACAAAATTGTCATTTGAGTATCTATCATAGGGAGATTTGTAAGTTTCATTTTTTGATAATTTATACTTTGGAGAAACTATTCTTGCTAAGTGTTGATTAAATTAGTGTGTGAAGTTTTATATTCCTTATTACTTACAACGATTTGACATAAAATATAAGTTAAAAAAATGTCTAATTTAAAACAGAAGTAATTGGAGTAATTATTTTTTGTAACCCACCAAGGCGCCAAGACACATTTTCCAACTACATGGTCGACATACCAACCGAGCCACACACTTGTAAAAAAGGGTAGTAACCATACCTTAAGATAGGAAGAATGTTCTTATTGGGTCCGTCTAAGGCCCCACACAAGGCCCAGAACTCCATTAGTTGGGTTAGAAGCCTAGAAAGACCCTGAGTGCAACGTATTACATACTCCACCATCAAATTTGTTTCACATCTTTCAAATTCTTCACTTGTGAGTTGTGAAGCTTTTTTAAAGGTGTGATTGTGGGAAGAAAAGCTTTTACCCCCCAAAAGGGGTTGGATTTATAAAACCCTTTTGTATATTGAAACGTTACACGTTACAAGCTGATGGTTGAAGCCGAGAAATATGTTTTATACTCTATTAGTTTTAATTTTACTTGTTCAGACCAAAACCACCGATTTTAAAAAACTTAAAAGAAAATATTTTTACTCTAACTTATTTTCGAAGTATAAATAATTTGAAGAGAACATAGTCTATTCAAACACTCCCATTACAGTATTTTTGTCTAATTGCCTAATTGGGGGGTTATTTGGAATTTTAGAGTGATTTTTTTTTTTTTTTTTTGACACATTTGGAAATTTGGAGTGATAAAGATATGCACTTTCAGTCTTTCACTAACGCTCCACTATCCCTACCTCACCCTTCATTTTCATTTCCCACGTTCATAATATGAACAATACTTTACAACAACATTACTTGAGACTTGAGAGTGATACATGTTGTTCTTATGCTATTTGTGCTGTTGCAATTATTTTTTTATTTTTGGTGTTTTTCTCTCTCCTAAATCTTTCTCAGATTTCACCCTTATCTTTAATCCTCTACCTATTTTAGCCTTCAATTGCATTCCTATTTCTAATTTGAGAAGAAAAGTCAACTCAACTTGGGTGGAATTTTTCTTTTCTGGAAAATATAATGCTTACTTCTGAATTTAATGGCAGATTCTTACTTCACCAGTAAAGCTTTCAGCTTTTCTTTTCTCTCGTGAGTATTTATCTTTATCTTCTTACTTAATTATTCTTCTTCAATTTCAATTTATTTTTACTATATTTGTAATTTCCCTGATTTTTTTTTTTTTTTAAATCTTATGTGGTTGTTGCGTACCTATTTTCCCAACTGCTGCTTCCTCAATTAGAAAGGGGCAATTTTTTGTATAAAAAATAAATAAATAAAAATAAAAATAATGAAGGGGGCAAATTTTCACTTTAATATTATGTGGGTATTTTTTTACTCTAAATAATTATGTGGGCGGTTGCTTCATTTTGCGCCTTCTAATTAATGATTTGCAAATGATAATAATAATAATAATAAAAAGATTGTTTAAAAATTATATTTTGCAAAAAAAAGTGGGTAATTAGCTTTATTTAGCACATTATAATCTTGGAATAAACTTCCACTTATTAATTAAGTGGGTAGTTAGCTTCATTTTGCGCCTTTATGTCTGGTGATATTGCTACTTTTTTCAATGAATGGAGCTTATATTCAACATCAGTTTTCCTACAATCTTCATGTCCTTGATTTTCTGTGTTAATAAGTAAGCTTCCATGTCATTTATAAACCAATTATTTTGATAGCTTGAAACTTGCTTAAAAGTTCATTTCTTGCTTAAAAGTTCATTTCTTGCTTATTTTATGGATTTAGCATACTACTCCCTTTGTCCTTTATTGTTTGCACCATTTGCTTTCACGTGGTCTCCAAAAAAAAAAAAAAAAAAAACATATTTGACAGTTGATATTTGAAATTGTGTATTTAAAAAATGGTAATTTGAAAATATATGTTCAAGCAAATTTAACAAGATCCTACAAATATAAATTGAAGTTCATGGTCAACTTGATGTACTTTGACTCAAAAATGGAAATGGTGCAAACAATTAAGGACGGGCGAATGGAGTAGATTACAATGAGAATTTTAGTAAAAGTATTCATCTTTGTACAAGGATTCTGTAGGGTTTCAAATGGGGTTTTCTTGTATAATAGAACAGTTTTGAGCATAAAATCACCTGATATTTGCTTTCTACTTTTTGAGTGTGTTGTTTGCCCTGTCCATATGTTGTTTTCTAGCTTTTGGTGACCCTAACTTTAGAGTTACCTTAGATTCTTGTTCCTTTGGGCATTTGGTTCTTTTGCGAGAATTAGAATTTATATTTTAGATGCTTTATTAACCATTTTCTAATTTTATATGTTCATTTTTTACACCCATTTTACTTTTCTTATTTTAATTGGGTTTGTAGTGGCTGAAGGAAGAAGGAAGCTGATTCCTAAGCATGATAATATTGTTATTGTATAATTGAGGCTAATTGAGAGAACTTGCACTTCTGTGAAGGCCTGTTTCATGTCTAATTTCAAGATGAAAGTGCTTCATATTGTGCCATGGTTGCTAGTTCTTTGCAGTATGTTTTTTAAAGGCTCTTGTGGGTCAGAGAAAGTGAATATCGGTGCTATATTTACTCTGGGCACGCTCACTGGTAAGGTTTCAAAGATCGCGATGAATGCTGCTGTGGATGATATAAATTCTGATCCCAAGGTACTTGGTGGTCGTACCCTGTCTCTCCAAATTCATGATTCTAATTATAATGGATTTCTCAGCATCATGGGAGGTAAATTCTTACAAACACTTTTATGTTGCAATTGGAACTTTTTGATTCCTTATATTATAGTATAGTAAAGTCTATTTTTGCTTCCTATGTTTCTTGCTTTATGCATTTAGGCTTCTTCCTTTGTTATGTTTAACCAAAAATATTTAGAGGAAAATGGATGAAACATGAGAGAGGCATCTTGACTGGGAGGAAATATAGAGGCTCCTTTGGGTCTGAAAATTAGAAAATTTAGAAGCATATGTTGCAGATTGGCTTTCCCCTTCTCCACTTGTCCCTTCCCTTTAATTATGTCAAACAAGCATTAAAATGTATGAGAATTTCAACATCTGTTAATTAGTAATATATTCATTGATTGCAGCATTGCAGTTCATGGAGACGGATACTGTTGCTATTATTGGCCCTCAGACATCCCTTATGGCACATGTGCTTTCTCATCTAGCAAATGAACTGCACATCCCACTATTGTCATTCTCTGCTCTTGATCCTACATTATCACCTATCCAATATCCCTACTTTTTCCAAACGGCCCCCAGTGATCTGTTTCAGATGGCTGCCGTTGCTGAAATAGTAAACTACTTTCGTTGGACACAGGTAACAGCTATCTTCACTGATGATGAGCAGAGTCGGAATGGCATCACTGCATTGGGCGACAAGCTTGCAGAGAAGCGTGGCAAGATCTCTTATAAGGCAGTTCTTCCCCCTGATATCAGAGGAAATTTGAGTGTAGTAAAACAGGAACTTGAAAAGGTGAAGAATAAGGAATCAAGGGTGCTTGTTGTGCATACTTTGAATACTTTTGGTCCAATAATTCTCGAGGCAGCTGAGCAGCTTGGCATGATAGGAGAAGGGTATGTTTGGATAGCTACTTCATGGTTACCTGCCAACTTAGATAGTACTCCAAGTCCAAAGCTCTACAAAAACAGTCAGGGGGTAATCACACTTCGCCCCCATACTCCTGACTCGCAAAAGAAAAAGGCATTTATCTCTAGGTGGAACAACTTGAGCAAAGGCTCAACTGGGTTAAACGTATATGGGCTTTATGCCTATGACACTGTTTGGTTAATTGCCCGTGCTATTGATGCATTTCTGCGCCAAGGCAACAATATTTCCTTTTCAAATGATCCGGCCTTAACTGCTGTTGGAGGAGGAGATATGAATTTAAGTGCTTTGAGTATCTTTGATGGAGGAAAAGATTTGCTCAATTTTATACTGGGAAGCAATATGACAGGCCTCACAGGCCCAATTTGGTACAATCCTGACAGAGCTTTGGCTAACCCTTCTTATGATGTCATTAACATAGTTGGTAGGCAAACTAGGCAGATTGGATACTGGGCAAACTATTCTGGGTTATCTGTTATAGCACCAGAAACTCTTCGTGAAAGACCGCAGAATCGTTCAGGTGCCAGTCAGAAGCTACGCAGTGTTGTGTGGCCTGGAGGAACTAAGAACCAGCCTCGTGGTTGGGTTTTCCCTCGGGATGGGAGAAAATTACGAGTTGGGGTTCCTCTTAGAGTCAGCTTTCCTGACTTTGTTTATGTAGACAATCAAACTCATGCTCCTCGTGGATACTGCATCGATGTTTTTGAAGCTGCCATAAAATTGCTGCCATATGCAGTTCCTCATGAGTTCATATTCTTTGGAGATGGGCATCGAAATCCCAGCTATAGTGATCTCGTATCAAGGATCACAACGGGTGTAAGTATAGCATTTCATCTTGTCTACCTGTGCTTTCTTGGGTTCTATATTGATAGGTTTTTGTAAAGCACTAATCCCAGGCTTTCTTATGTTCTACTGATTTAAAATACCATATAAAGGGTGTTGATAACTGATATTCAGATGTGACATTATAGGAATTCGATGCTGCTGTGGGAGACATTGCAATTGTGACCAACCGCACAAGAATTGCAGACTTCACTCAGCCATATGCAGATTCAGGGTTGGTTGTAGTAGCCCCAGTGAAAAAGTTGAGCTCTAGTGACTGGGCATTTTTAAGGCCATTTACACCACTCATGTGGGTGGTGACGGCTGTATTTTTCCTTGTAGTGGGGGCAGTTATATGGATCCTTGAACACAGATTGAATGATGAATTTCGTGGGCCTCCCAGTAAACAGATTATGACAATTTTATGGTAAGTCATAATTCACGATTGTGCATTAAGAAGATAGATACTTTAAGTGGTTGTTTGGTTTGTATGAACTATGAAGTATCATTTTCCATGATGTAGCTCCTTTGTCAAAGATTATTTGATAAAACATAGGAAGTCGACTCCACGTCTCCACTTATCTTGGGGATTAGTTAAACAACTTGTTCCATTGAATTTGCTTCTAAGAAGTCAAATGTCTAGAATTTTTGTCAACCAACCAATACTAAAAATTTCAACTTCTTATGCAAGTCTATACAGAGTATTAGCCAAACAACCACTTACAGTTCTGAATTGTACGTTTCTGTATATGATGGCTCACTCATAATTTTCTTCTCAAATTGTCAGGTTTAGTTTCTCAACCCTGTTTTTTGCCCACAGTAAGTCTATTCTGAGTAATCTTTCTGAATATCAGTTCTGGATATGTTCTTGGCTTATTTTTCTGACTTTTGATGAAAATATCTGAACTTTTAGGAGAAAACACTGTGAGCACACTTGGCCGAGTGGTTCTTGTCATATGGTTGTTTGTGGTTTTGATCATTCAGTCAAGCTATACAGCTAGTTTGACTTCTTTCCTGACCGTCCAACAGCTAACATCTTCAATAAAAGGAATCGACTCGTTGATTACTAGTAGTGCACCTATAGGATTCCAAGTAGGTTCTTATGCAGAGAATTATCTCCGGGAGGAACTTAATATCCCCAGATCAAGGCTTAAGCCTCTAAACTCCCCACAAGAGTATGCAGATGCTCTCAAAGCAGGAAGAGTTGCTGCTGTGGTTGATGAACAGCCATATGTCGATCTTTTTCTTTCAAATTACTGCCAATTTGCAGTTGCAGGCCAGGAATTCACCAAGAGTGGTTGGGGATTTGTGAGTATCACTAACTATGAGCTATAAGTAATTAGTTGTGTTTCTTACATTATTAATTACACCAGAATCTTATTTGCTAACAACTAACAAGTAACAATTCTAGGAATCGTCAGGCTTCACCTGCTGCAATATCATTTTGCATTTACTTAAAAAAAAGAGGAAGGAGATGAATTTCAAAAGCAAACCTATACTTTTCCATGTATACTAAAGTGTTCCAAAGTAAACCCATACACTTAGTGGCTTAACCATTGAATTATGTCATATTATGTATGTCTTTTATTGCAAACTAACCATAAAAATGACAACATAATAAACCAAAATTAATCAGATTCTTTTAATTGAAGCTGGTGTGTTCTGTTGTTGCCTTACAGTTCTTTGCTTTGATAACTTAGTTTGACAGACACTGATTCTACCTGTTTTCTTAGGCTTTTAAGAGAGACTCTCCATTAGCTCTCGACATGTCAACAGCCATCCTCCAGCTATCAGAGAATGGCAGCCTGCAAAATATTACTGAGCGTAATCTCAAGCAAAAGCATGCTTGTCCATCAAACGTTGTAAATGATTCTGAACAGCTTAGGCTGGAAAATTTCGTCGGCTTATTCCTTATATGTGGTGTTGCTTGTATCCTCGCTCTTATCATATACTTCTCCATAATGCTCTACCAGTTCCACCAGCATCATTTGCCTCAACACACGGAACCTTCAAGCCAGAGCAGCTCTCGGTCTGCACGAATTAAGACATTCTTGTCATTTGCTGACAAGAAGGAAGACCTGTCACAGAGAAAGTTGAAAAGGAAACGGATATCTGCATCAATGCCAACTCATGGTAGTGAGCCGGTGGAGATTGAATCCGGGGGAAAATCATCTAAAAGTGAAAATTTTAGAAGTTATCGTGACGACAATGGTAACAGCAATATTTGGAATTGATGAGAGGATCAAAGCTGATCCCAATTTCTTGTAATTATGTCCAAATATATATTAACTTTGCCTTAAACCTTTTGAAAATATATCATGTAGAAATCATTGAATGTATACAGGTTAGCTTAATTAGTAGTAATACCATAGCAATGGGCTATTAGTGTTATAGATAAAGACTGGAAGAACAGTTTTATCTTATAGTTCAAAATCTCCCCTTTGTATGTTCATATCATTTGGAGTAATGAACTATGAACATAATTGTGTTTACCATGGTAACATAAATGAAAAGAAATTTTCAATTCAGCCAATACAATTGCTTAATTATCTTATTCAACCATTCACTTGACATTTTTTCCAAGGATATTCTATGTTTAGCTAACGGGTTTACATGTTGTATGAATCTTGAATTAACAAAGTTTCTATATTTACAATTAAAAATGTCTCGTAATCCATTTAGGTAACATATCATGACAATAATGGTCAATAAAGGGTGTGTTATTGATGAAGTGAAGGTATATGCTTGTTTTAATTTATATTGAATTGAACTGAACTGGAGTTAAGTTGAAGAGAACCGCCCTAGGTATTACGAAATACCAGTGTTAAAAAGGTTTTGTTATATGGATGGGTACATGTACATGAAATTGATTTATTTCAATCTGTTGTTTTGCTTGTTTTCTCCACCTTTTTCTCCATTTCTTGACCACCACTTTCACCTTCACCTTCATCTCCATTCACAATCTCTGCAACAATGGCAATCTGTGCTCAATCTCCATTGAAACCCATCAATCTCTCTCCTCATCTCAACCACCCCACCATCCACAAATCCCCATTCACCTGCAACTTTTCTCTCTCCTCCAAACCAACCCCAACTCTCTCCACTGAACCCACCCCAACCCTCACCTCCGTCACCACATTCGCCCCCGCCACCGTGGCCAACCTCGGCCCTGGTTTCGACTTCCTCGGTTGCGCCGTCGATGGCCTCGGCGACTTCGTTTCTCTCTCCGTTGACCCTTCTGTTCACCCCGGTCAACTCTCCATCTCCTCCATTTCCGGCAACGCTTCTTCCAAACTCTCCAAAGATCCCCTTCTCAACTGCGCTGGTATCTCCGCTCTTGCCGCCATGAAACTCCTCAACATTCGCTCAGTCGGCCTTTCTCTCTCTCTCCAAAAAGGGCTTCCTCTCGGCTCAGGACTCGGCTCATCGGCGGCTTCCGCAGCCGCCGCCGCCGTAGCCGTGAACTCCCTCTTCGGCTCCCCTCTTACCCACCTCGAGCTTGTACATGCCGGACTTGAGTCGGAATCTAAGGTTTCCGGGTATCACGCCGACAACATTGCGCCGGCGATCATGGGGGGTTTCATCCTAATCAGGAGTTACGAGCCGTTGGATTTGGTGAAACTGGAGTTTCCTGAGGTTAATGATTTGTACTTTGTACTGGTTAGTCCGGAGTTTGAAGCTCCCACGAAGAAGATGAGAGCGGCATTGCCGAAAGAGATTGGGATGCCGCATCATGTGTGGAATTCAAGTCAGGCGGCTGCGTTGGTGGCTGCTGTGTTGAAGGGTGATGTGGCGGGGTTAGGGAAGGCAATGTCATCGGATAAGGTGGTGGAGCCTACACGAGCGCCGTTGATTCCTGGAATGATGGCGGTGAAGAAGGCGGCGATTGAAGGGGGAGCGTTCGGGTGTACGATTAGCGGGGCCGGGCCTACAGCCGTGGCGATAACGGATAATGAGGAAAAGGGGAGAGAGATTGGGGAAAGAATGGTGGAAGCATTTTGGAAGGAAGGTGGATTGAAAGCTGCTGCTGTTGTTCAGAAGCTTGATAGGGTGGGTGCTAGAGTTGTTAGCAGTGTTCCCAGATGAATTTTGTTTTTGGGGTATGTTTTTTATTTCAAAGCTTTTGTATTTTTTGATCATTTTTGAATGATTAGTACTGCTTTTGAGATTATTTAGGGAAGAGAAATAAATTGTATTTGCTGAGTTGAATTAGAATCTAATGAGCTTTGAGCTCTTCCTCATATCATTGCTGCTGATTTTTTGTATTTCTCTAATGATAATGATAAATTGGAATTGTATTGAAGTTTTGATGTTGATTATGTTACCTTGATACAAATTGTAATGGGTGCTGAACTTTGTTGTTGATTATGATCTTGTTCATGGAACTTAATGACTGAGTTTGGTCTTTGTGATCTGAACTCTGAACATCATTATAGATTTATAGCGTGAAAGGATGTGGTGAAACTAGAAATGGCCCTTTAGGTGGGAGGGCGAAGGGTGAAGGACTTCAGAACTAATATAGGATTATAGGCCTTATACGAGGATTTGGTTGCTGCGACTGGTTGTCTCATTATGAGAATAGAAGAATTTGTAGTCAAACCTTATGTTTACCACCCATACTTTATTCCTTTGATGAAATGTTTGGAAGAGAGGGTGCAATACTATGCAGCTAGGAAATTATTGGTGGTAATGCTATGTACTTTATCCCAAGCAGGCAAGCACCATTGAATCCAGATTTAATGAATTCTTGCTTTTAATGTGCTGGTTGAGTTGTGTTGTCTTAGGATCTTTTGAGGGCAGATGGGAAGTAGAGGAGCTCTCCTGAAACGTGTACAATCCTAACAAAACCTCTTGAAGCTGTGGGTTCCTTAGAATTTGTCTTCCTTTCTTTTCTCGATTTTTGTCAAAGTGTCAAATAATAAAATATTGTGGTCAGCTACGACTTAGAGCCTTCCATCTTCAATAATGAGTGAATGGTTGTAGGAATAGTTCCCGCGGAGCATATTCCCTTCTTGCTGGCTGAAATAGTTTGAAATGACTTCACTAAGCTGAAGGAATAAGAAAATGAACGATAAAATTGCATGCTTCTTATCAGTTACCCGTCTTACCACTGCAGTTAGTATACTGCGGATACACCTCAATTATAATTTGATAATCTTGCTTTTACCAGCACAGATGCTTAATGAATTACACCCCATTTAGACAATCTAATACTCGTGTGATGAAGCAGACACTGTATGGAGCTGGGAGAAGATATTTTGTGAGAATATACTTCTGCTGCTCTATTATTGCTGCTATCTGTTTGTTGTCTATTACTAATTGGTTATCTTTATCTTATTCTACTTTTTGGCAAATAAATGGAGAGAACCTTGGGGGCACCTGCCATCAAAATGACTCTTGGCTCATACATTTGCTGTTTCACTTGTTACTTATAAGATAATATACTTTAGCATATCTATAATACACTGCTATAATTCTTCCTTCTCTTATTTGCTTAGATTTGCTATATTCTTCTATGGGTTTAAACTTAAAAGTGTCCTTTAACAATTATTTCACTTACACAAATAATTAATTAAAAAATTTAGTTGAAACCGTCACCACTGTAACTCAATGTTACCTGTTATCATCGACCAGTTGAGCTTCATTAAGAAGTCCTTTTCAGGTTATTGATTGAGAATCATTCAGTGTACTTCTGGATGGAATTTAGGTTAATGTTGGAAAAATGGATGGTGGGCAATGGAGAACAAAAGCACAGGCGTAAAAGAATGAACCAGATTCTTCTATAGATCACCTTTTCTGCTCATTGTGGAGAGTTCCTTTTCATGTAGTCTATCCCACTACCAAAAGTTCCTTTAATTTTTTGTCATGTTTATGCAATAAAATATGCATTTTTTTTTTTAATTAATTATTGAAAAAAGTTGCTAGTTGTAGAAATGGAACTCTGCTTATAAACTTGGTTATAGGAGCAGCAGTCATGCTGTTGTGTGCTTGTACTTATTATCATGTTCAAGCATTTGTTTAAATCTGAGATACTTGCCACTGTCCAAGTAATCTATTTGCTCTTTAGTTCTTGTTAGTGCCAGATACAAAGCTGTTTTATAAGAAGATATATAATGATGGTGGAAAGAACACATGTTCCACATCCTGTTAATTAGTGTCCTTGTTAGGATTTGTTATGGTTTATACTTTTGCATTGCACTTGTTCATGTCCATTGGCCATAATTATTCAAACACTGTCAATTGTTTATGGAGCTTTGTCTCAAGAAGCTTAATCTCCTAGCAGGCTGGCACAGTGCATACACGCTCAATATATTACTAATCTTTTTTTTTTTTTTTTTCAATATATTACTTATCAAAAAGAGGAAGAGGTCAATAATTATTATATACCAATTTATGCTAGTGTGCTCACTGCTCAGTGAAATGAAGGTTTTATAAAACTTCATAGTGTCTTTTCATGTATGTTTGATTTCTTCTTAAATGAACTAGATGCTTACTATTTACAACTTCATTGCATGTAATTTGTTTACCGTTGGTGCTTTACTTTGTATGCAGTTTACTTATTCCCTGTAGTTTTGCAGTCTGATTTCTAATTCACATTATCTACCCTAACATGTGTGTGAAACTATATACCATTTTGTGAAAGGAGGTTAAAATTCTACTTAAAGATAATTGTTTCATTTTTCTAATAATATGCATTTTATGTAGTCTTGGGAAGAGTGACATGAGTGCATTGCCAAGTCTTTATATTGTTACTTGCTGAGATGTAGTTATTTAGTATATTTACAATAGAAACAGTTTTAAATGGTGGGCCTTAAGATATTTAGTTGAGCTGCAAAATGCTCTATAAGCTCATGCTTACCTAGTCTCTCTAAAGAATCAAGAGAGGAAAAAGCCTTTTTAAAAAATTATTTTTTGAGGGGGCAGGATGGAAAGTTATAATTTATGTCCTGTTATTGGTTGACAGCAACTTGCTACGTATCACTATTACTATAAAAGCTTTGCAGACCTAGAGGCTCACTCAGACTTAACCTCTGAGAAATTAAACCCTTTATATGCACACCCTTGTACTCTTTACGAACACAACCCAACCCCCTCTCTTGAAAAGATTACAGAGAACAGGAAAAGAAGGAAAAATCATGGTTGTTAGTCTAAGACTTCTTTCTGCAGTTAACACATCAGTGTCTGCCAATAATGCGGGACTAACTTCTACCCAATCAGACTATGTTGTCATCTTGGCTGCTCTCTTTTGTGCTCTTATCTGTGCAGTTGGCCTTGCAACGGCAGCACGCTGTGTGTGTCTCCACCGCCCTTTCAATCTTTTCACAACAGCTACAGTCTTTCATACTTCAGCACCTCCTCCGTCAGGTCTCAGTAAGAAGACCCTCCAGTTACTGCCTACAACGAAGTATCTTTGTGAAGCAGATGATAGTAATAAACAGGCTGACTGTGCCATCTGTTTGACAGAGTTTTCTGATGGAGAAATGATGAGGGTTCTTCCACGATGTGGCCATGTATTTCATATAACCTGCATTGATAAATGGCTTGGGTCCCACTCATCGTGTCCATCTTGTAGACAATTAGTTCTAGTAGCTGGTAAATGTCATCACTGTGGAGGATTTTCTGCCCATCAGGGCTTCCATGGCACTGCCAATGAGGTGCATACGAGAGAGACTGATGTGATGGGCAGGCAAGAGCCTCAAGACTATATGCTTACATATTTACCTTAATAACAGCAGGAAGTGATGTGTTTTTTCTTATTGTTTCGGTATAATTACCTACCTTCATTTGATTGGAGCGGGCGTGCCATATATGTCAAAGTGCATTTGATTATGACATTCTTCTAGCATTGTCAGTTACGGTATTATGTGAAGTTTGGGATTTTGCATCTTGCTACATACGTATGTGCCATGAGTTTGGGGATCATATCAAGCTGCAAGGTTGCTTTTGCTTTGGTCTAGTGAGACAAATTTACTATGTAGTGTTTGGCAGAGAAATACTTCAATCATCAGCAATTCAGCATCACTGAATCTTTGGTGCTCTTATAATGTCGTACACTTGTACTTGTCCAAGACCCTGATTCTCAGCCAAGATGCCCCCCTTCCCCAGGGAAGTTAGTCACAAAAATGCTTAAGAAGCACTGTTATGATGTAACAAATACGAAAGACCAGAACTGTTGTGAAAACACCAACGGTGGATGACTTGCTTGAGTTTCCTGTATACAATACTGATAGTAACATAAGTCCAATTGTTCGTGACAGAGGAGCCAAGTTCCAGGCACTTGGGCATAATTCACAAATTCATAGTTGTCTATTCTTGGCATTGTAGAGCTCTTTGCTAGCTTTTTATGTACAACTTCTACTATGTTGCTGCAGAACACTTATGTACACTATACTGTGGTTTTTAATATTAATCGAACTTATGTGCAGCACTAAATTTGTTATGATTTTAAGATATTTTAAGTTCATGAAATCATGAGATTAATGCTGTTATTTAAAATTCAAGATGCTTGCAAGTAATATGGTGCCTTAATAATTTTCTTGTTCTGATAAGCATTCTTAGCCCCTTTTTTATTTGGTTTACTTGCATAAATATTAGAGTATACGGTATATACCTATTATAGTGGAAGCTCCATAATCGTAAAAGCTCTTGTATCAAATCATAATTAATTATTTGGTTCTGATTCTAATCTCCCTTGCTTACTCTAGCAGATGCCTTAGAGAAACTCATAGCTTTAACTTCTTTCATTTTACTTGAGTGTATGTGGTAGTCAACGAACACTTCCACTAGAAAGTTGACACGGGGAGGGAAAGTCAAGGAGGAAAAACTTTTGCTTAAATGACGTCATTATTAGGTAACTCGAGAATTTAGAATTTTTTGTTACTCGTATATTAATTGTGCATAAGGTACCCTACTTTTTCAAGTTTTCAACTAATATAAGTTAGGCAGCTGAAAATGTATGCTGGGACCCACATATATTGACTGTATGCGTCGTTGTTACTGTACATGATAGAATTTCAAAAGTCTCACTTCTAGGAGTTATTTGCACAAGTTACTAAGTTAGTGGCTTGGGTCTTGAGATAACTATTTGTGAGCTACTCGATGCTCGGTTAAATAAAACCTTAAACGAAACTTAGAAACTCAAATAAATGCAAGTCCAATGCAAAATGAGGGGAAGAAAAGTATTTATAGTTCAGAATGAAACTCATAACTTTGAATGTTAATATATTTTTGCTCCATTTTTTTTATGTCAGTGGTCTAAAGAGAGATTAAGCCCTCTATATACCCTTTTTGTTGAGTTTGCTAAATACATCCTGCCTCATATCAGGAAAAGAAATAGAGTCTAAGTTTATGTCAATATAATTACGTAGACAAATGTGTATTAGTTATGTCTAGTGTTCATGTCAAATATTGTGAGACGGTAAGAGACTAGAATAAAAGCGTCCGACAAGGAAGGCAATAGAGGATCAAGAGGGAAAAAACATTTTCCCTCTCTAGTGTTTATGGGGTGTTATAAACTGTAATGATTATGGGATGAACAACCGGAACTAACAAGTGGAAAAACAACTCAAGCTCGTAAATGTGACCACCATTACTGGAAATAATTTACTCTCTGAAATTGGGTAATTAAACAGCCAAGTTTTAAGAAAAACTGTAATCAAAAGACCTGCAACAAAACTATTTACTTGGACTGACCAATAATATCCAGAGTTGGGAATACTATCCGTTCCCTTAGCACTTAGCAACCCTATGAAAACTGCAAATCAATCCTTGTCTTCGGAAGTGTGTATTGCGCCAAGAGCAAAGAACTCGGTGATTACCTCCAGGGGCATGCCCTTTGTTTCAGGAACCTTTACAAAGATGAAAACCCATGCAATAAAACTAACAACGGCATAGAAGCCAAAGACGCCAGCTAGTCCAAAAGCATTAAGCATGATAGGAAGGGAGTCGGTAACTATGATATCACCAATCCAAAAGGTAAGTGCACAAATAGCAATGCAGAGACCGCGAATTTTGGTAGGGAAAATTTCTGCACACAAAATATTTGGGATTGGGCCAAAACCCATAACAAAGAAGCAGAAGTAGAGAACTACGGAGATTGTAGATATCACAGCATGCACAGTGGTGCCCATCTTTATCAGATTTCCGAGTATCAGGACAACTAGCGATAGGAACAATACAGGAATTGTGGTCAGCAGCAAAGTCCTGCCAAGAAACATAAATTAATATGTCACACAAGGAAAGGAAAGGCTTAAATAAAAATTTGAGGTATAACTTTGACTTAAGCTGAGTTAGTCTTTTTGATGCATCATGCAATTACAGATTTACAGATATGACTGAAATATACTTGAAACACAACTAAAAAAACATCCCAATATAATATAGCATATGGCAATATGCTAATAACAACATTTTTTATACAAAAAATTATGAAAAGAATACTAGAAGAATCAAGGTTAAACTAAATCATGGACTCTAATTCCTTAGGCTTTGCTTTCTGTGGCTTGAGGCCTGGCTCAGGCTCAATTAAAGCCTCCTCTAAACAAAAATGAGCAGGGACAAGCAATCACAAAATAACTAGCTTTTACTGAAACAAAAGGCCATTGGGTGGTGAAAGTCAAACTTTACCTCCTTCCAGAAATATCCATAAGCCTCATTGCAACAGCTATAGCCGGAAGCATAAGAAGAGTGGTGAATGCACTGATGAGCAATGATGCAGAGGAAGAACCGATACCCATGTGCGAAAGAAGATCACCAACCCCAGCCTGCTCTAATATTTGAGGAGTGTAATACAGGACCCCATTAATCCCAGAGAACTGCACCAAGAAAAATGTAAATTCATGTGAGAATCACAAGGCCAGATTACAATTCACAAGAAAAATAGAAAATGCACAAACGAATTTTAGACAATACTGAACATTAAAGGAAATTGGCAGTAGCCTACTCAAGAAAAGAGTTAATTTCTAAAAATTAGGAAATGAGAATGAAGGACAGGATGTGGGTCTAAATTTGCATGAAAATGAATTCATTTGTGTTAAATTTAGAATATAGCACCCAAATCCTCTGATCCCAGGGGAATATTTAAAACGGCAAAGGTGTTGATTTGAACGGTAACTAATGCTCTTGAATCAAATATCTATACACAAAAAGGCCTCAAAGGGAAACTTAAATTCTTTACACAGTGTTCTGCACATAAATTCAGACATTATATCATTATATTATTCAATAGGAAACCACTTTTGGTTTACTGGCAATTTGTAACTTGATCAGACAATCACAGTCCATCATGTCCAAAATGTCGCTAATGTCAAACAAATCAATTGATGTCATGTATCAGCAACAGCTATAAGAGAAAGGAATTATAAGAGGCTAAGAGGATGAAGGTAGGCAAGAGTCGAAAAGGTAAAACAAAAATTTGAAAAACAAGCCCTGCTCTAGCACCACATGCTTTTTAGAAGGAATAGCTTATTTTACCTGCTGAAGAAGTTGAAGTCCAACACCAACAACTAATGCACGCCTGACACCAGGTTCTAACAGGTCTCTCCAACTAGGTCCTTTTCCAGCAGTCTGAGAAGGGTGAACCATAGCTGGTCCATTTGCACGGTGCTCTATGAATTCCCTCGAATAAAGGGCTGGTTGACTCACTAGTGCAGCCGCCTTGACATAGTCTGTATCACCAGTAACATCACCGCCAGGAAGAGATAACAAAGATCCTCGTTTAGATCCTGCATCACCCTCCTGGTGTAAATAAAGTCTTTTGAATCCTCCTTCCTTCTTCCCATCTGGACCTTCTCTCTCACTCCATTTCCAAGCCAGCTGCCAACCACCACCAATACCACTAGCTTCACTTCCTTGAATTAAACTACTAGGCTTCATGCTGAACATGCTGCCCGAAGCAGGAGCAACCATGGCTTTATCTGTACCTGAAGTCTGATGAGATATAAGTGGACTTCGTAGGTCTTCATCCTCTTCAGCATAATCTTCATCATCGTGAGCATAATCAGCATCATCCCCAGGAATATTTTCTTCATCCCACTCTTCATTTCTAGGATCTTTCCCTCCTATACTAAACATACTACCAAAATTTGGGAAGATGATACTTCGCATGCTTCCTTGTTCTGGAAGCTTCTCATGTACACTACCGAAAAGTGTGACAAGAGGGTCTACAAAGGAACTGCCAGGATTCTGAATGCTTCCTTGGCGAGATGCAAGGCCCAGCATACTCTGGCCAGTGACGGGTCTGGCAACCCAGGATCGGCCTACTTCAGACCCATATAGCTTAATTTGATCTTTGACAACCATGGGATCTTGGTCCTCAGTGTTTTCAGCATCTGGCTCAATTAAGTATTCTTCTATTGATGTGTCACCTCCAACTCCAAGTCCCTCAACAAGTAAAGCCATTTCAGCTGTTCATCCAAAAAACATATGTAAATGATACAACATTGCTTTAGCTTTCAATCTCCAATCAACAATTATACTCCCTTTTACTTTAGTTAGACTGTTATCAACTTTGGTCTGTCTAACATTGATTATCATACATATTCATTGTCACTCAGCAAATAATGCTTAACTTCACTGAACTCTCAGTTGTTGCTCTATATAATCTCTTGCTAGCATGCTTGTCTATTTTAACCAGGAAGTCTTCATTATCATTAAAAGTTAAAAAGGCAGAAAGTGTTATTTCCAGTAAAAATGCAGATAATTTGACAACCGGCTTAAGTTTACAAGCAAAGTGCAAATATAACTATGGAAGTAGCAGAAGACTAACCAGAGACATCTTCCCTTCCCCGCAATCGTTGAAGAACCTTTTTGGCCTCAATCATTTTTCCTTTACTAACAAGCCATCGAGGAGACTCAGGTAAAAAGAATACAGTTAATGCAAAATAAATCAGGGATGGAACGAAAAGAATCCCAAGCATCAATCTCCAGCTAGGTTTTTCCATTAATGACATCCCAAAAACCATACAGTAAGCAACAAACATTCCACCAGAACCAGTAAACTGAGGAAGTGTATTCAATGTACCCCTTATTTCAGTTGGGGCTGTTTCTGATATATAAAGAGGAACAAGAGTAACAGCCAAACCACTTCCGAAACCATCCAATAACCGACCCAAGAGTAGTACATAAACATTGGGAGACCACAACATTATCAAGGCACTAACAAAGAAGCATACAGAGGAAATAATCATCATAGGACGACGCCCAATACGATCTGAAATCGGCCCAGAACATGTTGTGATAATAGTGGCACCAATTAATGACATAGCCACAATTAAGCCTTCCAAAGTTGGTGCACTCTCCAATTCGAATTCTTTCTTAATATATAACACAGCCCCTGGAATAAAACAAATATAAAAACCCCACCAAAATTCTTAGTAAGTCTGGTTACTAGAACCAGAAATCATGATAATAAAATTACTAACAAATCAATGTAACCTCAAAAACATAATGCATATATGAAAATCATGTACTCCCTCCATTCTTTAAAGTTCTTCCTACTTCCATTTTCATCCATTAAAGTAACCACCACAAAGATCATTTATGAAAAAAGACAGTAATTTTCTTTTTGTCATCTTCTTTTTCCAATTTTCCCATTTCATCTCTTTGCAAGGGTTTTCCCATGTTTTACCAATAATGTAAAATTGGCCAAAAATCCAACTTTATAGTTTACACATAGTCTTAATTAGGCAAATTTGAGTAGCATAAAAAAGTAACAATTACTACTGAAAAATCAAATATAGAAAGAATTAAGAATTAATGAGCAAATTACCAGCAATAGTAGCATTGTCCCATCCTTGCAACAAATTCCCAACTGTTGCAGCGATTGCAACTAATACTGCCCCACTCATTTTTACCTCAAATTAATCTACTTCTTCAATAATCTGTCAGAAAACCCACAATTAAAAAAACTCAATTAACATCAGTTAATTCTTAAATCACATAAAGAAATTTAAATAAATAGAAAAAATTGACACATGCAAAATACAGCAAACCCCAATTAATTAAAAATGGAAAGAAAAAAAAAATCAAAGGAAAACAAAAAACCCATGCAAGAAACAGGAAAATAGACTGACCCAAATGAGAAAATAACCAATTTTCATGAAAATTTTGTTACTTATCTTTAAAAGAAATTATACTTCAAGTTAGAAACAGAATGGTTCAGAATTTCAGATAATTCTAATTACTCTTAATCATATGAAAGAGATAAATTCTGAAATCTGAAATAAAATAAAATAAAATAAAAATACAACTTTCAAGAAAATTTGCTACTTACCTTCCAGAAAAATCGAAACTTTTTCAGTGAGGATAAAATTAAATAAAAAAAAAAATAGTATCTTAGAGAATTCTAACCATTGATGAACTGCAATTTGGCCAACAAAGTATTGGCTAGTAAAAAAGAAAATAGTTTTTAACTTATAGTACTGTATTAACAAAATCTCAAGAATATAAGTGAAAAAACACAAAATAACAAAAACCCAAGATAATTAAAAAAACAAAAAAAAAATGGTAAAATAAAAATGTTGCAAAAACTGAGGTCATCACCATGCCCTTTGGCAACCGACTGATTGTGTAGTGAATTGACAGGTGCCTTGCTGTTGTTGTTGGTTTAACACACCTAAGCTTAGTTCGTTCTTGGTGTTTTTCTCTCTAGTGTGACTCTCTCTTGAAGCAGAGTGATTGACGCAGTTTTTGTTGAGTTTTTTGTCAAGCTAAGCTAAAATATACTACTATTCTGTTTTGATGATATTATTATAGGAATATTGGAATATCATATGATGATGTTGTGCTTACTCTTGGCGCTATTCATTCTTTTGTTGACATAGCTAGTTATTGGATCGGATGATGATTTATATTGTTATACACTTACATCGTTATTCCTTTTAAAGGAACGGTGCCACGGCAACACGTAAGCTTGCGACTTCATTTAACAAAATTAATAAAATATGGTTTTATTAAGAATCGAACCCTCAACCTCACACAAATAAGTGCTACACACTTACCATCTCCACCAACTTTTATTTGTGTTTTAAATTTCGCATATTTAACATTATATATTCCTTTTTAAATTAGAGTTTATTTAATTTATTTATTTTTCACAAGATTAGAAAATAAATACATATGTAGTAAAAAAAAACCGTAACGTCCGGGACAACGCCCAAATCACACACTAGCTATACAACACTTGAACATAATTATCAAGTTAAAGAAGTACAAACTAGCAATTTGGGCGGGGCATCGCCCGGGACACACACTAGTTTGGGTTTAAAATATGTTTATTTGTAAAAGGAGAAAAATGTTGTTTTTATTGGCACAATAGCAAATTATTGTATGACTAGATTATATTAATACTATCAATAAAGTGAATTTATTTACAAGTTTACATTTGTATAGATTTTATTTGTTTGAGAAGTAGAAATTTATAAGATTGTTTTGGACAATTAATGTGTTTTTATTATCCATTTTGTAGGCTAAATGTTTAAGGAAAATGCTGAGTAATGCCTAATGTATAAATGAGATATCTTATCTCAGGGGCATTATTGTAACTTTTAAAGGTGATATTGGTAATACTCTTTAAACTTACCTTGACAAAGTGACAGGAGTCATAAATCACGGTTATTCTCATAGTGGAATAATGGTAATGCAAATGAATACATTGATGGTTAGTCAACTGCTACCTAGCTAAGTTAATACACTGATGGTTAAAATTTGGGTTATTGTATTCCAAATACGAATTGAATTACTCTAGATCACCAATTAGTGTAAATTAATCTTTGAGCAGCTCTGATTACGCTGAATTGAATAAAACAAAAATTTACGCAAATTTTCAAAAAAACACACGATTAATTTATATATTATTCTCACATTAGTCACTTTCAATTCAACTATGCATGTCCATTCAATTTTTTAATCATGCTATTCGATTTAAAATTCTTGTATTCACTGTAAAGCAGGCAACTTTGTAAATTAAAGTTTGGTTCTATAATATGCACTCAACCTACGATCTATTTCAGACTTTACAGTAAAATATAAGATTAATTTATAAGATAAAGTTTTAATCATGCGATTATACAATTAATTGTTGGTGCGGATGTGACTAGTAGCTAGTGATCATGCATCTTTAAAAGCAAGGTTTGATAAAGATATATTCGTTTGATTGAAACCTTTTTTTTTTTTTTTTTTTTTTGAAAAAAGAAATGATACTATTCTTTTGATTGAACTTGGAGGTTGATTGTTTCATGGATTTAAATTGAATTCTACTCATGTTTATATTACTGTACAAAAATGACTTATGATTTCTTAATTAGTTGCTACTCATATAATTTTATTTTGGGCTGTTCTAATTTAATTGTGTTTGTGTTGCTTTCATAATCTATCTTATTTAGATTATTCAACATCTGGAGCATAAACGTTTCCAAAATTATTCAACATCAAACGATATTAACTTTGCGAGAGATAGGTGAGCAACAAAGTTACCATCTCTCTTAACATAAGACCAACTTATAAAATAAAACCAACTACTTAAGTCGATACGCAATAAATTGTACAAAAATAAATGTGAACATTTATTTATTACATAATAAAGAGTAATAATTTTGGATTACGTGATAAATAGAAAATATGGATGAGGTGGTAGAATTTGATTTCTTGAGACACAAATTATCTCTAATACTACCAATTGTATCATTTGAGAGACAAAAAGAAGTTTGTAGTGCGTGGTAATGACTAAAGAAACTAATCGAAAGGTCAGGGTCTTATAAGGTTTAACTTTATATTATAATAAAGTGATGTGATGTTAATATAAATTATTATTATTATAAGCTACTATTATTCAAAAGATTAACCTAGATATTTTACTTGGAATTATTTGGATATTCCTGTTTTTGGCAAATTCTGAACCTCTTTTATCTTTACTTCTCCATATAATTAGGCAGTAAAGTCTTTGAATTAATCATAGTCATTAATTTAATTAATTAATCTTTGTATGTATTTATTAATTTTGTCATAACAGTGAATGTCGAGTCATATACCACATTAGCCCTCATACATCTATTTTAAGACAAAAGGTTTTGTGTGAGACCGGACTCACGTGAGACCGGACTCAATAACAAAAGTCCAACAAAAAGGCACGGGTTAACTAAACCCGATCACAAGGCCCGCAACACCAAATACATGACAGTAATATTCTAATACATGACAATAATATTCTTATACATGACACTAATATTTTAATATCTGACAATAATATTCTAATACATGACAGTAATATTCTAATACATGACAATAATATTCTTATACATGACACTAATATTTTAATATATGACAATAATATTCTAATACATGACAGTAATATTCTAATACCCGACAATAATATTCTTATACATGACACTAATATTTTAATATCTGACAATAATATTCTAATATTTTTATACCTGACAATAATATTCTTATACATGACACTAATATTTTAATATCTGACAATCATATTCTAATACATGACAGTAATATTCTAATACCTGACAATAATATTCTTATACATGACACTAATATTTTAATATCTGACAATAGTATTCTAATACATGACACTAATATTCCTAACACCTAACCACACTATAAAAAAATAAATAAAAATAAATAAATAGATAAAAAAAACATACTATTCTATTACCAAACAAAATAAACCTAATACCTGATTATAATAAACTAATATCTGACATTAATAATCTAATATCTAATATCTTATATTGTAGTATATATAACCTAATTTCTGACAATTATGATTTAATTTCTGATATTTATAATCTAATATATGACAATTATAATCTAAAATCTGACAATTAAGATCTAATATAGCAACGATCTCGGAGATTCAATCAGCTTCAATATGGCGTTTTTTTCCCCTAATTTAAGATCGATTTCAACGCTCATCTCTGATTTGAAAGTCGAAAACCTCGACGACCGCCTCACAAACTCTCGATCAATCATAGAATTTTGCTTTCTCTTACCACCATTAACAACTGAATCAGAGCTCAAACTCAAAGCTAATTTCCTCGTTTCCGAATTTCTCACCGTCTTTCCATTCGATTTCGACAATGTAGAGGCATAAACATTACAATTCCCAGATTAAATAACACAATTGAACCTTGGTGACCGTCTTACAGGCGAAGAAGGTGGAGGTTTAAGCAACAGGAGCTTAGTATTCTGGGGTGATGAACTTTGAGAGGTTGAGGAGTGTAATGTTGGTCATTGTGGAGTACTGATCCAAGAACAGGGTGTGATCTAGAATTATGATGCAATTTGCATGAGAGCTAATTGGTGGTAATCGAGAGGAGAGAGAAAGAGTCTGGGAGATCTTCTTCTAAGCGGAGGTTCATGCATTTTTTTGTTTGTATGACCGGATCGGACTCACATGAGTCCATTCTACACAATACTTTACCATTTTAAAAAGTCCTTGTAATTTACGTACTCTTTTTTTTTTTTGAAGGGATTTACATACTTTTTATAGTAGTATGAGTTAAATTTAATGAGGAAGTGCTTAGAATAAGTGATTATGGAAGTATCATCCACAAAACATCAATCGAATTACTATATAATTAAAGTAGTGGACAATTAAACAGAAATTTGCAAAAGCAAGATACTAGTCAATTTACATCTACTTAAATTAAGTTTTACTAGCAAATTTTTTTAGCACTTTTGTGATTTTTTTTTTCATAGGTAGAATATTGCAATTAATTGTGTAATAGTCAACTATTTTATTATAAACCAAATGAATAATACTAATCTTTCTCAATATGATGATTAACAATAAATAAGTCCAAATAAAGTGAATATAACACACCTAAATTACAACAAACTTATAATATTTTGTCGGCTTATAAACTATTCACTAAGGATTACTGGATTAGGACTTTAGGAGCATTGATACTTGGTTTATATTACTTGTGATTAATATCTATCTCCAAGTTTTGGAAATCATTGCAATGTTATTTCAATCAATCATTTGATTGTAGAGAAGAGGAGTGGCGTCATGAACATGATAGTTACTCCGCAAGTGTGGTGCTTTGGCTGATATTCGAATATGCTGCTTTATTTTTCCCACTCCCTAACTAAAGAAAAAGGGTTCAAATGGGAATTGATAAAATAGCATAATCTACTATTTTTTTTTAGACTTTTATACTTTATTTTTCCCACTCAAAAAAAAAAAAAAATGAAATACTGTAATTGATTAATTAAGATTTTGTGTTTGATCATCAATTGTGGGAGTAAGATATTTTTATAAAATACGAGTGATAACTAAATTCTCCATCCATTTTAACGGGAATGTATGAAATGATAGTCATCGTTAATTAAGGATTATAATTGATGTACTTATTTAATACTTCATATATATTGTATTAAAATGTGTTTGTTTAGGTTCTTACTATGTCACAATATAATACGCTATTCAAAAAAAAAAAAAATGTCACAATATAATACAAGTATGGTTAGTTTCCGAATTAGTATTATAACAAACATTTTTTTTAAGACGTATTATAACAAACATTAGTTACTCATTTATATGAGTAGCATTTTTTTATCTAGTTAAATATACTAGTATTATTTCTTAATCTAGTTACTCAATTTATTTATTTATTTTTTCTTTTTATTGGTTTTTTTTCTCCAAATAATACAAATTTTGTTTTATTACCGAATTAATTAACATTTTCTGGATTTTTTTTTTTACTTTTATTTTTTGATTCTGCTCCGTTTTAGCCACCACAATTTTATGATTTCATTATAACTTTATACGACGAAGTAATAATTTATCTAATACGACAATATTATACAAAACATATTGATTTCATAAGGAATTATTTTATCCTATTATGGAAAAAAAAATTCTCTTTGGGCCTGTTCACATTTACTGAATTGATTGGAGCTGAACTGAACTTAAATAAATATTTTATGAGAGGGGGAAATTAGAAGCTGAACTGAATTGAAATTAAGTAAATGTGAACATGTCCTTAGTAAATTATACAATTTAAATGTTTATCTCTTTTTTTTATAATTCCTACATAAAAAAAATAAAAAAAAATAAAATAAAAAAGGTCAAAGTTGGTGCTTTCTAGATATAACTATTTTTCCGATTTACTTTTAAACAAGTACCATCAATCCATTATTGCTTCTTATTTAGAAAGAAAACATTATTGCTTGAGCCCAAGTATTTTCAAGATTAGGACATTCTCCTTCTTCTTCAATAAAACAATAATTAAGAATTCCTAAGTTTAACTATGAATACCCTCCCAGGCCCAAAACCCCTAAAACATTGGGCCATTTGGTCTACGTGGAGACTTATACATTGGACAGGGCCTACATTTGAGATAGATGACCTAGTCCAATTGTCTAAAGTACTTCTACTAGTACTATATGTTTTCCTTTTCTTGTCTTATTTAGACTCTTGATATATTTCAATGCAAATAATGCTAATAACTTATGGGAAAATAAATACGAATTACTTCAAATTTCAGCCACGTAATCACGTCCGATCTTGTTTTAGACACCTTTGGTTTTAGTTTTACTTGTATCAAATATTTAATACTACCTCGGTTAATTATTATATGCAACCATACTTAGAGATATTGTTATCACTCGGTACTTTGTAATGCTACATTAGAACATATGCAAGGTTCTAAACGAGACAATTAAAAAGAAACGAAGAGAGTACCTCTATACTCTATCATTGTATATGTGTTACCAACAATTTATGATTCCATTATACTTTCAAATAATTTTCATAAATTAATTTTACTTTTAAAAAATGACTATAACAATTAATTTTATTTTTTTTAATGCAAATGTGTTATGACAATTTTTGGCACCAGCTCTTAAGAGCTACTCTAATGGTTGTAGTGAGGGATTTGCTTGCAATTTTCAAAAGTCTCTACCTAATAGCTTGACCATTGGAGCTAAAAAATGCAATTAGCTTGGCCGAGCAAATTTGCTTGAGAAAAAATTTCCAAAATTTTTGGAGATTAATGTATTAAAATATTAAATTTGTAAAGCTAATTAAGAAAGTCAAGCTTATTTAATTAGCTAATTAGTAGCTAACCATTGGGGCACAAAATAGCTACAAAGAGGATTGATTAACTTAAAATCATATGTGGCATACAAAACTAATTTAATGATTAGCTTACCATCGAAGATGCTCTAAATCTATATAGACAGAATTGATTATCAAATTTCCAAAATACACATTTCGCATTGGTGATACAAATATAAGTTGTGGATTTAAAGAGCCACAAAGAAATTATCGTGTACACAAAATTCAATCATACATCATACATTCATACACATAATCAATCTAATCGACTATCCACACAATCGAATAGAACATAAATAAAATTGTGAAACCTATTCAATTCCCTTTCCACCAAAAAGGTCACATTTTTATTTTCCACTTAGCTCTAAACCGTATATTACAACATGTAACGTGGAAGAATTACAAACGATAAACAAAACACGAACAAACTTCACAAATACGTACTACATGTTCTTCGGCCATTCTAACGATCCTATTCTTCCAAATTTTCCTCTGTCAAATCTCTGACGTTAACAAAACAAACCCAGTTTTCCCCCTTTTTTGATCTCACAAGAATCCTGGATTTCGTTTTATCAAAAGAATAATTTTTTTCAAACAAAATAGGAATCCTGGGGTTTTTTCCCAGAAATCAGAACAAATCTGAAACTTAGAAAGATGAACATTTTAGAGAAAATGAAAGGGGTTGAAGGCAGATTTTGCGAGGAATTTTCACCTGGGTATTATGGTCTTTGCACCATTGGTGGAATGCTTAGTGCTGGAACTACCCATTTGGCCATTACTCCTCTTGATGTTCTTAAAGTTAATATGCAAGTCAGTTTTCTTCCCTAAAACCCTTCTTAAACCCTTCTTTAATTTCGCATTTTATTAGATTTTTTGTTTGTTAATTTTCTCAGCTAATATCTGGTTTTAGCTTGTACTTGTAAATTTCATGCTTATTTTTATGTTTGTTTGAATTTGGTGTGTTGACCTTGTTTGGTTTGAAACATGTTTGTTATGCAATTACTGATTTTTGGATGATTAATGTGAGTGATTTTTGGATGATTAATGTGAGTGATTTTTGATGGTCTATGTAGATTTAGTGGCTAATTAGAATATATATACTGATATACCGCTCATTTTTGCTAAAATTGTTGGATTTGCCTTTGTTAAATTGGTATCATTTGAAAAAGGGATTAGCAGTTCTCCTTAATTACTGTAATTTTTACACTAATTGTAAGAGCCAGCGATTCTTGTCAATGGGTTGATCGGGTTTGGTTTCTGATCGATTTGAGGTGATACCAAAGATATGTCAAACCAAAGTAAACCTAGTAAAATATCAAATTATGATAAATGACTAAATAACTTTGGATTATTTGGGTTTGGTTTTCTGTGTAACCTTAGTTGGGTCAGAGATTGCCAGCACTAAATACTCAAGCTTTCTAAATAATAGGTGCCATTTTACTGTGGATTCTTTGTCAAAATAACCTAAATTTGGTTCAAATTGGTAATATTATTAACGCGTGTGAAGTTTATTTCTAATTATAACTTGTTTGAACTAGTAGGTGAATCCCATTAAATATAATGGCATTTCATCAGGTTTCTCAACTCTATGGAGTGAACATGGTGCTTCTGGCCTTTGGAGAGGTTGGTCAGGGAAGTTTTTCGGATATGGGATTCAAGGCGGCTGCAAGTTTGGTCTATATGAGTACTTTAAGAAGCTCTACTCTGATGTATTAGTAGGTCAAAACAGGAGCATGATATTCTTTTTGAGTGGCGCATCTGCTCAAGTATTTGCTGATGTAGCTCTCTGCCCTTTTGAATCAATTAAAGTCCGTGTGCAAACACAAACAAATTTTGCTAAGGGTTTAGTGGATGGATTTCCTAAAGTGTACAGAGCTGAAGGCTTGTCGGGGTAGTTGTCTCAAGCTTAAGCTTGTTCTTTTGTATTACATAAGAGTAAGTGTTCTTTCTAAATAACAAAATGACAAATCTTTGTTTTTCTAATGCAGATTTTACAAAGGACTTCTTCCGCTTTGGGGACGTAATCTTCCATGTAATAATGCCTAACTTGCATTTCTCAATTGATCATTTACCTGCTTTCTTGTTTGTCAGTCCTAGAAATTCTTTGTTAATCTGGTGGGTTGAATGCTGCAGTTGAGTATCTGTAATTTCCTTAAGGTTTCAGATATAGTGATGTGATTGGATTATGTCAAGCTAAAAACCAGATCTGTCGACAATGAACATACCCTAATTTTTTCAGCATTAGACACTGATTTCCAAGTTTCACTGATTTTCTATCTGTCCGACTCCAGTAATTGATAAAGTTGATTCTGTCTGCTTATTTGTTTCCTGCATTATGAAAATCATTGTCTGCATAGGGAAATGGATAGGTTCAATATGATAATAGTTGACATGATGATGATGTGTCTATGCTTGCATATTAAACGCATTATTGAGTATTTGGTGGCATATAAGGTTGAATTATATTCACTGTTCATACGAATGTGGTAAGAAACTAAGAACTAAGAAGTTAAGCTGAGTGAAGGAAAGGGAGATTGAGTTATTGCATTTCTTTTCTTGTTGGATCATAAACTCTCTTTTTACTTTATTCTGTTGTATTGGAGGATAAGCAAATGGACTCTGTGCTATATGTAAAACAAATGTTTTCTGCATAGGTAAAACCAATGGACTCTTTTTATTATAGGTAAAATATTACTATAGGGTAAAATGTACTCCTTAAGATTCTCAGTTTTAAGGTAAAGAGTCTGGTGTATTCTTAAGAATTAGGGGATCTCTTTTCTTATGGTCTCCTTATTCTGCCCCCTTCACAGTTTCCATGGTGATGTTTTCAACATTTGAGCATTCAGTTCACCATATATACCATGATATCCTTCAGCGAAGAAAGGAAGACTGCTCTAGAATCCAGCAGCTTGGTGTGACTTGCTTGGCTGGTTATGCAGCTGGAGCTGTTGGCACTTTGGTCTCAAATCCCGCTGATGTCATTGTTTCCTCTCTTTACAACAAAAAGGCTGACTCTGTGCTTCAGGTGGGGACAGTGTTTCATATGAATCCATGCTAGTAGACATCTTATAAGTAAACTGAAATATTTTTTATTTCCTTTCAGGCTGTAAAAAAAATAGGGTTCCTGAATCTATTCACTAGGAGTCTGCGTGTTCGAATTGCACTGGTGGGGCCTGTAGTGACTATGCAGTGGTTCTTCTATGACACTATTAAAATTCTAAGTGGACTGTAAGTTCAATCCTTGCTAAGTTTATTTGTAAAGTTTATTGTCATGGGTGATTCTACAACAGCATTCCTTTATATATTCTGTATATATATATATGCCAAAAATGTTTTTATTATATATCATTACATTAAGGTAATACTTGTATAATATATTGAGCTCTGATAATAACTAAGGTGACAAAGTGAGTCATTTGGTGGGAAGCTGTGACTTTTGAAAGTGAAATGATGAATGTGGGGGAGACTCTCAAGTCTCAATGCACATTATGTAATAAGCGGGAATTTATCAAGTATTCGAGTGATATCAAGAGGGGGGGGGGGGGATGCAAGATTACAAGGCCCTATCAATGCTCTACTTAAAACTGATCCAGAGTATTCTTATAAGTGTATTGCTTTAGTTCTCTGTTGTGGCTTGAATGCCTTTATCCTTCAGCAACATGATGGTAGACGGCTAGAGAAATTAATCAATAAATTTGCACTCAGAAATTGGAATGTATGCAATGCACAATTGATAGATAACTTGGCAGTTAGCAGTCTTGGCACTTTGAATTTGGAGTCTGAACAATGCCTCATTGAACTCACTTGGCCGTAGCCTAGGAGAGGAGCTGTATGTATATATGGGCTATGCCTTCTGATTGTCCGGTTAAATAACCTCACCTTTAACAATGATGGCTGGCTAGCTGCCTGCCTCTTACATATCCTACTCTCTTGCAGTGAGTAGGGACACCTTGTTTTCATCTAACATTGAATGAGATGCAGGTCTTACATTGGGTGTTTGATGATTTCAAAGCATGTCTTCTAGCAAAACTTAAACCTTAAAATGCATGGTCCAAGTGCACATCTGCCCTATGTGGATCTTATGAACACATCCTATGAACACAGTTTCCTAGATCATAACATGCAAATTTTGATTGATATATGGGGTGGTTGGTTGAAATGACGGTAAAAACTGCTGGTTGGGCTCAATCATCGTTGTCTGTAGATTGGTGGAACCTAGATGGAAACTTTATTCAAAAACAAAAAAAGGCCAGCTGAGACTAAACACTACATGGTTTCACAATTTTTCTGGGATGGGGGTGGGAGGGTTTGATGACAGACATCTCACCCTCTCAGCACGATGAATGATCTACAAGTGCTACTCAATTTACGTTTTTGTTTGGCAATCCTGATTACTACTGTATATCTGATATAGTTTTGTTTCAAATTTTCATGATTCAGTGGCTTCTCGTTTCACATTGTTCTTTTTAACCCTATTACTGACATGTTTGAACTTCTTTCTATTATTCTCTGAACTTCTGAAGGCCTGCAAGTGGTGGACTCCCAAAGCGTCTTGAAGAGTCAATTTCTGCTGGTTAATGATATGCTTCCGGCAACCTCCTTTGGCATAGTTCTTCCTGACAAGAGTAGTTATAAATTCCCTCCACACATCAGTTTGTATCAGTTTGATCACGAATGATGGAACAGAGAAGAGAATATCTGTACAGGTTTATATCAGTGTACACTGCATGTATCTGGTTTTGCCGATAATAACTCAGTGACATATTACATGAACTTGCAGTGTTACTGCTTTTTACTCATGATAGATTTTCTGCTGATAAAATATCATCACAAGGATAAATCATTAAAGCACGTTTAGGCTTGGATCTGACCTACCTATCTGGAGTACATAGCCAACCTATTCAGAATTCCCCTTGTAAACCCTTTCCTCCTCCCGGCGGTGAGATTCGATCCTGGAGTAGCTACCAAGTATGAATTTTATTTGTTGTTTTGTTTACTAGTACATCGTACATGAAGTCATAAGGCATGTAGCCAGCATTCAGATCTGAGTGCACTAAATCTGTGGTTGTGACAGGGCAAGTTGCCCTTTTAATGGGACCATGTTGTTCAAAGTCATATTTGTATAGCATGAATGGAAAAAAAAAAACATAATCATTCATGCATTCCCACCACATATGACATGTAGCTCAATGATCAACTCTGTGCCATACATTGTAAGTATTCTTTTATATTTGATAGACAGATTTCAGTTTTAATTACTTGTTTTTTTAGCTATTTTATTTTCTTATTGGTTGACATGGTTGTATTTATTGTTCTTTTCTTGCTAAAATGGACCACAAAGAGAGTAAATAATTACAAGATTGTATGATCATAGAAGAAGAGGGGTGGGGTAAGGGGTTGTGGTTGTTACTAGTACTTATTAGAAAGTCTAACCGATTATAAATCAGATTTAATACGAGTTAAAAGGAGGCCTTTTGAAAACAGTTATATTGCGAAATAATGTTATAATATGAAAAAGTCTATACAATGGAGTAATATTTTTGACAGGAAATTCTTATGATTATAATTACTCTAGAAAAAAGTTTTCATACAACGGATTTTTTGTGTGGATTTAATTCATTAATAGTTAAGTAAAAATCAATTATAATTTGTAACTTTATGCAATTATCATAAAAATTAAATCAAAGCTGTAGTTTGGAATGAAAAAAAGCACTAGTACTAAAAAGCCTTAAAGGTGAAAATGAAAGGCCAAAATGAATAGGTAACCACTTGGGCAAGTGGACTAGCAATTATGTCAATCTCTTTCAGTCTTTCATCTTTTTCATACTAGCTAGTGTTGAAGTGTTCTAAATTTGGACTGGCCAACATTATCAAAACTTCACAAGTGAAAAATATGTATTTGACTTTTGTTATTTCTTGATCAAACAAGCCTCAAAAAATTGGATTATTTCTTAGGTAAGAAAATATGACATTTTCTTCATTGAATATGAATCTATTCCTAATTTATTCATAATTAAATTGAGATGTGAAAGAAATTTTGCTTTTGCGATTAAGACATTTTGATGAATATTATTGTATGATGTATATAGCCTCTATTTCATTTTGATTGATCCAATTCTTCTTTTTCTTCTCTTTTTTTTTTTTTTTTTTTTTTGTTAATTGAGTTTTCTTTATAGTGTTAACTCAATCCAACTATAAATTTCTCCCACCAATTTTATTTCTCACCAACTCAATCCAATTAAAAAATAAAAAGTTATAAAATTACAAGAAGATAAACAAAAAAGAACAAAAAGAGTAGTAATTCAATACCCCTTGGCCTATGCCACACATTGTTATTACGGAGTATTATAAGACTTATTACATTTTAAGGTCTTTGTTTATATGCTAATATTTGCTTTTAAGAATATGAGAGCGATTTGCTAACAATAACTTTTACTTTTCAAATAACATTAATTTGGAAACTTATGAAAAATATAACACTCCATCTTTTTTATTTTTCTATAAAATTTTCATTTATGTTTAGTATTTTTTCATTGAATCGATTTTCTTTACTCCATATTACCCATAACTTATTGGTAAAATAATTTTCTTTTTCTCTTTGAAAAAATTACTAATGACAATGATGTACACCATATTAGAGACAAGACAATATGAATTGTAGGAAGATTAAGTTCTAAGCAAGACTACTTAGACTAGATTGAGTGTAAAAAGATAAGGATTAGACTTCCTAAAACTTGGATTGACCAACACATGAACATAAATAGAGAATCGTTGACTGCTAATCAGCCACCATTACTTTTTTTTTTTTTTTTCTTTTTTTTTTTTGGGAAATCCTAAAATTAGCAGCCTTCTTATTTTCTCTCTCCTAATTTCATTGGATACTGTTTTAACTGAGCCATGATAAAGAAAAGTCAAACACCACCTTTCATTCCTCCCCCCTTGTTTGGAGTTTGCCAGTATTGCCACCTTCCCCTTTCCTAGAAACCGCGTAATTCAGATTTTAGAACCCTCAAAAATAAAATTAATTAATAAATTAAAATATTCCATCTTTTAATTATCTGATTGGTTAAGATTAAGTAATTTTTGCTGGATCAGATAATGAGATCTATGGGATAGGATATTAGGATCTACTAAAGAGCTGTTAAGCACTTTCTTCTTAGATCCTACCTTAATTACTTTATTATTTACTTCGCTAACGCGATAAGTCGATAACAGTTAGCTTAGTTGGTTAAGTCTTGTCGATAAATTGAATTGAATCTTATTACCATTATCAACTTTGTTAATATTTTATACACCAAGATTAATGATATGTAATTATAAACATCCTATTAAAAGTAACACTTTTCATTTCATTTGCTTTTTTCTTGTTTACAGAAAAAAACAAAGAGACCCACCTCACAATTTTTTCAAAATTCAGGAAAAAGCAGAAATAAAAACGTAATAAAGGAACAACCTTGATTATTCCTTGATTAAAATGGAAGATCTTTGACACCCTAATAATAAAATTTTCTTTTATTTTTTCCCCCCAATTTTTTTTTTCTTTTGTTTATTCCTCAAGAACATGAGCTAGGAACTTACCTTGAAAGATCTTCCTTTTGCCCTTTTGTTGATCATCTTAATCAATAAATCTATTTCCTCTCTTTGATACTTTTATTGACTTCATCAAAAATTTTAGGTACTACCCTTTCTCCTTTCTTTCTTTCTCTCTCTTCAATTTATATTTTTGTTCATCTAGATCTAGTTTACATTTCTTGCAATTATTTGATTCATTTCTCATATGGGTTTGTGATTTTATTGTTTGTTTGTTGATTAATTTGTTTTAATTTTTGTGGGATTTCTTGGTTTTCATTTGTGGATTTATATGATGATTTTGATTGATTTTTAATGTTGTTTCTGTGTTTGTGTTTGTTTAATTTGTTGTTCAGTGCAATTAAGATTGATTGATTGAATGAGAAACTTTGATTTGGATTGTGAAAGAGTTGTTGAATTGGTTGGGTGGAATTGAGGTTGTTTCATGGGCAATACATGCCGGGGATCTTTTGGGGCAAAATTTCATCAGGGCGAGACTCAGCCCGAGGATCATTCTGTTGTAAATTCAAACTCGAACACGAATTCGAATACCACTAGCTCTAATACTACCAAGAGAAACGATTCTGATTATTCAGATTATTCACCTAATAGTTTGAGAAACCAGCAACTTGTTAATCAGGAATTTGCTCAAGATAATCCTAAGAAAGATCATAATTCTGTGGTTGTTGTTCCAATGGCTAAAGATAATAATACCGTAAGGAAGCAAAGTGATAATCAAGCTTATTATGTTTTGGGTCATAAGACCGCCAACATTCGTGATCTTTACACTCTTGGCCGTAAATTGGGGCAAGGGCAATTTGGGACCACGTATCTTTGTACCGAGATCTCCACGGGGATTGAATATGCTTGTAAATCGATATCGAAAAGGAAGTTGATATCCAAGGAGGATGTGGAAGATGTGAGAAGAGAGATTCAGATAATGCACCACCTGGCAGGTCACAAGAATATTGTGACCATAAAGGGTGCTTATGAAGATCCTTTATATGTGCACATTGTGATGGAACTTTGTTCTGGGGGCGAGTTGTTTGACCGCATCATTCAAAGGGGGCATTACAGTGAGAGAAAGGCTGCTGAATTGACTAAGATCACTGTCGGGGTTGTTGAAGCCTGCCATTCACTTGGGGTTATGCACAGAGATCTCAAGCCTGAGAATTTCTTGTTGGTGAATAAGGATGATGATTTCTCTCTCAAAGCTATCGACTTTGGGCTGTCTGTCTTCTTTAAACCAGGTATCCTATGTTTCTCTTTTGGTTTCTGTTATAAACATCAATGTTTGAGGAATTGAGTCTTCTGATGCGTATTGATTGTTTCTCTCAGTTAGCATATGCTTTATCACTGCCTGATAAGCATGAGCATATTTAATTTTTTAAAAGCATTTCATGTGAGCATAGGCATGGCTGAATGCCACTCGATTGTCATTTATTGAGATCCTGTGTTAGTAATTTCATGTAGTTGTGATGTCTGGTAATGAATTGATAGCATAACATATTTTAATATTTTTCCGATATAATTTGTATAATCATTAAAAAAGTCTGGAGTTCTTATTTATTTTTCAGGTACATTTAACACTAATTATGCCTGCATGGATGATATCATGTAATGTTAGCAAAGCTGAAATTAGTCAGCATACAGTTTTCAAGGACTAATCAAAGGTGGCTGGCTATTGCAGGTCAGGTCTTTACAGATGTGGTTGGAAGTCCTTACTATGTCGCGCCTGAGGTTCTTTTGAAGAATTATGGCTTTGAGGCAGATGTTTGGACTGCTGGAGTTATTCTGTACATATTACTCAGTGGTGTGCCACCATTTTGGGCTGGTATGTAAGGGGTTTTATTTTTTTGTTTCTTTTTCAATTATTACTTTGTAGATATTGTGTGCATCTTTTCTTTCAGATGATATCATATTAATTTTTGTTTTTGTTTTTGTTGTTTCTCAGAAACTCAGCAGGGAATATTCGATGCAGTTCTGAAGGGTCATATTGATTTTGACTCAGATCCTTGGCCCCTAATTTCCGATAGTGCAAAGGATCTTATCAGAAAGATGCTGTGCTCAAACCCAAAAGAGCGTTTAACTGCTCACCAAGTTCTATGTGAGTTAGTACTTGCTCTTTGATAATCAGTTTACTTCATTGTTTGTGAAAGCTTTTTCTCGTTTATTATTTGGACACTATTTTTATTGAAATAGCTACCTTGTTTAGGTCATCCTTGGATTTGTGAAAGTGGGGTTGCACCAGATAGAGCATTGGACCCAGCTGTAATTTCTCGTCTCAAACACTTCTCTGCAATGAACAAGCTGAAGAAAATGGCTTTGCGGGTATGTATAATCTACAAATATGACTTTCCTTGTTTGTACAATTACAAATGATTTATAGTGCTATTAGATGTCATTATGGCTTATGTGATGATGTGAGGGATTGTGATACCCCTGTGTCTTACTTTATAAGGTATAATAAGTAAAGTAACTAAAACTACACGCTTTTTTTAAAATACATAGTGGCAGTAATATATTGATTGAGTTTGCACTATGGTCTTTCCATCAAGGTTCACTTCTTCACATTTATGATGTATCACAATGGAAGCACGGGACCATTGGCAGATTTTGATTATCTCAGCTGGCTGTAATATGGGGATGATCTTCTAAAATTCTAAATGTATCTTTAGAGGGTTGGGAGGGTTGCAGGTGGCGTAAGTTAACTTGTTCAAGCTCTATTTACAAGTACATGCGTTTCTTTTTAACTCCTCTCTCTGCTTATGATTTTTGTATACTAATAGAAAGCACAATCACAACCTCACTTGATTATGAAGGGAAAACTAAAAGAATTCAATAGATTCTAGTCAAAAGAATCACTTTTTGGTGTGTTGCTTTATGTGTCACTAAGTTGTGATCATTTTACCTTTTTATGTATTTATTATTATTTGGCATGATTACTTCTTCTACTTTTCAAACTTCTCTTTTCCCTGTTATCTGCTTTTGGAAAAGGCTAAACTGCTTTTCATTTATGGTTTTCCATTTTGGACTCCCCCCGGGCTGATGTTCTGATTTCATTCACATAATCACATATTGTGAATGCTAGTTACTAGATATAACAAGGTGAAAATTCGCAAAATAATCTCTCATGTTAATTTTTGGCAGGTTATAGCTGAAAGTTTGTCAGAGGAAGAAATTGCTGGATTAAAAGAAATGTTTATGTCAATGGATACTGATAACAGTGGTGCAATTACATTTGAGGAGCTCAAAGCTGGTTTAAAAAGATATGGTTCAAACCTTAAAGACATAGAGATACGTGATCTGATGGAAGCGGTAATAATTTAGTTATTGTGAAGTTGGTATTTTTTATTCTCGCAACCACTCTCCTATACTTGTATTCGCTAAACCTTCTTATTTGTTTGATATATTACCTTCCTTTTTTTGGGTTACTGCACTTAGTTAACATTAGTATGCCATGAATCTTATTGATTTAAGCTGTTTATTTCTTTTCAAATTTGGCAATGTACTTCTTATATCATTACAAGGCATGTGCATGTTGGTAACATTGTGCTAGTCAGCTAGCATACTTGCCTGAATTCTGATGACCTCTTTTTTGCTAGTTGTTACTTGACTGAAGAGACAAGTTGAAGTAGAAATAATATAGGTAAACATTGCTACTGTTGATAAATATGCTGTGTTGAAGAGTTAAGACTAAGGTCAAAACTCTTTGGTTACTTTGTGTGAGGCTGGTGTATTTAGCTTTTCTTTGGGCTCTCTCATGGGGTATCCCTTAAAATTAATTTTTTGGCTCCCATTGCATGTGCTTCTTACGTGAGATGTATGAATGTATCTAAATGAAGGTGCACCTTGCACGTCTTCCCAGCTTATTGCCCTTGTACATATAAATTTGATAGCCTACCTGACTGTATAAGTGTATAATCTGAAAAAAACTCCTTCCGTTTGATGATTGTCCAATATTTTTGTATGTATTATCGACAAAGTTATCATGAATCATCTCTTTTGTTTAACTTGAGATACGATGAAGAGATACAGCTTCTTATTTTCTTGTTTAAGCTTCTATTTCTTGTACATGCTAGTATGCTACATTCTTCTGAATCATGTTATATTGTGCAGGCTGATATTGATAATAGTGGTACAATTGACTATGGGGAATTTATAGCTGCTACTATTCATCTCAACAAGCTCGAGCGTGAGGAACATCTTGTTGCTGCCTTTCAGTACTTTGACAAGGATGGCAGTGGATCTATTACCATTGATGAGCTCCAACAAGCATGTCAAGAACAGGGCCTTAACGATCTTTACCTTGAAGATGTTATCAGAGAAGTTGATCAAAATAACGTAAGTCTTGTCACTCCTCATTCTCAGTCACATTTCTCTGCTTCACCTTTTGTAATCTTATCCGCATACTGTATTATTTTGTGCTGATTCTTTTTTATAATTTCTGAAATTTGGAATGGCAGGTCATTGGCCTCATGTTTTTACTTTCCATTCATATCTTTCTATACATCTCAGTATTGTGTTTGACATACATTTCAGGATGGCACAATTGATTATAGTGAATTTGTTGCGATGATGAGAAAAGGTGATGGTGGGATTGGAAGGAGAACCATGCGTATGAGCATGAGAGAATGAGAGATGCACCTGGGTTTTACTAGACTTTCACTGTAGTTTTATTTAAGGTACTAGTTTTTCCTCTCCTCACAAAGTTATTTAGCTGATAAAACAGTGTAAGAGCAATTGGTGGATTCTGTGAAGTAGGAGTCTAAACGTGAAATTTGAAAGAATGGTGTATCATTGCTGCTGAAGGTTCTTATGTGTGCTAACAAAGAATGACAATCTAAAATCTTAGCCGTTGATCTTCATAATAATATTAAGTTTTCTTATATAAACTTGGAGGTTTTCCTGAGCAAAGGTGCTGTTGTTCTTTTTAAGAGCTGTTTCAACCTTATAAGCTAACATTCTTTCGACATTTTAAACAAACAATTTTGACCTTACTACGTAGCTTGCAGATTGGGTGCATGAAACTGTGGAATTTGTGTTATGCACATTTTTTTTATTTTTTTTGACGGGGATGTTCTGCACATTTAATGAAGTGAAAATAGGAAAGATCACGATATTCGTTGTATTACCTTGCAGAATGGCTTTCATGTCTTTATTAGTCTATAATCTCTACTGAACTGATTTTAGCTCTTACCAATTTTATGATTACATCTGAGTTTTGTTGATTTTTACCAATTAAAACTGATTGTTCATAATTTAAATTGATTTTTTACCAAGTAAGAAGTATAACTTGTTGTTTTCTGGTTTAAACTTACTTTATATTTGTAAAGAATGCCTTGAACTAGCTAACAGGCCCAACTAGCAGAAGTAGATGGTTTGATACTCTTTCTTTCCAGTGTGATGCTGATAACGTAGTGTGTTTTACAGGTTTGTACAGCAATGGATGATAAAACCATGAGATGTAGGTTCTTCCTCCGGCTCAACAACTTCCTTTTGTGGGGTGTTTATTGTAAAGGTTGTGTGGTTAAGCACTATAGAGCAAAAGTTATAAACTCTGCAATGACTGGTCTGAAATGGATTCCAACTTACCATGTCTATAGATGATCTCTGTATGTTTGGAAGAACAAGGTTGATCTACTGTTGCTTCCGTTGCAAGCTTGGAAGTTCGTGCTCGTTCTGTACTTTTAACTTGTTGGATTGTACTTTAGAAAAATGATATTTATTCAAGCGGCTGTCAATGTCATTTTAGAAGTGCTGTTGTATGTTGTTAAATGTTGAGATTTAAACCTTAGATCCCTTTGTATCATGAATGAAAAGAGGACCGTTGTTGAACTTCATTGAATTCTGAATTATTTTTTTGTTCTGTATCAAATTATCAATGTTGCTCCCTTTAATACAGCAGAGCTGTTATGCATTGCTATATATATATATATATGATGCTTACTCATCTTCTGGACTTATGGCCTGTGAATCGCAGATGAGTTAGTGATGGCTGCATAACTTTATACTCCACGTATTAGCCCTGAATAAACACGGCAACCCTTTTGTACTAAAGCCGGTGTTTAACAAGAGCTACATTGTTACAGCAACCTTGCCCCATTGTCTTTAAAGTGTTTTTCGCCTTAGACATAGTTTGAGCCGGCCAATATAGGGTAAAGGAGCTACTTTGATTATTATATATTCATCTTAAAACATCTTAAAATAAGTGTGTCCCTGAGATACTTCTCACTGCTTGCATGTCTTGGATTATGTTGCTCTAAACAAGTGAATGGTGTTGTGATGCAGCTCGTTACATGAATACGCAACACCATTTGTCTCACTATGTTCAAGGTTTGAAGACGACCATGTACCTAAAATCCTACTCCTTAATATTGTGGAGTAAATAGATTGAACATTGCACGAGGCTGATCGTGGACGTGAAACTCTACGAGCAAATTAATTAAACTACTAAATGTATGTAATAGCCAAAAAAATCCGTGAGAGAAATATCTTGGTTACCTGGATGTTCAATTCCAAAAAAAATCTCAAAAAACATATCCGGAAGAGGTTAAGTCCACTCTCAAAGATGGGTCGATCATCCCTTCAGAATAAAGGGACTTGTACCTTACACAACATAAAGTAAACATAAAATAGCTTCCGAAATTCAAGATTGCAAATTTGTATCGGGACTAGAAACTATTCATTCACGTATCAAACTTTAGCTTGACAAACAATAGTAAAAGAATCAAACATAGTAGCCACAAAAGAGCAAATAAAAAGTTGATCCTTACATAAACCAAACATTACATGAAACTCTGTATTAAAGGTAAATGAATAAGATCCTTACATAACAATCATGAGACAAAGATGAGTACTGAAATATAAAATCTGCTCTTATAATAAAAATTCATTGATCAAATGGAGATGAAACCTTCATGGACGATTAGAGCAAACACGAGTACGAGGAAGCCGATGGCAATACAATTGCTGGAGGAGAAGGTTGTTTGAGAGTAGGCAGAAAATGTAATTGCTACACCTACTAATCCTATTGCCAAAGCTTTAGCGCTTTGGTTCATCGTTTTATATTTTTTTCGTGGTTGAATTTGATACGAAGTATGAGAATATTGTGTTGGTTGATTAGCTGAACAAGAGTTATAAGATGGAGAATGAGAGATTTGAGTTTTTATGTTTGAGATCATGTATTTGAAGTTTGAAGTTATTAAGTCAACGATACATGAGGATTGGCGGATCTGGCCTCGTTGACTAGTTGCATTAATGCACTCTTAAGTCTTAACTCGGCAACTCGTCACTATTTTGATAAAATATTAGAGTTGCAGCTCTTTGAGCATCTAAAGTGACATAATATGAGTATGTCCCAACAACCAAGAGAGACTTAAAGACGTGAGAGATAACAAGTATCTTATTTTATAGGCAGATTGATTAAATCATTCGTATCTAGTCATATTTTAGAGGTGACAATTAAGTAGTTCATACACAACCTTAGTTTATAAATTTTCTATCCGCACATTTTGGATTGCACGTACATATGAATCTTTTGCTAAGTCAAGGGCGGTATATAGTTGTAGTCCTTGTAGACATGGGTTAAGATTCGAATCTTCCTATTAAGATTCAGAATTTTTCATATTCCCAAAATCATAATATTGTATAAAAATACAGAGAATCAAAATTGCATAATGATCAGCATGCTAAGGGTAAAATATAGTTCAAAAGCTAAGTACAGCCCCTGAGATGAGGCTATTTGTTGTTCAAAGGGGTTATAAATTGAGAATTTTGCATTATATAATACTATTAACAAAAAAAGAGTGCTCTTTGATAAGCTTAAAAGAGCAGAAGCATATACTGTATAAAATTATATGCATATTAGACACTACTAATAATGCAGTGTTGACCAATTCAATTACTAGCTAACGTCTCATGCCCTATTGATATATCCTGCAAAAAAGAGTAAAACAATGTGTCTTAGCAGATTTTCTTGGCAAAACAGCAATTTTGAAGATTGCCAAAAATCGAGTTTTTATTCAGGCATACCTTTAACTTGCCATCAGTTGAGAAAATGCATCTTGATGAAATAGCAAATCCAGGATCTAGTAACCATCCTACCTCTCCACAAGTTTCGCCGTTCTCACTTTCCTTGAGTGAGCACCATAATTGCCGCGGTAACATAATCAGTTCTTGCTCCTTTCTGACTATTTTCTGTGTACTTCTTCCTGTAAGTTCTTGCAAAGGTTTCTGCCAAATGAAAAGGAAAGTCGGCGTTAAGCTTACATGATGCTGTAAGTTGTAAAAAATATAGTGATCAGTTGATCAAACAACACAACAGGACTCACATTCTGAGAAGTTTGGTAGCTAGCCACAGCATCCTGACTCTGCCAAACGCCAGTAACATCAGAAGCATTCAAGGCAGGTGTAGAAGCGAATGCAGAATCACGTATAGAACAACCTCCTAGCTGATCTCCATTTCTGAACGGTCCATACCACAGCTCACAAAACACTTTAATTTTCTGCAGTTTCAACTTTGAGTCCTCCAAACGAAGTGTCTGAATCACCCTTACTCTAGACTCCTTATCGCGAGGGTCAATCAAACAATGCTCCAACTCCAATACTCTATACACTTCATTCTCCAAAACTGACCAAAGGGCTACATAACAGCCGGTGTTCTGAAATGCAAAGGCTAAGATGCTACTGCTTTCTTCGCCTCCTATGATTCTGTCATCGCTGTTATATACTGTTGCTGCATCAGCCTCACAGCCTACTGTAGGAAGTAATTTTACAGACCTGTAGGAAAGGAGGAGTTTCTGTGGATCCGCTAATGTAGGGCATTGAGTTTGCCAATCGAAAACCTTAACCTCCCATTCCCTGTATGCTTCAGGTACTACTGATTCAGGAAGTTCAATGGGTTCCCCAGCAGTTGTGAAATCTGCTCCAAACCCATCCCACTCCCCTGAAACTTTGTCCGCGAATTCTGCCCAACCTTGAAACAAATAAACAACCTTGTTGCATCAGTTTATTAATTCAGGTGATGTTACAATAGGAATTTTGGACACTACATATGATTCATAAGGGTTAATAAAACATCAGTCTTAAAATCGAATAATTCCTAAGAAATGAGCTTGTATACATCTATTACAGTGGATAAATGCAAATGTAAGGTCTTAGCGAATTTTAAATCTATCTCCACCACAGACTTTAACCAACTAAGCCAGCTGACATCCATAACATAATACTCCGTGTTATAGTACAAGGGTATTCTGGATTATAAGGGGACATATAGTGTGATATCTTGGAGATTTAATTAGGCCTAGCTTAGGGAATATATTTATGGAGTTATGATATGGTTCTTGTTGGAGGGAGCCCCAGTTCATCTTCATGATGAACAAAAAACGTTTATATAGTGGCAGTTCCGTAAATAAATCAATATAAAATCCCAGTCATCATCTCGTTTCTGTAAATAAATCAACATTACTAGAGTCCACATTTGACAAAAGTTTTTGATTTATTTACAAAAATGCCACTAAATAAACGTTTTTCTGTTTTTCCCCTCAACATCAGATCAAAGTTCAAAAAGATAGCTAATTTTACTTGTGAACTCTTCAGTCCACACTCTAATATAAAATTCAACATATGAAGTATATAATTCATAAATTCATAATACAGCAAAATTACAAAAAATCCAAAAGCAATTAATATCCCAACTTACTTAATTACATAAATAAATCAAATTACTTAATATCCAAGTAGTAGAACAGTAAAATAAAAGAACATACTGGAATTAGGAGAAGATGGACTAAAACTGCTACTTTGTTGTTGATCAATCTCAAATTGTGAAGGAATAATCTTAGCAACAGAACAAACAGTAAGTTTACTGCTAGAAGGCAGGGGTAATTTTGAGGAAAGAGAAAGTGAATTAGGGATAAAAGGTAAAAGAGGGTAATTCTGAAGTATTGAGGAATTACTGTAGGATGGTATGAGAGTCCTATTCTTCTGTGAGATTACAAAGTGATGAGCAGAAGAAGAGGCCATTTTTTCAAACACAAATTTATTTATTTATTATTTTGAAACAAAAAAAACACAAAATTTTAAATGGAAGGTCTTATCTTTTTAATGAAGTATATTTATTATCTTGAGCAAAGAATACAAGGCTGTAGAGTTGAGTTGAGATGTGAGGATAGTTTGCAACTGTGAGTCCTGCAACTGTAAGTCAATTTCCCCCTTGGAGTGGAATATTCTTGCATATTGGCCACTACTATATTCTGGCACTTTCCCTTTCCTTGGCCTTATTTGAAGAAGAAAATTAAAGTATTTCTCCCTTTGTTCCTTAGTAATCTTCTTATTTGTAATCTTGTCGTTATTTATAAGATAAAATAATTTTATAACATTAGTAGTTGTGTTAGTGAGTAGTTTATCTATATTAAAGTAAACCATGATTTCAAAAAAAAAATATTAAAGTAAAGCATTGACAAAAGTGTGCAGTTAAAGTAGAAAATTCATTTTTTTTGTGTATTTCTTTATTTATTTTAAAATAATACTTGTACTTCCTCCATATTTATGTCTTATTTCTTAGGATTATGCAAAATTGTTTGTTAAGTTGGAATTCATGTAAGGAATTGTACTACGTATATAAAATGAAATGTGATTGTATATTGATAATTTAAATTTAAAATAATAATAATAATAATAAAAAAGGGGGGTCAATATTGTTTCAAAAAAAAAAGGGGGGGGGGGGTCAATATTGTAAATGGCAAATTATGTAAAGTGTAAAATGTTAGTTAAGTGATTAAATAATACGGCGATGATTGATTTATTGAATGGTGAAGGCGTATACATAATTGGTTAATTACTACGTATAAAAATTGAAGTGGAGGTGTAGCCATGTAGGGCTTAGAGGGTACTGCCTTACTGGCCTGGTATAAACGCAATTGGCCCGAGTGAGTACTGACCCAGCTAAGCTACCACTGGAGGCCCAAGTCTTAATTAATGATGGACTGAAAATAGAAGTCTCACAAATAGGATGCTTGAAACGAGTAGATACATTGAACTATGTTATTGTATCTGCATGATTTACTCACTCCACCATACTCAATCATCTGTGATCCTGGGTTACACTTGTACTGTTGTACAACACTAATTCCGAAATGTTTTTGTAAATTTTTATGTGATGAATGGATCATATTTAAGGGTCTATTCTCATACGTTTATTTTCAGCTCAATTCAGTTCAGCTCCTAATTTCCTTCTCTTATAAAATTTTCATTTCAGTTCAGCTGATTTCAGTCTATTAGAAATTTAGAACAGACCCTAAATGGCAGGTCATTTGTTTTGGTCTTGAGCTGAATTTTAAGTCTATTGTTATCATACGAGCATTAATTATTAAAAAATAAAACACAAGTTTAATCACATAAAACTTTAATAAGGTCAAGCTATCAAGTTCAGTTCGATTAAACAGATAATATAAGAAATGTAACATCTTGATAAATAATTCCGAGAGATTGGAGTATGGGTTATCAATAATTTTTAGCTATCATGACCTAAACACTTGCCAATAAACAATTTTGAAAGATATCATTGTAATGGTAAAACAAAAGAGAAGGAACCACCACATTGTTTTGTACTCAAGTAATTATGGAAGGCTAATTAATGTTTGATTTGTAAGTTGCATGCATATGGTTTGGCTAAAGTCTTAATAGCCAGCAAACCCAGCATTGTTTTCGGCATATTTTCCATCTGTTTCTGTCGGTGCTGTATGGTAGGAACCATGTGATCTTAATTATTAATCAAATTGCTACTAATTATTATCACCTAAAGATTGATGTTATGTAATCATCATAATATTCCAATATAATTACTTCATGATCAATTAAAGAAATTAATATACTACGTATACTACTTTAAGGGTTTGTTAATACAGTAAATGCGTGATTTTTATCATTACCTTTTTTTGATACATATTTTGATCTTATATAATCGAGGTAAGTATGATTTACCCACTCATTAATTGTTAACCTATTCTCAATTATTGGGTAGCATAAGAGGTAAGAAAGACACATCAAAGCAAATAAGATGTCTTAATTCTTGCAGTCAATGAACAATTAATCTTTGTATAAACTTGAAAACAACGGTTAGTCTGCAGCTTTTGTACTCTACACATAATCTTCCATAGGAATATAGAATCAGACATTTTGACAACTTGGATTTTTATGTCAGACCTCCCATATAATTGCTTTAATTAGTATAATAATCATTGTTGTCTTTTGTTTATTATGGAGTAGGTAATTTAGCTTGTTCTTGATAAATCTTCTTGGCAAAATCTTAATCATTTATATTTCCGGTGTTTAGAGAGCTACAAGCCTACAAGGGCTAATAATGAAAATCGATTCCAACATCTCCTAAAACCGGGAAGAGAACTCTAACCACTTGAGCTATCCCTCACTCTCTCGTATAGAACGATCATACAATGACTTATAAAACGGATATTAATTAGATCCAAAAAATTTAGCCCATACTACATATTACGAATTGCAATTAATTACTCTTCAATATAGATATTACTGTAGTAACAGTGACTTATTGAGAATTACGCCATTTGCGGTAAGAGTTGCAACTTAACGCGTTTTAGAACAACTAAAAATAGCACGTGTATTTGATTATTTTGCGTTATTGTTAACTTTGACTTTTCACGTCTTAGTTGCTTATAACTAGTGTCTTACATGTACACCACTTTGTATTTCCTTGATTCAAAAGAATTGTCTTCTGTCAACAATATAATACTTGTGTTAAAATTGAATCTTCTTAGTATTTGACCAAATTGTCAAAAGTTGTGGAAGGTCTCTTTTCATAGGATATTTGTTTAACTTTGTAATGTACGAGTAGTAAATTACTCATCATCTAGTTAGTTGATGATCCATGCATTCATGAGGATTGAAAAAACAATACATTTATAAGAATTACAAAAATAACACGTATTTAATTGAAGCTTTTTGAATAATTATGAGTAAACACTTCGTAATGCTTCATACGAAAGAAAGGTGTGTAACGCCTTATACTCCGTAATTTTTAATGTGCATGCAATGTATGGTGCTTACTACGATTTTAATGTACATAACAGTAATGACACGCAAACTTGTAAAAGAGCGCGCATATTAAGTCGGCAACATGTTTATTGCTCCCAAGGCCATGATGTAGTTTGCAAAACACCAGTGCAATGTAGCACATAGGTATTATTCTTCTTTCTATGTGAAATGACTAAATGAGCATATTATTGCAACTTTAACAAGCACCAACTTTGGTTACTATGCTCCATTTAAAAGCAACCTTTAACTTGCTATAGAAGTGTAAAAAACTCTGTCATTTCCCCTTTTCTTCCCTAATAGAATCTTGATTTTTTTTTATTTTTTTTTTTTTAACAATTATTGTACAATAATACAGCTTCTAAAATAATGGAGAAGAATTAATATTGGCCTTTTTCGATTACCCATTCTTAAAGAAACAACAAAACATTGAAATATAATTACTTGTACATACATTTTTACAAATTACACTAAAATACCAAACAATTCTACCCAAAAAACAATACTTGTAAAAATAATGAACAAATAATAAAATTAACCAAATAATAACATGTAATATCAATCATATTAATCACTACTAATAATATTCTATATACCCTTCAAAATCCTACCTCCAAAACACCCACCATTTTCTGAATTCAATCTTCCTCTCATCCTTTTCATCTTGTTTGCAAAGATCTCCACGCATACAACATTACATGAAAAAAATTACATCAATTATTCATTATAAAGAATTAATCTTGATTAGATTAATTAATCAAGCAATAATACTCTGTTTTTCATAATAATAATTTTCAACCAAGAGTAGAACCTCTTCTCATTGAACCATTATGGTTTTGATACTTAAAAGTCTGAGGAAGAGACATATCATCGTATCTAAGAATCTTCCTAACCTCAGATTTAACCTTAAAAAACAGATGCATTAAACTTCCCCTGTTTTGAAACCCAAGAAAACGTTTTTCTTCTTCATTCATTTCCAGATCTTGAACAAAAGTGGGCTTTCGTGACAAAACCCAAGCCCAGCCCAAATCCCACCATTTCTTGATCGAACTTCCCGCGTTTTCTCCCATGGAAGACAGAGACTTGGACCGATGAATAGCCCATGAAGTTGCAGGAGAAGCAGAGATTGAAGAAGGATGAAGGTTTAAGGAAAGAGACGAAAGCCGCCTTCGTAAACTTGGTTGATCATCTGAAGAAGAAGGTGATGATGAAATTGGAAGTGATGAACTCTTTGTTGTTCTTTGTTGAATGGTTTGAACTATTGAGCTCATTGCAAAAAAAAGCGTCGGTTTTTTTGCGTTGTTGAAATGAAAGCGTTGGAGGAGGAAATGAAAGTGTCGGTTTAGAGAGAGGGAGAATATAGAGGGGAGTTTGTTTAAGGGAGGGAGTGTTGAAGAATGGGAGAAATGAGAAACAGCTAATTGGTAATAAGGGTTTTTGGAAACAGGCTGGTTGATTCCTTCTTTCCTTGAATTACTTTGTTTTAAGGCATAGAAAGAAGGGATTGGAGGGTGGGGTGATCATGGTAGGGTCGTTTTAGCTTATTATTTGTATGTATGTATGTATTGTAATGGTGACCACTTTTTTTTTATTTCTTAAAATTGATGGTGTAACGATTTGTACATTAAAAGATTGAGCTTGTTATTAAGGAGTGCTTGGATCATGTAGGAAGAGAGTTTTTATTGTCTGAAATGAAGGTTGTGGGTTTGAGTCTTGAGAATGACAATAATATTTTTTATTTTTTCAATTGAGTTCTTGAAAGAGCTTAGTTTTTTTTTTTTTTTAGAAAAATTAATTGTTAGAGCCTGTTCTCTTCGGCTTATTTTCAGTTTAAATTAGTTCCTAGTTTCTTTATCTCATAAACAGTTCATCAGAACAGGTCCTTAATTTTTTATAGTTCTTGATATTAGATGTTATAAACTTAGTTAATTAAACCATAAAATTTCATTATTCCATCCAACTTAAATATTTTACCTTATATATAATGTAATTAAAAATATTTTACCCCTAGAGTATTTTCTCAACCAATTAAATCCATTTATTTCTCCCCTCAAGTGAAAGAAAAAAAACCATTTATTTCACTACATTTGATTAAACCCACTTTTCTCGCGAACTCGAGTGTAATTAGAGTTAGAGCAAACAAAGCTTAACCGGAAACAACTTAACAAATTAATACGTGGCGGGAAGCCTGGACTATAAGAATGCGCGGGAGTCACAGAGCGGTGGCGTGTGAAAGTGGGACCATGTGAGGCTGTCGGTTGACAATACGCCGCCGACACTATTATTATTTCCATTTTCTCTTTAAACAAAAACTCTGGCTAAATTTTTTTTTGTACGTACTTATAAATTTCAATGGGTTATGGACTATAGGGCCGCCTTTCGAGTAGGCCCATTTCCTAAAGTCTACCAGCTAATTTGTACATTTTCCTATTTTCGTCCTAATAATTGGAAGAAATTTTCCCAATAGTTAGGAAACAAGACATAAATCTTGTTAACATTGTTTTTTCTTACCTCACTTTTTTTCTTTCCTTATTGTTTTTACTCCGTAATTACTTAAAACAATTTTTTTCAATTTCACCACCTTTTACTTCCTTTCATAATTATGATTGTGATATTTTGTTTGGTTAACCTAAAAAGTGTCAGATGAAGTTGAAATTTCTAATCAATTCCAAATTCCTATACACTACCTAGGTGTTAGAATCCAACTCCTTTTGATGTTTTAGTTTCCCTTTAAGTGCTTTCCTAGAGTTTAGTTTATGCTTTCTTAGCTCGAGGTCCCATTATTGTGTTACTGTCAGATCAGTGTTCACTAGGGATTCTCCTACTATGTTATTTAAAGCTCTTTAGATGGTGAATGATTAATGAAATCTTAAGCCTTCTACCAAGTGTTGCTTTGCTCTTATGCTTGTTTGTTGTTAGACCTTTATAGATATTGTGTCTTACTTGCATAATTTCTCCCCTCCAAACCAACTTGATGCACTAAGAACTCGTGGTTCGGACCCTCTTGTGCCCGCCTTGAATTATCGGCCGTCACAAGCCCCGACCACCCGCACTCCGTTGCCCAAATAGACGTGAGTGCTCTTTGATTTAATTGCCCGCTTGTGTTGTTCTGTGCTCGCAAGCCCCTCTTCCGCTCAAGGATAGCGTTATTGCCGCCAAAAGGCTAGAGCGCGCCGCACGTTTCGGGGTCATAACTCCCGGACCGTGACACTAGGTTTCTAGGACATTTGCACGGAATGGAAGGAACAAAGGAAAAAAAGAGATTGAAATGAAAACCCCTTAAATTTACGTTGTTGTTTAGTTTAAAAAAATAAAAAATAAAAAATAAAAGAGGGAAACAAGCCACCTTCTCCGAACAACCACCACTACACGACCTAGGGGTGTTCAAATATCAATCCGGGCCACAATAACTAGTCCGGTCTCCAAATTGAGAAATTCATTTTTTATGTCTTCGGTTTGGTTCGGTCCAAATCAGGTCATTTCGCAACTTGCATTGATTTCGTAAACTCAAGCCTACCACATACATTTATGACAACATATAATAGTCATATATGCTTCCAAACGACATTATATGACCCCGAGATGTATCCCCTAGAGCCTCAAGACTTTTCGCGCACCAGGGCCCAAAACCTCAAAAATTCCTCAAAAACGTGGATAATAGCCTTCAATTTTGGAATTTTTTGAATTTTTTTTGCCCGCAAATAAAAATTGTCGAGATGTTTACCATGGTCCCTATACTCTCCGGGAGTCCAATTAGGTGGACGGAATCATCCAATATGCCCTTAAACGGTCAATTTACCCGTTTATAATGCACTGATTTCGTTAACTCATGCCTACCACGGACGTTTGTGACAACATATAATGCTCATATATGGTTCCAAACGGCATTATAAGACCCCGAGATATATCCCATAGTAACTAAAGACTTTTCGACACCGAGCCTCGAAACATACAAAATTCCTCAAAAAGCGTGGATAATAGCCTTCAATTTTGGATTTTTTTGGGTTGTTTTTCGACCTAAAATAAAAATTGCCGAGATGTTTACCATGGTCCCTAATACTATCCTAGAGTCCAATTGGGTGGGCGGAATTATCCAATTTGCCTTTAAACGGTCAACTTACCCGTTTTTAACTTGCACAGATTTCGTTAACCCATGCCTACCACGGACATTTGTGACAACATAAAATGATTATATATGGTTCCAAACGACATTATTTTACCTCGATATATATCCCATAGTATCTCAAGACTTTTCGACACCGGCCCCGAAACCTCCAAAATTTCTCAAAAAGCATGGATAATAGCCTTCAATTTTGGATTTTTTTAACTTTTTTTTCGACCTGAAATAAAAATTGACGAGATGTTTACCATGGTTCCTAATACTCTCCCGGAGTCCAATTGGGTGGGCGAAATCATCCAATTTGCCTTTAATCGGTCAATTTACCCGTTTATAACTTGCACCGATTTCGTTAACTCATGGCTACCACAGACGTTTGTGGTAACTTATAATGATCATATATGGTTCCAAACGGCATTATATGACCCCGATATATATCCCATAGTATCTCAAGACTTTTCGACACCGGGACCCGAAACTTCCAAAATTCCTCAAAAAGCATGGATAATAGCCTTCAATTTTGGATTTTTTTGACTTATTTTCGACCGGAAATAAAAAATTCCGAGATGTTTACCATGGTCTCCAATATCCTATGGGAGTCCAATTGGGTGGGCGGAATCATCCAATATGCCCTTAAACGGTCAATTTACCCGTTTATAACTTGCATCGATTTCGTTAACTCATGCCTACCACGGACGTTTGTGACAGCATATAATGATCATATATGGTTCCATACGGCATTATATGACCCCGAGATATATCACATAGTATCTCAACACTTTTCGACACCAGGCCTAGAAACCTAGAAAATTTCTCAAAAACCGTGGATAATAGCCTTCAATTTTGGATTTTTTTGAGTTTTTTTCGACCTGAAATAAAAATTTCTGAGATGTTTACCATAGTCCCTAATATTATCCTAGAGTCCAATTGGGTGGGCGGAATTATCTAATTTGCCTTTAAACGGTCAACTTACCCGTTTTTAACTTGCACATATTTCGTTAACCCATGCCTACCACGGACATTTGTGACAACATAAAATGATTATATATGGTTCCAAACGACATTATTTTACCTCGATATATATCCCATAGTATCTCAAGACTTTTCAACACCGGCCCCGAAACCTCCAAAATTTCTCAAAAAGCATGGATAATAGCCTTCAATTTTGGATTTTTTTGACTTTTTTTTCGACCTGAAATAAAAATTGACGAGATGTTTACCATGGTCCCTAATACTCTCCCGGAGTCCAATTGGGTGGGCGAAATCATCCAATTTGCCTTTAATCGGTCAATTTACCCGTTTATAACTTGCACCGATTTCGTTAACTCATGGCTACCACAGACGTTTGTGGTAACTTATAATGATCATATATGGTTCCAAACGGCATTATATGACCCCGATATATATCCCATAGTATCTCAAGACTTTTCGACACCGGGACCCGAAACTTCCAAAATTCCTCAAAAAGCATAGATAATAGCCTTCAATTTTGGATTTTTTTGACTTATTTTCGACAGGAAATAAAAAATTCCGAGACGTTTACCATGGTCTCCAATATCCTATGGGAGTCCAATTGGGTGGGCGGAATCATCCAATATGCCCTTAAACGGTCAATTTACCCGTTTATAACTTGCATCGATTTCGTTAACTCATGCCTACCACGGACGTTTGTGACAACATATAATGATCATATATGGTTCCATACAGCATTATATGACACCGAAACATATCCCATAGTATCTCAAGACTTTTCGACACCGGCCCCGAAACCTCCAAAATTTCTCAAAAAGCATGGATAATAGCCTTCAATTTTGGATTTTTTGACTTTTTTTTCGACCTGAAATAAAAATTGACGAGATGTTTACCATGGTCCCTAATACTCTCCCGGAGTCCAATTGGGTGGGCGAAATCATCCAATTTTCCTTTAATCGGTCAATTTACCCGTTTATAACTTGCACCGATTTCGTTAACTCATGGCTACCACAGACGTTTGTGGTAACTTATAATGATCATATATGGTTCCAAACGGCATTATATGACCCCGATATATATCCCATAGTATCTCAAGACTTTTCGACACCGGGACCCGAAACTTCCAAAATTCCTCAAAAAGCATGGATAATAGCCTTCAATTTTGGATTTTTTTGACTTATTTTCGACCGGAAATAAAAAATTCCGAGATGTTTACCATGGTCTCCAATATCCTATGGGAGTCCAATTGGGTGGGCGGAATCATCCAATATGCCCTTAAACGGTCAATTTACCCGTTTATAACTTGCATCGATTTCGTTAACTCATGCCTACCACGGACGTTTGTGACAGCATATAATGATCATATATGGTTCCATACGGCATTATATGACCCCGAGATATATCACATAGTATCTCAACACTTTTCGACACCAGGCCTAGAAACCTAGAAAATTTCTCAAAAACCGTGGATAATAGCCTTCAATTTTGGATTTTTTTGAGTTTTTTTCGACCTGAAATAAAAATTTCTGAGATGTTTACCATAGTCCCTAATATTATCCTAGAGTCCAATTGGGTGGGCGGAATTATCTAATTTGCCTTTAAACGGTCAACTTACCCGTTTTTAACTTGCACATATTTCGTTAACCCATGCCTACCACGGACATTTGTGACAACATAAAATGATTATATATGGTTCCAAACGACATTATTTTACCTCGATATATATCCCATAGTATCTCAAGACTTTTCAACACCGGCCCCGAAACCTCCAAAATTTCTCAAAAAGCATGGATAATAGCCTTCAATTTTGGATTTTTTTGACTTTTTTTTCGACCTGAAATAAAAATTGACGAGATGTTTACCATGGTCCCTAATACTCTCCCGGAGTCCAATTGGGTGGGCGAAATCATCCAATTTGCCTTTAATTGGTCAATTTACCCGTTTATAACTTGCACCGATTTCGTTAACTCATGGCTACCACAGACGTTTGTGGTAACTTATAATGATCATATATGGTTCCAAACGGCATTATATGACCCCGATATATATCCCATAGTATCTCAAGACTTTTCGACACCGGGACCCGAAACTTCCAAAATTCCTCAAAAAGCATGGATAATAGCCTTCAATTTTGGATTTTTTTGACTTATTTTCGACCGGAAATAAAAAATTCCGAGATGTTTACCATGGTCCCTAATACTCTCCTTGAGGCCATTTGGCGGGCGGAATCATCCAACTTGTCTTTAAACGTTTAATTTACCCATTTACAATTTTCACCGATTTCGTTAACCCATTCCTACCACGAACGTTTATGACAACATATAATGATCATATATGGTTCCAAACAGCATTATATGACACCGAAATATATCCCATAGTATCTCAAGACTTTTCGACACCGGGCCTTTAAACCTACAAAATTTCTCAAAAAGCGTGGATAATAGCCTTTAATTTTGGATTTTTTTGAGTTTTTTTCGAGCTATAATAAAAATTGACGAGATGTTTGCCATGGTCCCTAATTTTATCCTAGAGTCCAATTGGGTAGGCGGAATTATCCAATTTTCCTTTAAACGGTCAACTTAACCGTTTATAACTTGCACCGATATCGTTAACTCATGCCTATCACGGACATTTGTGACAACATAAAATGATCATATATGGTTCCAAACGACATTATATCACCTCGAGAATTCGAGATATATCTCATAGTATCTCAAGACTTTTTGACACCGGCCCCGAAACCGCCAAAATTCCTCAAAAATCATAGATGCCTTCAATTTTAGAGTTTTTTTTTTTACTTTTTTCGACCTGAAATAAAAATTGATGAAATGTTTACCATGGTCCCTAATACCCTCCTGTAGTCCAATTTGGTGGGCGAAATCATCCAATTTGCCTTTAAACGGTCAATTTACCGTTTATAACTTGCACCTATTTTGTTAACTCATGCTTACCACGGACGTTTGTGATAACATATAATGATCATATATGGTTCCAAACATCATTATATGACCCCGAGATATATCCCATATTATCTCAAGACTTTTCGACACCGGGCCTAGAAACCTACAAAATTCCTCAAAAAGCGTGAAAAATAGTCTTCAATTTTGGATTTGTTTGACTTTTTTTTTTCCACCTGAAATAAAAATTGACGAGATGTTTACCATGGTCCCTAATACTCTTCTGGAGTCCAATTGAGTGGGCGGAATCACTCAATTTTCCTTTAAACGGTTAATTTACCATTTTATAACTTGCACCGATTTGTTAACTCATGCTTACCACGGACGTTTATGACAAACATATAATGATCATATATGGTTCACAACAGTATATATGACCCCGAGATATATCCCATAATATCTCAAGACTTTTCAACAACGGGTCTAGAAACTTACAAAAATTTTCAAAAAGCGTGGATAGCTTTCAATTTTTGATTTTTTTGACTTTTTTTCGACCTGAAACAAAAATTGCTGAGATGTTTACCGTGGTACCTAATACTATCCCAGAGTCTAATTGGGTTTATCCAATTTGCCTTTAAACTTTCAACTTACCCGTTTATAACTTGCACTGATTTCGTTAACTCATGCCTACCAAGGACGTTTGGGACAACATATAATGATCATATATGGTTCCAAACGGCATTATATGACCCTGAGATATATCCTATAGTATCTCAAGACGACATCGGGCCCCAAAAACCTCCAAAATTCTCAAAAAGCGTGGATAGTAGCCTTTAAATTTGGATTTTTTTGACTTTTTTCGCCTGGAAATAAATTTTTTTGAGATGTTTACCATGGTCTCTAATACCCTCCGGGAGTCCAATTGGGCGGGCGAAATCATCCAATTTGCCTTTAAATGGTCAATTTACCCGTTTACAACTTGCACCGATTTCGTTTAACTCATGTCTACCACGGACGTTTATGACAACATTTAATGATCATATATATATGGTTCCAAACGTCATTATATGACCCCAAAATGTATCCCCTATTACCTCAAGAATTTTCGATATCGGACCCCGAAACCTCCAAAATTCCTCAAAAAACGTGGATAATAGCCTTTAATTTTGGATTTTTTTAGCTTTTTTTCGCTCGCAAATAAAAATTGCTGAGATGTTTACCATGGTTTCGTACACACCTCTTATATTGGCTATAAGCTTTCATGGGGCCTTTACGTAGTCGTATAATGGTCATATATGGGTACCACAATATTATATGACCTCGGGATACATCCCGTTATGTGAAATTCCGACACGAGTCTCGACAACTTCTAAATCGCTCCGATTTCGTGTATAGGTTTTGGACCGAATCGATTTTTTTACTCAAAATTATGCATGAAACCTTTAATAATGATTAATTTTATCCTTATATGTTTAGAAAAATTTAATTGTATAAGCTTTGTTGTACTAATCATACATAAAAAGACGTTATAATATTGTTTTTCTCTTTTTTTTTGTTTTTTTTTGAGTTTTCCATAAAGTTATTAAAGATTTAATGTTTTTTTTAAAAAAAATTCTAAAATCGGTCCAAAGAGGTCTGGTCTGGTCCAGGTTTGGTCCCAACTTAATCGGTCTGATTTTTCGGTTCTTGAAATTCTAATTTTCGTTTTGGTCCAAGTCGATTCGGCCTTTGACTGATGAACAACCCTAACACCAGTGTTACACCACCCCCTATTTTCTTCACTTTTCCAACTTCTCCAACCCCCACTCGCTACCCCTCATCGGCTATCCCCTTCGTCTAGGGTTTTAAAGGTGGGGGAGGGCTGACCAAATGTTTTATAGGCAGGGGGTGGGGGAGGACCAACGAAGGGTAGGGGGAAAGGCAGTGGTGCGATGGTTGGTTTTTTTTAGTGGTGTGAGTAGGTAGGAGAGTGGTGGTTAAAGGAATGACTGAATGAGAATAGAAAGACTGAGAGAGGGTGAGGAATCAACTTGGAAGGATTATTGGGGAATGGAGAAGATAAAAGAAATGGGAAAAACGACCTAATAAACAACAAAGGAATAAAGGTAGTTAATTTCTGTTTTCTTTGATAAATACCCCAACTAAACGACTCCTTAATACTTAATATACGGAGTAATTTTTTCTAGGGTAATGCTATACATAGCCCTTAGGGCTAAGCATTAAAAACACTCTTGGAAATTATATAAAATTAGGAATTCATGACAAAATCACGCGTAGATCAGTGTAATTAGTATGAATTTGTCATGATTTTCTAAATTTAAACAGTTTTCAAAAGTATTTTTAATGCTTATATGTAGCTCTAAGGGCTATGTGCCTATGTATAACATTTTCCTTTTTTCTATACCGTTTTACTCCGAAGTCTGTAACAGTAACGAGATGTCACAAATCACGATATCGCACAGCTCGCTCGACGAGTCGACGCTCCTTCAATTTTTTTTTGTTCAGACGCGATATCAAACACAGTCCTACTAGTCTACTACACTACAGCACTGTGAGTCTGTGAGTGACGGTGTGTAAACCATCTCTTCTGAAGATCAAATTTCTCAGCAGACTTTGATTTTGCCTTCTCTAATGGAGTATCGCAAGATCAAGGATCAGGTTCATCTCTCTCCTTCGCACTATTTTATCAATTGTTGTCTTGTTCATCGCAGAAATTCTGTATTTTCATCAATGTCCGATTTTCTCCAGTTCCAGAAGACAATTTCTTCTCATTTTCAGTTATTGCAATTGAACCTTACAATTTATGAATGCGATTTCAATTTTCGTAGTTTCGTAATCATCACGTTTAATCTTATCGCGATTACTGGAAAAAAATTGAGTTTTGCAATTAATTTGATTTGAATGATCCAATTATCTATTCATTATAGAACCTGCATTTGATTGCTGTAAACTAAGTGAAAACAGAAGATTTGAGAATTGATTTTGATTTGTTTTAGGATGAAGATGAAGAATCCGCAGGTGACCTAGAACTTTCACGAGGGAAACCTAATTCAGGTTTATTATCCCCTAATTTGATTGATTTGAAATTCTTGTTACTTAATACTAGAATTTTTTTAGTATAAATTTAAGTTATCTCAATTTCGGCTAATTTTTAGCTGGTATGATGAACAATGTAGCTGCTTTGGGAGCTTTATCTGGTGTAGCACCTCAATGGAAGCGCAAGTATGATTGTGTTCTTTTAATTTAGCTGATTTTAACTCTACATTGTTATGTATAAGAAGTAGATGTGGTTAGACGGAAATCTAGTTCGTTGGATTAATTGCTATTGATGCCTTTCTTGTCTTGAAAATAGGTCGATGGTTACGCTTGCGCTGACTATACTTACTAGTTCACAAGCTATACTTATTGTCTGGTCAAAGAGAGCTGGGAAATATGATTACAGTGTTACAACCGCAAATTTTTTGGTGAGCGAAATCTTCATTTGTCTGAGATTGACGCATTACCCATTTAATTACTTGTAGCTGAGCTTGAAAACATTGTTTCTGTGACTATTCCAGCAGACCTGGACTTCTTTGATATTGATTTAAATTTTCTTCTGTTTTGACTACAAAGTTCTTGATTTCGGATCCTACCCTTTGCTTTGCTTCCAGGTTGAAACTTTGAAATGTGCATTATCACTCTTAGCCTTGGCAAAAATCTGGAGAACTGAAGGTGTTACTGATGACAATAGGTAGTATATTGTTGATTACATATTTCTGCCTATTACTTGTCAAGTATATTGTAATTGCATGATTGAGAAGTTGCCTATTCTTGAGTTATACCCAAGGAAAATTATGCTGTCTTTCCAGACATTTTCATATAACTTTCCTAGTTTCCTGTTTGGTCTTATTGTTTCAATGTTCATCTGGAATATTGATGCTGATTTGAGTTTCCCCATGGTTATTATACTAGGTTAAGCACTACAGTGGATGAAGTAATTGTATATCCTATACCAGCAGTGCTTTATTTGGTTAAGAATTTGCTCCAGGTTGTTTTCAGTTGTCTGGGTTGCTTCTTTTTCTTTCTTTTTTCTAATGAAAGATTTGCCTCTGGTTTCTCACCATTTTACACCTGACATTCCCAGTATTATATCTTTGCATACGTGGATGCTCCAGGATATCAAATATTGAAAAATCTGAATATAATTAGCACTGGTGTTCTCTATCGTATCATTCTTAAGAAGCGGTAAGCCCCTTTATGTTAAAGATACTTGACGTCATTTATACTGTCTGCTAATAAAGCATATGTTTTGTTCTGCATTATCTTACTTGAGAAAAGTTGAGAACTCTGTTATCCTTCATGATTTTTTCAGAAAAGTTTTAAGAACTCTAGGAGGATCCCAGGGAATTGAATAGCCAATATTATGAAAATCTCGAAATCTGACATATCCTTTGTATTATTGGGTAGCTAGGATTACAGATTATCAAGAAATAAAAATTTGATTTGATTTATTTTAGGATCTTTTCTGTTGAAACAGTCCTGCAGTTTGATGATATCTGTTGCCAATTAATTTAATTTTAAGATTCATTGGTAGGGTCCAATATTGAACATGGCTGCTGATACTGATTCTTATCAGAGTAAATGACCATTCTAATAATCTATTTGTGATTTTTCAGGTTAAGTGATATTGAGTGGGCTGCTTTCATTCTACTGTGTGCTGGGTGCACCACTGCACAGCTCACCTCCAAGTAAGAGTGGTCACCTGGTCATAAACTCATTATTCTTGTGACTAGATTTATAATACTCTGTTATGTGGCTTGGTTATAATCACTGTTGTCAATGGTATTTTCAGTTTCAATAACTAGAGGAATAAGCTCCTTAGTTTCAGTTGGTACTTTGGTAGTTGGGAATTTACCAATTTTCTAATATATACATAAACATAAAAAAGAAATACATAGGAAGATGGCAGGGGTAGGATAATTCTCTGGAGTATACATTAATTAGTCATAAATTTCTTATAATGGTAGAACAAATACATTATTGACAGGGGTAGGCTAATTCATTAATTATTTTCCAGAGGATCAGTTTTCTTAGATTTACATGTAGTTGTATGGATGTCCATAGTAACTTTTACCATCTATAAATTTTGATGTGAGTAAGCATCTTATAATCCATGGTAATGTGTTCCCAAAATGTACTATATCCCTAAAATGTGTCCCCAAAAGGTGATGTCCTCTATTAAAATCATGATAATGGGAACACTCTACTTTCAAACCTGGACCTTTTGATGTTCTCTAAGCTTATATGAATGACTACTTTGATAATTGATATCATGACAAAGTAATGATAGGGGTCAATTACTTTTATTGTCCTAGGTGAGGCGATTTTAAAGAGGCACAAATCTGTCTTTTATACACCAAATTCAATTAAATATTAGTAAGAGCAAATTTTTCAATGAGGCACACCAAGGGCATAAGACAACTGATATAAGTATAATTATGATATTACTTATTTCCACAAGAGCTTTTTTTATAGACTGATTATAAGTATAATTATGATATTACTTATTACAGTAATGCTAGTAATTACAGGGACAATTATAAACTTAAGACAACTGATGGCAATGCCAATGTGGGCTGCAATAGGTGAAGAAAAAAAAGGTATAATAAGTACAAACTAAAGCCATGATTGTGAAAATGCTAGTCAGGAAACCTAGGAATCTGAGGGAAAGGAAGAAGGAGTGGAAATACCTACAGCTGATATCCTGTATAAAACAAAAAATAAATCCCCGTGGATCATAGTGTCTCAAAGGTTCCAATTAAAGGTCATATCCTCGCCAAGCTTAACGCAGGCTTGTCTTATCAGCGCCTGCAACTTTTCTCGGGTCTACCTTGTTTTCCTTAGTGTCTCAAAGGTTCCAATTAAAGGTCATATCCTAACCAAGCTTAATACAGGCCAAATCTTGTCTTATCAGATCCTGCAACTTTTCTCTGGTCTACCTTATTTTCCTTTACATCCCCTTAAAACTAATTTTTCACTCCTCAAAAGAGCTTCTGAATGCTGCCTCTAATGTGCCTGATCATGCTATTTGATCTATCAAACTTGCTGTATAGCCATTGCTTTTCTGTGAATCTATCTTTTTCTATCTTTTGTGCTAGCTTACCACAGCTGTGGAATAATACTTGTACAAAATGTTAGTTTTATGTGTTCTCTGCTTAAAACGTTCCTTCCATCATGCAGTTCTGATCATGTTCTTCAGACTCCACTTTATGGTTGGGTCATGGCCATTGTAAGTTGTTTTTGTTTATTTAAAGTAATTTTCCTGTTGATTAAAGACTAACATTGGATATTGTATTTTGGAATAATGCTTTAGAATTTTTCGTAGGTCATGGCTCTTTTGAGTGGGTTTGCTGGGGTCTACACGGAGGTAACTTCAGTAGATATAATTTGTCAATTTAGCACTTATTTTGTGTTAACCTATGTTAAGTGAGCTATATTGATGCAGAGTAGTAAACAATAGCTGACTTGATCTTAGTGCTGATACATATGTTCTGTATTCCCAGGCAATTATCAAGAAACGTCCCCAAAGAAACATAAACGTGCAGAACTTCTACTTATACGTCTTTGGAATGATTTTCAATGCCATTGCAATAGTTATTCAAGATTTTGATGAAGTTGCAAATAAGTATGTACTGTTCAATGATTTATGGACATTAATGCACAAAAGTCAGCACAAAGATCAACTGATTTCGCAAACTTATGTCTTTGGAATCTTTGTCCCCATGAATATGATCTTTGTGCTGATCAACTGATTTTTCCATGTAATTAATTATGTCAGTTGCAATGTCCATTAATTATTGTTGGCCCTGAATGATTTTATCTAAGATTCTCCATGCATTTGGATGCTAATTTCATTTGTGCTTTTGCAGGGGTTTTTTCCATGGCTACTCGTTCATTACTGTACTCATGATTGTAAACCATGCACTCAGGTATATTTTACGTGACCTCTAGTTTTCCTGATTGAAATAACTTAATAGGCGATAATTGCTCTCTTCTATTGTGATGAATCATGTTGGATGGAGAGTTATCCTCCAATCTATAATATCAGTTTTAGTTGATTGAATAAGATCTCAGAAATTGTTCATCCATGGCTAAGTGCACACATTGGCTGAGATATGTATTCTATAGATGATTTAACTGCAAATCTTGGATAACTCCAGGAGGCTAAGTAGAAATTAGATTTAGACTACTTCAGAATGTTCAGATGCCTGAAAAGGTTTCTTAAAGTGTGTCTTGTACGGCCTATACCGGGGTATACATAGTGTCATAGATGGACCATTGGTAATTAGGAAAACTAGGGGCCTTGCGAACATTATTAGCTAACATACTTTTTTTTGAGCTGTGCTAGACTCTTTCTAGAGTTTCATACTTTAGCTCTCCTTGTTCATAACAGTGTCATGCTTGCTTTTGTAGTCTTTTGTGGTCCATATGACCAATATTAAAGATTGAACTTGGGCAACTTAAGATATTGCTTGGTAGTAGTGCAAGAAGCTTTTCATAGGAGGTTGTAATTCTAGTTCCTTTATAACATATTATTGATGTATTTTGATATCCTGTATTTCATATGGGTACATGTGAACTGTTTATATACCACTTTATTAATAATAATTTAAAGCATTTCCTTTCTTCCTAAATCTTACATCATGGCAAGTCATCTAGCTACTAACCTGCTCTCCTCCGTTCTCAGTATTCTCAGTTATATTACATTGGATAATAAATTTGCTACATTTCAATCTTCTTCATGCAGTGGCATTGCAGTCTCAATGGTAATGAAATATGCTGACAATATCGTGAAGGTAAGACCTCTTAACAACTTGCTTTATTATTGAGCTTGGAGATATGAATTTACCTAATTGTGAACTCTCTCTGCCCCCATTAAACTTTTCATTTCTCTCAAAATACTTGTCCCCTGATAAATTTCCCATTTCTCACTTTAAATTGATATCCACACTATTAAATAATGCTTCGATTGTTATATATTCTTTTACCTCCTGACCTTAGGTTTCCTTTCTCTCTCACCTCCCCTAAAAACAATGAGTTATACTCACTGCCTTTTATTTACTATGTTACTCGGACTCTTTCATTTACCTCACGTGTTCGTGTCGACACGACTCGTGTCGGACACCGACACCGACACTTGGACGCTTCATTTTTAACTAAAAAGACAACTTTTTTCAAGAAAATGGGCGAGTCCGATGCTTGGACACCCGTGTCTAATTTGACACTTCATCCGAGTCCAAGTAACATAGTTTATTTATTCACCTTTATCCAACAAAACCCCACTGCTGTTTATCTCTTATATACTTTGTGTACAACCCAAAGTAGAAGTTAAATGAAAGATGAAGGAAGTACATGGAGTAATATTTAATATAATATTCTGATCTTTTTCTTTCGTGCTATCTGTTTGATCTGTGCATCGTCTGCAGTTGATCACTTGCTCGGTTGACCAACCCTCATCTTTAAATTTTCGCATTGCTTAATTGAATTTACCCTATTTTAATTTGGTCTATCCCTAGTTTAGGATACTAGATGCTTGTCTTGGGTTCATTAGCCTTTTTAGGATATGAAACAGGTGAAACATTTTCTTATCCTGACTAGTGGCGGATCCAGGATTTTCGAACTTATGAGTCACCATCAATATTGATCACTTGTTTCAATCCAAAAATTATATATATATAAAAAAAATTATATTTCACCAAAATGATTTCAATCCAAAAATAGGATATAAAAATACATACTATAAAACTATTACATTAAACTAACTTTATGATTGTTTACTTAAAAACAAGAATTATTAAAAAAAAAAAGTTAAATATCTTAAGAGACCGGTTATTAAATATAACAGTCTCTTTAATAAATATGAAAGCAACGCAAAAAATTATTCTAATTCAATGGCGGACAAAAAGAGACCTGTTATCTAGATAACAGGTCTCTAATGACGTGGTGGCAATAGCAGCTACAAAGAGACCACCTATCTGATATTTTAATAGGCGGTCTCTTTGATATTTAAAAAACTGACAGTGGGCTAATCTCAAATAGAAGAAACAAAGAGCTCTCTTTTTTTATTTTTTATTTTTTTTTGGTGCTAGTGAGTCACGTGACTCACTATGCACCTTAATAGATCCGCCCCTGATCTTGACTTCTTAAATTTGAACTAGTCAAGTAATAATGCATTGACAAGCATGGCTTCTGGCTATTCTTTCAGTGTCACTTGTCTCTTGGGCATCAGAAATGCCAAACTTTATGGCTCCAGGATTACATTTGCATGCTTTGTCTCTACCTGATGCCTTTAAACTTCACTAGTTTTACCTGCATGTTTAATCTTATGGAGATTTAACTTACATTGATAACATTTTGCAGGTATATTCAACTTCGGTGGCAATGTTGCTGACAGCAATTGTTTCTGTTTTTCTGTTCGGATTTCATCTCTCCCTTGCCTTTTTTCTTGGTGCTACGTAAGTTACTGTTCATCTTACAGTATATATTTTCAACTGTTGTACTGGACAAAGTTTTCTGAATAACTTGTTTTGGCAGTGTTGTGTCTGTCTCTGTGTATCTGCAAAAGTTTGGGAAAACGCCAAGGTAGCAGAACGCAGCTATTCCTCTCTTTACAGTTGGTCCCGTTGTACTTGTAGAATTTTTGCTAACAAAATGAGATAGATGATATTGTGGAATTCATATTGACAATGTCCTGAGGCTAGTGCTGTCCTGATTGGTGCTTCCGGTTCTAACAATTTCTAAGTCGGAGGAAAGGCTATAGTTTTTCTGGAGCCAGCGTGATGATCCTGCTACTACTCCTAGTCCATGTGAAAGATAGGTCGCATATAGAACTTGACCATGTTATATTGCATTAATCTTGTATGGATCATTGTAAATGTCAATATATACATAACATTTGAGCTACTTGTGGTAATATCCTGTAAAAGCTGCTGGTACAGGGACAGTCTGCATGTCCCCTTATGTGCTGTATATGCCAAGGTTGCCTAATTAGAGTACCTTGTCCATTGTCCAAGAGAGTATCTTAATTAGCATCTCACTCACTCTCAAATATAGTTGTATGAAATGGGATAATTTTTACAATTTGACAACTTAGAAATGACTTTTTTGATATGACATGTATTTTTAACATCTGAACCAATACAAATTATTAAATAGACCTGGTTCACACTAATTTATTGTGGACCACTAACATTAGGGAAATTATGGTTGTTTTATTAGAAAAAAAAACGGTCACTATAATAGAAAAAGGGTCTCTATGTTGAAATAAAAGTCATTTTGGTAATATATATGTTATAAAAGGTTAATTTTTTTAATGAAATATTTTATATACTGGTTAATTTGAATAATAAAGGTCACTATATTAAAATTAGGGTCATAACGTTGTACTTTAAGTTCACAATAATATTAAACGTTATACTAGTTTTAATAAAGGTTATTATGTTAAAAATAAGGTTACTATGTCAAAATTAAGGGTTACTATGTTCATATAATGTCAGTTGCGTGTGTATAAACCTCGGGTCCACAATAACATTATTGTGGACCAGGTCTACGCAAGATTTTTTCTGCTGAACCAATGACTTTGGTCTTCTCTTTTCTCCCATCGGTTTATGTTGATGTCTGAAAAATCGCACTGGTAATGGCTTTGTGGCAGTATTTGGGTAAAAAAAGGAGTTGAATGCAGTAGTAAAGCTCGACTGATAAATGGGTAAGCTAGCAACTAATAGATAATGAGGTACCCTTATATCAATGTTATAATCAAACCATATAAAAATATTCCAGACTAGCCACATCAAATTTTCTTATTGTCATACTCATATATCCTCAAATTTTGTATCTGTAAAATTTATATACATGAAAAATACACCTGAAATATTTCAACTTTTGAGTATCAAAATGATAAGTAATTTCCTCAAAAAAAAATAAAAATAAAAAATAAAAAAAAATGATACCAGTAAAAACAATCCTAAATAGCATCTTCGTTTCCTTTAAAAAATAAATATGAACAGGATTTTAACACAGGCCAATCCAAAAATTGAAGTGGGCAGTGATAGTAGCTGTTGATGGCATCTGTAACTCTGTAAGCATTGATAGCCTGTACCATCCAATCTATACCCCAAGGCTTATCCTCGCTCAACCTGTACGCAGGGGTAGTAGTCTGGTTAATATTGCAAAATTAAATGGTTCAACAATATCTGATCACGAGCCAATAGAACTTGGTTCATGGTCTTTAAAGCGGAGTACCAAGTTTTTCTGGGTGAACCAGTCAGGTGATCCAGTTTTCCATAACCAGAAGAAACATCAAACTCTCGATGCAGTCCTGAAAATAACCAGTACGCTTAGATTTTGTGGAAAAAAAGAGTTGTGCAATCACTTTTCACCCAAAAATTAAATAAAAAGGTACTACTCTTGTCTATCTTAAGGTTTTTGGAGATCTGTCAAGCAGCAAAGTCAAATGGTAGCAAACATGAAAGCTTTATGCTACACCTGTAAGTTCCAAAATAAATTCAAACTGAAAAATCGATAAAGAAGAGGTGCAAATAACCTACCTAGGAAGTCAATGTCATTTAAGAGGCTTTATCCCCTGCAAAAGTTAAACCAAAATTTAAAATCCTGCTTAATCACATATGCAAAAGCCTAATAATGGTGTATTATAGGGAAATTGGAATGATTTGAAAATCTAGTAATGATGTCATTGAGTTTTCATAAACTTATGAATTAGAGCTATCGATTCAGCTATTCAAGTCGGGTTTGGGTCGGGTCAAATTAAGTCTCGGGTTAAATCAAGATCAGGTTATGTCGGGTCAATCTAGCTTCAGATCATGTTCAGGTTGGGTCAATTTCAGTTAAAGTTATAATGGGTCGTTCACCTTTTTGGATATAGGTCGGGTTCATTTCGAGTTAAAATCAGATCGGGTTTAATTTCAGGTTCGGGTTGTGTTGAGTCGGGTTTGGATGGGTTAACAAGATGGTACATTCAGGTTCGGGTTAGTGTTGAGTCGGGTTCTGGTTCAAGTTCAATTCTAATAAATATCGATGTGGCCAAGTTGGACTATATAATTACGCCTTCCATAATTTGATCAAGCATCATCAAGATTTTATTAAACCTATATACGAGTAATAGATAACAAAAGTTATATAAGCTGACAAAAGATTTTATTAAATCGGATTGAGGGTTTAAAGAATTATACCAGTATATAAGCTGAATAAAAGGTACATAAAATTTTATAACCCTCATAACTCGGGTTCATGTTTTAATTGGGTCGGGTACTAGTTCAGGTTCGGATTGTTTTCGGGTCGGATTAAATCGGTTGATAGTTATTATCAAGTCGGGGACCAAATGGGTTTTCGGTTAAGATCAGGTTCACGTCAGGTTACATGTCACTAGTTTCACCCCATTGTTCGAGTACAAGCTGGTGTTAAGGTCGGATTCTCGGGTCAGGTCAGTTTCTGACAACTCTAGCTATAATCCACACTATTTAAGGAAATTTTGAGATTTCGAAATTGGTGGCAAAAAAAGTTGAGACCCTAGGGGATATATCTCAGGGTCATATAATGCCGTTTGAAGCCATATATGATCATTATATGTTGTCATAAACGTACACGGTAGAGGCTTGAGTTTACGAAATCAATGCAAGTTCTAAACGGGTAAAATGATCGTTTAAGGGCATATTGGATGTTTCCACTAACCCAATTGGACTCCCGGAGGATATTAGGGACCATGGTAAACATCTCGATAATTTTTATTTGAAGGCGAAAAAAGGTAAAAAAAATTACAAAATTGAAGGCTTATAATTCACGCTTTTTGATGAGATTTTTTGAGGTTTCGAGGTCCGAAGGCGAAAAGACTTAAGACCCTAAGGGTACATCTAGTGGTCATAAAATATCGTTAGAAACCATATATGACCATCATATGTTGTAATGAACGTACGTGGTAGGCTTGAGTTTACGAAATCACTTGAAGTTGTGAAAGGTAAAATGACCGTTTAAGGGAATATTGGATGGTTCCATTGACCCAATTGGACTCCCGGAGGATATTAATGACCATGGTAAACATCTCGACAATTTTTATTTCCGGGCAAAAAAAGGTCAAAAAATTACAAAATTGAAGGCTACAATCCGCGCTTTTAAAGGAAATTTTGAGGTTTAGGGGCCTGTGGCGAAAAGCCTTGAGACCCTAAGGATACATCTCAGGGTAATATAATTCCGTTTGAAACCACATATGGTCATTATACGTTGTGATAAACGTCCGTGGTAGGCTTGACTTTACGAAATCAGTGCAAGTTGTAAACGGGTAAAATGATCGTTTAAGGGCATATTGGATGGTTCTAACGACCCAATTTGACTCCCAGGGGATAGTAGGAACCATGGTAAACATCTCGGCAATTTTTATTTCCGGCCGAAAAAAGGTAAAAAAAATACAAAATTGAAGGCTATAATCCACGCTTTTTAAGAAATTTTGACGTTTCTGGCCCTCTGGCGAAAAGCCTTGAAACCCAAAGGGATACCTCTGGGGGTCATATAATGTTGTTTGAAAACATATATGATCATTCCATGTTGTCATAAACGTCCGTGGTAGGCTTGAGTTTAGAAATCACTGCAAGCCGTGAACGGGTAAAATGACCGTCTAAGGGCATATTGGATGTTTCCACCGACCCAATTGGACTCCCGGAGGGTATTAGGGACCATGGTAAACATTTCGACAATTTTTATTTGAAGGCGAAAAGAGGTCAAAAAAATTACAAAATTAAAGGCTATAATTCACGTTTTTTTGATGAAATTTTGAGGCTTCGAGGCCTGATGGTGAATACCCTTGAGACCCTAAGGGTACATCTCGGGGTCATAAAATGTCGTTAGAAGCTATATATGACCATCATATGTTGTAATAAACGTATGTGGTAGGCTTGAGTTTACGAAATCACTAGAAGTTGTGAAAGGTAAAATGACCTTTTAAGGGAATATTGGACGGTTCCATCACCCTATTTGACTCCTGGAGGGGTATTAGGGACCAAGGTAAACATCCCGGAAATTTTTATTTCCGGACAAAAAAAAAGTGAAAAAATTACAAAATTGAAGGCTACAATCCGCGATTTTTAAGGAAATTTTGAGGTTTAGGAGCCTGTGGCGAAATGCCTTGAGATCCTAAGGGATACATTCATACATCTCGGGGTCATATAATTCCGTTTGAAACCACATATGATCATTATATGTTGTGATAAACGTTCGTGGTAGGCTTGAGTTTACGAAATCAGTGCAAGTTGTAAACGGGTAAAATGATCGTTTAAGGGAATATTAAATGGTTCCAACGACCCAATTTGACTCCTAGGGAATATTAGGAACCATGGTAAACACCTCGGCAATTTTTATTTCCGGGCAAAAAAAGGTAAAAAAATACAAAATTGAAGGCTTATAATCACAGCTTTTTGAGGAATTTTGAGGTTTTGAGTCCCGCTGGCGAAAAGCCTTGAAACCCAAAGGGATACATCTCGGTGTCATATAATGCCGTTTGAAACCATATATGATCATTATATGTTGTCATAAACATCCGTGGTAGGCTTGAGTTTACGAAATCACAAGAAGTTGTGATTGGGTAAATATTGGATGGTTCCATCGACCCAATTGGACTCCCGAAGGATATTAGGGACCATGGTAAAGATCTTTGTAATTTTTATTTACGGGCGAAAAAAAGGTCAAAAAAATTACAAAATTGAAGGTTATAATTTGTGTTTAAGGAAAATTTTGAAGTTTGGGTACATGTGGCGAAAAGCCTGGAGACCCTAAGGGATACATCTCGGGGACATATAATGCCGTTTGAAACCATATGATCATTTTATTGTGTGATAAACGTCCGTGATAGATTTGAGTTTACGAAATCACTACAAGTTGTGAACGGGCAAAATGACCGTTTAAGAGCATATTGGATGGTTCCACCAACCTAATTGGACTTTTGAAGGGTATTTGAGACCATGGTAAATATCTCGACAATTTTTATTTCCGGGCGAAAAAAGGTAAAAAAAATACATAATCGAAGGCTATAATCCAAGATTCCAAGCTTTTTGAGAAATTTAGAGGTTTCGGGCCGTAGTTGCGAAAAGCTTTAAAACCCTAAGGGATAAATCTCGCCGATCTCGGGGTCATATAATGCTGTTTGAAACCATATATGATCATTATATGTTGTCATAAACGTCCGTGGTAGGCTTGAGTTTACGAAATCACTACAAGTTGTGAACGAGTAAATTAACCGTTTAAGGGCATATTGGATGTTTCCACCGACCCAATTGAACTCCCGGATGGTATTAGGAACGATGGTATTAGGATCCATGGTAAACATCTCGACAATTTTTATTTGAAGGCGAAAAAAGGTCAAAATAATTTACAAAATTAAAGGCTAATTTATGTTTTTTTTGATGAAATTTTGAGGTTTCGCGGCCCGATGGCAAATAGCCTTGAGACCCTAAGGGTACATCTCGGGGTCATAAAATGTCGTTAGAAACCACATATGACCATCATATGTTGTAATAAACGTATGTGGTAGGCTTGAGTTTACGAAATCACTAAAAGTTGTGAAAGGTAAAATGACCGTTTAAGGGAATATTAGATGGTTCCATCGAGCCAATTTGACTCCCGGAGGATATTAGGGACCATGGTAAACATCTAAGCAATTTTTATTTCCGGGCGAAAAAGGGTAAAAAAAAATTACAAAATTGAAGGCTACAATCTACGCTTTTAAAGGAAATTTTGAGGTTTAGGGTCCTGTGGCGAAAAGCCTTGAAACCCTAATGGATACATCTCGGGGTCATATAATTCCGTTTGAAACCACATATGATCATTACATGTTGTGATAAACGTCCGTGGTAGGCTTGAGTTTACGAAATCAGTGCAAGTTGTAAACGGGTAAAATGATCGTTTTAGGACATATTGGGTGGTTCTAACGACCCAATTTGACTCGTAGGGAATATTAGAAACCATGGTAAATATCCCGGCAATTTTTATTTCCGACCGAAAAAAGGTCAAAAAAATACAAAATTGAAGGCTATAATCCACGGTTTTAAGGAATTTTGACGTTTCAAGGCCCTCTAGCGAAAAAGCCTTGAAACCCAAAGGGATACATCTCGGGGTCATATAATGTCGTTTGAAAACATATATGATCATTATATGTTGTCATAAACGTCCGTGGTAGGCTTGAGTTTACAAAATCACTACAAGTTGTGAACGCGTAAAATGACCGTTTAAGGGCATTTCCACCGACCCAATTGGACTCCCGGAGGGTATTAGGAACCATGGTAAACATCTCAACAATTTTTATTTGAAGGCGAAAAAAGGTAAAAAAAAATTACAAAATTAAAGGCTATTCACGCTTTTTGATGAAATTTTGAGGTTTCGAGGTCCGAAGACGAATAGCCTTGAGATCCTAAGGGCACATCTCGGGGTCATAAAATGTCGTTAGAAACCATATATGACCATCATATGTTGTAATAAACGTATGTGGTAGGCTTGAGTATACGAAATCACTAGAAGTTGTGAAAGGTAAAATGACCTTTTAAGGGAATATTGGATGGTTCCATTGACCCAATTTGACTCACG